TGATTATTAAACCGTTGTATACAATGTTACGTATAATCGGTTCGTAATGATCGTATAATATACTAAAACACGTTTTGATGGCACACGGCGTCTACAACTACGATATTTATTCCGTTTTGTATATAAAACGACCGTATAGTATACACTTGTAATACCTGTAATATTAATATCTTATATCAATACTACAGTAGTCTACTGTTTTCAAATTGAAATGTAGATTGATTTTGGAAATCTCAAACACCGCAAAATATTAAATTTGTTAAACTGGTGGAACCTTAGGCGATTGAAAACGTTTTGAACAGATATGAAAAACACACGTCATTGTAAAATTATTCAATAGGTACCTATATACCTAACCAGGTAGATATATCTATACTTACCTACTTATAGGTTGTTAGATACTCGAAAAGTTGCTTGGATAGTATCTATAGCAATAATGCAATGAAATTATATTTATTATATTTATTTAAAAACAATAGATATTCCTATCTATCAAATTATTTTGTATCTCTGATAGGTATACCAGCATTGAACTAGCTTTATAGAATGTAGAAATAATTAAAATATAAAAATTAAAAAAAAGATAAGAATATTTAATCTATGATGTTGTGTGCGTTTTTAAGTTATGCCAAATCAAAATATTAATAATTAAAAATATACAGACGTATTTCGCACGATGGGCGGGCCACTGTTGTAGATGAGAAGTTGGAAATATTATAAGATAATAAAAAACGATTCTGAGCGGTGTTCGGTTAATAGTATTCCTTTGTTAACAATATATATGTCGTAGGCCAAATAGAAAAATTAGTCTTTTTGCGAAAAGACTAGGTTCTTTGCAATGGGGTAGCCTGTTTGCAAACTACTTATTATTTCATATAGACTAACAGTAATTTAAAAACTGCAATAATTATAATATATTAATAACTATTTTACTTATTTTATTTTAAAGGTAATTTATTACTTTAACAAAAAAAAATCAATACAATTATTATCACATATAAACACTAAACCGAATAGTCTGAATAAGTATGGTACTTATTATATAGTATAATATTTATTTTATAAACTGTATCAATAGCGAGTATCAGTGAAATTAAGATTATTTTTAAGTTTTTGACTATTGTATTATTAGTTTTATTTTAATTAACAAAAAAGAAAATATGTAAAATATTTACTTATTGTTAAATGTGATTTTTTCATGTTACATTTTTTTTTTCTACAACTTTTCCAATTATATTTTGAATGTTTAAATGATCCACTATCTACTTTTGAAATATTGACTAAAACATAACTTCCAACTTGTAAACTGTATCAATGGCGTATTTACAACATCATATCAATCGTATACATTTCAAATTCTAGATATTTACTTACATTAGTGCGTCACAACCGGCTATTTTGAAGATTTAGATACGGAATGACGACATACTATGATACCTGATGAAATCTACGAGATTATGACTAATCAGTAGATTAGATTATAACTTTTCACTGAACACAATTTTGTCGGCATACTGTACATACTAGACGTTAGTACACATCTACGTTATCGTTAAAACGGTCGAATTTGTTTGTATTTTGTAATCAAAAATGTTTTTGCAAAACAAATAGATGCGGTTGACAGTTTACATGTTATTATAATTCTGTTGATCTTTTTTTTTTTTCTGTAAAAGTAATAAATTACCCTTAAAATTAAATAAGTAAAAAAGTTATTACTATATTACAATAATAAGCCTGGAAAACAGTAGGCCGCTTGGAAAAATAATAAGTAGTTCGCAAACGGGCTACCCCATTGCAAAGAACCTAGTCTTTTTTGTGCGAATGTGTACGTATAGTGTCGAGGTTTAGTGAGAGTCGATACAAGCATAACCTGAAATACTGTGTCCCCTGAATTACAAATTTGTGTTCGAAATTTTATAACGTGTTTTTAGTTTTGATTGTAAAAATAACAAACATAGGTATTGGAATTTGAACACATTTTTTTTTCTAAACACTAAGAACGACTTATAATAAACCTTTTATTAATTTTTCAATAATTTCTGGTTGGTCTGGCAATTTTAAAACTAGCAAAATTTAAATACCTATAAATAGCTCAAAAATGGCGCACATTTTTTGAAAATTATACCATGTCTAGGAAAGGTAAATATAAGTTTTATACCAAAATTTCAAGTCTCTAAGAATATATTTTACTGAATAACAACAAAAAACCAAAATTTAAAATAATAAAAACATTATTTTCGTAAATTTTCCCGTTTTTCTACACTGTTTGGAAAATCAAAAAATGACCGCCATAAAGGTACTAATTTGATAAAATTTCTTTTCAGAAAAGGTGCTGTAAAAATCGAAGAGATTTCTGGTAGAAATTGTGTACACAACACAAAAAAATTAAAAAGTAAACATCATTTTTTTAAACAAAATTATCATTAACGAAACCCGTCAACTACTTGACCCAATTGATAAAGGTTTCACCTAATAGCGAAACTGTCATTAAATGTAGACAGTGGCGTAACCAAAGTGTTTTGAAAGTAATTTTTAAAATTGTTATCACAACAGTTACATAATTATGTTATTTTATTGTGGTTTATTTTCATATTTTATTGGCTTATTATGTAGGTCGTAGTATATTTTTAAATGTAATAAAGAAAATTAACGTTAATACCGTTAACAGACAGATACATGCAATTTTCAGTTTGTTTTTTTTTTATCTTCCCATCGAGCAGATACCTACATGACACTGTTTATTATAAACAGAGCTGGGTATTATTGTATAATTTTTAACATCCGATTATCTGGACCCGCGAAATATCCGTGGATAGTTGCAGGAAATTCTATTGTAATTCCTAATCATTATCAACGTTAAACGAACGTCATGATTCATGATATGGATAGCCTTCGCATTCAACTGCATACCATGATGAACAATACTATAACAAATTATAAGGACAGACTTGATCAAAAAGATTAACCCGTTTTACCTATATAAATAATAACAATATTACAATATTTTACAAAAGCAGAACATGCTATTTATTTATAATAATAGAAAAAAAACAACCAAAATACGAAATAAAAAGCAATATTTATTGTTAAATCGGATATGATAATAAATTCAAATTCGAGGGTTTCAGATACGTGAGTCACAAAATGCCGAAAAGACCGATAATTTGGATTAAGTTCGCACGTTCACGGTGTTGAGTTACTAGTCATTTTTCCGTCACCGGCTCCCATTTTATAACACGATGACCAGTTTTACGTAGCTTGCATGTTGAACGTTGTAGTGGAAGTTGTAATAATAAATAGGCAGTATTTAAGAAGCAGGATAAATTATTAATATTATACGATTACAAAAGGAATAGTAAGGGAGAATGAAGAAAACAGTCGGTGCGGCGACGCCGCCTGACTACGTTCTTCAGTTTTAATTTAGTTTATTCAATGACTTTTGTGTTTATTTTTATAGATTCCGAGCGTAGCGAGGGAGCTATTGGTTTTACTTAGATGTTTATTTTTTTGCTTTCTTTCTTTCTTTGTTCTAGTCTGTGGACACGTTTTTTCCTTCCTAGTAAACTTGTTCCGATTTTCACGTCTACCAATTTTTCTGAAAACTCAATTTGTAGATTGTACTTTAAAAACGTCATTTTTTCCCCGTTTTCTCATGTTTTTTCCATTTATTGGGAAAATTCCCGGGAATATCAAAATATGACCTCCTTAGTACTTACCCTCCCTAATCAAATTTCCTTTTAGAAAAAGTGCTATAATTGTAAGCCGGAGGAAAATTGTTGACAGAATAGTTGTCCCTAGTTATATTTCCTTTTAAAAAAAATCATTGTATAAATTGGTGAAATTATGCTGGTAAAAAAATTATGCACAGAAAAAAAAAATAAACGTCATTGTAAAACTAATAATATTCCTCGCTACGTTCCGAATCTAAAATATTATCATATTCGAATGAATGATATCTACTCGCGAGTGGAATTCAGAAGACATAGGAATAGGTACTTATCTAAAATAATTTCTATAGGTCTGTAATACCGGTCGTCATAAATACAGTAGATTACGGCACCAAATTGAAAAAGCATTATAGGTGAAGCGTTATAATACTCTTCACTTTTACTTGTTACCTACCCGACGTGGTTTTGCACAACAAATCTAGGGTTATTTTCGATTAAAATTGTCCGAGTGAGCGAGTGACCGTCTTGAGTCTCTAGTTCCACTTATAATGCTTTTTCAATTTGGTAATAAACTGTATTTATAACCACTCCTATAATACCCCTTTTACCACGTGATGGTGGTGATATGGTATCTAATTCTTCTATTTCAAGTAAAAATTATTCCTCAACGATTTTTGGTTTAAAAATTCTCGGGAAAAAAAATACTCCGAGAATGAAACTACATAATATGAAAAAAAAAAAAACAAAACAAAATTATAACTTTTACTATATTATAAACCCATTTTTTTTTTTAGTTGTAGGTATTTACCAGTATTATTTCATTCTGCTTATAGTAGACAGAGCTTAAAAATATAGAATTGAATATTTTAAGTATGAAGTACAATATTGAAAATAGTAATAAATAATATAAAAATGGTTTAAAATTAGATTTATTTGTATTCATTGGTCATTTAAAATTGTTATTAGGTAGGCACTAATCTAATTAAAACATTAATACCTACACAATATTATGATTATTTCACATACATCTCGGCGTTTTGCCAATACCATAGTTATACTATTTAACAAAGAAATAAATGTAAATATCATTATTGAACCTTGTAAATTTATTGGCTATTATAAATGAATCTATATACAGTTATTCTTGTGCCAATCAGAAAATTATTATGTATAAATATTCATATAAGTCAGTCTGTGTTCTTTCGAATAGGTAAACATACAAATCTATTCATGTCAGCGGGGAAAAAAATATGCTCTTCGATAAATCGAACTATAGTGTACATATTCAACAGACACCTATTCACCATTAACACATTTACCGGTTCCCTACTAATGTGTACTGGAGACATTGTGCAACAAAACGTAGAACAATATCATGGATTGTCAGACGGTTATGACTGGAAGAGAACAGGTAGGCTAATCAATAATATTAACCTCTACATGTTATATTTTTTAATAGCTTACCTGTTTGTTGTTGTGTGGATGTATGAGTGATGTATTTGGTTGTTTATAGCACGAATCACTATTGTGGGCAGCGTTTTGGGATCTATGCAGTATTTCTTTTATCGGTCTTTGGACAAACGATATCCAGCTAAGGACATGCGTACAATAGCTAAAAAAATAGTCATTGATCAAACATTGTGTACACCAATGAATATTTTCGTGTTCATTTATGGACTAGGTCTTTTAGAAAATACTCCTTGGGCTAAAATGAATGAAGAATTCAGACATAAATTTTTGGTGATATTTTCGGTAAGTTGTGTAAATATAAACGTATAGTTGTTTTGAAGTATATATTTTCTCATTTTAATTAAAAACTCATTACTGATATAACTGTTTATTGATTAATAATACAAATAAATAATATCATCTGGAAATTGTTTTAGTATACCTAATCTAATATTATTGAATATGACACAATTTATTATTTAATTAATATAAGCAAAATCAGTTTGGGGATGTAGGTGTTTTTATTTTTTAATTGAACTTAGGTTACATTACTTATTTCCAAAATATTTAAATACAGTAAAATAGTTGTTATCGTGTAGTCTATTAATAAAAATATTAATAGAAAAAAACACTATTAAAACAAATAAAAACAACATTATAAATAATTAGCTTTTGTTTTAAATTTTAAATAACTAATTTAATAAAATTTATTCAATTAGATGCACATTTTTTAATTTTACGTTGAAAAAAAATATGCTAAAATAATAAAAAAATTTCTAGACATTAAAAATAAAAAATTAGGTATTATGTTTAATATTTATGTTTAATCCACTTTTAGGTTGATTGTGCTGTTTTTGTTCCATCACAATACATTAACTTCAAATTTGTAGATCCAAAATACAGACTTGTATTTGTAAACATGGTTTCTATTATGTATGATACTTTTCTCTCATATATTAAGTATACAGTAAGTAGTTTATTGGTTTAATATTTCATTTAATCTTTATAATACACACTAATAATTAATACAAAAAATGTTAAAATTTTCAGCATGATATTCTCAAATCAATGAAAAAACAAAATAATAACGATAATACCTAAATTCAATACAAAGCCCAATAAATCTGAAAAAAAAAAAAGAATATATTTTTAGATTTATAATAATTACTTGTAATTAAATGTATAGTGTATAAATAATTGTGTATTAAATTTAAAGCAAACCTATAATTTCAGCAAAAAGTTTTTTTTTTTAAATATACACTATTATTCATTGAGATCATGAACACCAGAAGCAACCAGTTGTCTAGCAAGCCAATCAAGTCCTTCATAAAGACCAGCACCACTTGGGGCATCACAAGCTTGTATATGCCAACTGCGCCCACAGCACAATCTATGCAAGGCAAATAATTCAGTTATGTTTTCAATAGTTGCACATCCGTGTATATCCTTAAAAATACAAATTTGATGTTAAATAATTCTCAAACAAAAAATGTATTTGAAAAAATAAATTATATATTCTACTTGTTTGTTTGCCAAAATCAACAATGCAGCATCTTTCAATTCTTTTTCTGTCATTAGCTTTGTTAATTCATTAGCTGACTCTAATAGTTTTTCTGGGTTACTGGAGTCAATCACAAAGATGACTGCCTAAATATTGTATAGAAACAATAAACAGTTAAATGTTAACTTTTGTTATCATTTATTACTTATTAATCATTATAAATAACGTATTTACAAAAACAATTGTTTTAAGTTTCAAAACACATCAAACCTGTGTATTAAGGTAGTAATGTTTCCACAATGGTCTCAATTTAGGTTGCCCGCCAACATCCCATATTGTAAACTTCATATTTTTATAGTCAACAGTTTCTACATTAAATCCAAGAGTTGGAATTGTAGTTATAAATTCATTTTGTTTCAATTTGAAAAGAACACTTGTTTTGCCTGCTCCATCTAAGCCCAAAGTAACTACACGAATTTCCATTTTTGGACCAATATGCACTCTATTGTCCTATTTAAAAATGAACAATAAATTAAAAACAAAAAAAAACAAATTGCCAAACATTACTTTTGTGAAAGTTATAGGTATGCTGACGTCTGGTTGTAACTGCTCTGGACTAAGTTCAGCAAATGTTTGTTTTTGTTTTTCGATAACATCTAGAACTTCATTAATCTTTGCACCAGCTGATATCACACGGAAATCATCCTGCCGAAGAATTTGTTCACACTGTAAACATATCAAACCCACTTGTGCTAATGATGACCCTAACACTTCTTGCAAGCCCTTTATTGAACCTATTCTCTCTCGTATGTGTGTATCAATAGTACTTAAGGCAGCAGTTTCTTGAACTTGTAATGCTTCACGTAGATGTTGAAAATATAACTGAACTCTGGTCAGTGCCAAACGACCTGTACTGGGAACAGATTCTTCATCAACTACGCCATTTGCATCTGTATCTCCCAAACGTGTTAATGATTGATCTGAAAAATATAATAATTATGTAGTGTTTTTTTTTACTGTTTTATTAAATTAATATCTAAAAAGTGCCTAATTTTTGTAACCTACTAAATTTTAATTATACCTCTTCAAATGGGTCATAACAATATCCCATTAGTTTTAAAATGTATTTCTTCTCATATCTCTTTTAACTATTTACCCTCACAACACAATACAATGCAATGATTTTTTCAATTTAATATTTATTTAAAGTATTATTTTCAGCTTTCCTTATATTATATCTTTAAACTATTCAATAAATCTCAAACACATTTCTATTATTAAAAATATAGTAATTTTTGATTAAATATTTTACTTATATTGCAGATTTTTACCTAATCTTAGAATAGCATCATTAAGTTCTTGTAATAAATTTCCCATTAATGGCCCAGCATTTTTTATTTTGGATCTTATATTTTCTGCTTCTACTTCAACTAAAGCATGCTGAAATATATGTATATGTATGTATATATATATATATATCAAAATCATTATATTTACTTATTCTTATGATAAAATACCTTATGATTTTTATGTGTTCCATAATCTTTACAGACAAAACACATAAATAAAGGTGATGGTTGACTACAACTTTCTTCCAAACAAGTGAATTCAGCAAGATGAGATTGATGCACTGAGCATCGAGGTCTTTCTTGTGGTTTTTCAGATAGAGGGACACGACGATGTTTAATCAAGGTCCGTGTATTATGAGTTTGTTCAGAACAATAGGAACATAAATTTGTACAACATACAGTACAATAAAGAACAGCTATATGATTAGCACTTTCATCACAAGGTACATGCAACTAAAAATTACCCAAGAATAAAATCATAAGTAACAAAACAAAAATTTGATCAAAAACTATATAAAAATATACTTGTTCATCTCTTTCCATTAAATCTGGTCTAAAATATGCAGTAAAATTCATATCTGCATCTGTATTGTTGGTAGGTGGTTGTAAACGTTCCAAAAGTTCTAATAACGCAAAATTTTTTTTTAATCCCCATACTCCTGAACGTCCTATAGGTGTTATTTGTCTGTCAAATGGGCATAGAATTGAAGAACTTTGTTCATTTAAACGTATCAAACAAGAATGACAAATAGTGTGTCCACAATATAGTAAACGTGGAACTTTATCTCCTTGGAGAGTGAATACATCTTCACAAACACGACATTCCAGGACCTAAAAATATGTTAATAAACAATGATAAACAACTTTATTCGTAGATTTTTAACCAATAATTATGATATAATTTGATTACAATATGATTTAATATTTAAATCATATTGGAATTGTTTCTTTCAAAATGTTGAATCTCTATCCAAAATTGTACAATTATTACTACAGTAATTACAATTAATATTAAATAATAATGCATTTATCTTAAATTGAATATTTGATAGTTAAAACTGTTGTGTAAAGCATGTAAAAGTACCTATGGTAAATAGCCAAATAAAATTAGTAACTCATTAATTCTTGTTATGTACTTATATAATAGGAATTAGGCACACATACAATTAATTATGAGATTATATATTTAATGTAAAATAAGTGGATGTATATTATTTATTGTATTTAAGCTAATAAATAATACAGACACTGAATAATAAAATAGATCTTACATCTGACGATTTCACGGGCATTTGTGGTAATCGTCCAAATTGCAGCACACCTAATTCAAATGTGTCACTATTCATTATAGTTCATACAATATTTGAATTGTAAATCTTTTACAAAAAAAAAGGAATTAATTTCATACACAAATAGCAAACATTTTAAAATGAATCATAATATAACTAATAATAATACATAGTTGTCTTCAAAGTTTAAGTCTTGTTCGTTGATAACATGTAGTTAGAGCTTATGTCTTATCATTTATTTTTTGATTACCATCATAAACCAAGATAATATGGAGTATGGGCTAGCAATGGAAACAATTTCTTCGATCAAATTTCGAAAGGTAGACTTCATGGAAGGAGTAAAACAGAGATTTATTTTTTAAATAAGAATAAAAAATACAACTCGTGTCCTATTAACGTAAGGATATTATAGATACTTGTCCAGGACCTGCCTACTGGATTTAATTAATCCTTATCATCGCATATTTATCATATTAATCGTATAATTGTAATAATACCACTGTGCAGGTAATAGTAGGTACATCATACGTGATTACGCAAATTCGATAAATTGCGTGTGATATAAATTTTGCGCATGCGCATTTGTCCCAACTGCCCTTAGTTATGTTTACTTCAAATATTTAATCAATAGCAGGCTCTATCTCATAGTATATGATCTAAGGTTGCATACCTAGGTACCAAAGTTTATAGATAATACTATTATATTATTATAATTATAATAAATATTACACAATATTATATTATTATAGATAGTAATAATTAATACATATAGTATTCTGTAAATCTTGCGTAGATTCCACTATTTAAGATGATAATATGGTTGCCTATCGACTTGTGAGTTGTGATAAGAAGGATCATAAAGTGATCCCCCTCTCATAAGTCGTGGGATGTTTATTTTTGTTACTCAAAATATCCATAATTCTTAAGTAAAATAAAAGTACAAATACCATACAGATGATTCCGGGTCTTGGAAATACTTTGAAATAAGAATAAAAAACACTTCTCATATATAAATTATAATATTCTCTCAAGGGTGAGATAGAATTATAGAAAACTAAGTGAGAACAATCAATTTGCAAAGATATAATAAAATAATATATTTTTAGCATCAAAATTGGAAATGATTAATTTAATTCATAGATTCTTAACCTTTTTTTGGTTATGGACCCCTTTCAAGTATAAACCATAACCATGGACCCCCTCCAAAAAAACCTACATTTTTAATGCTAATAATATAAGACTTATTAAATACATAATTTTGTTTATTCATATTTAGGATACATCATACATACGAATGGTTTGGTGTTTATTTAAGTTTCAGTGTGATATTTGTTGTTTTGATTGTATTATCGCTTTGAAATTCGAGACTGTTTTAGACAGAGCAATACGCATATCATCTTTGATATCCAATCGGTTTCGTGATTTTGTTTTGATTGTAACCATTGAAGATAAAATAGGCAAAATAGGAATTCGTCTTTAATAGTCCCACAACACATATAACGCACAAAAACTAATAATTGGCTGCATTGAGAAATGTCAGTACTTTTATCCAGCTGCATACTAAACTGAAAAGGGGTAGAATTTAATTCTGAAATTACTTGTTTTAAAATATTATTTGACATATCAGAGATTCTGGAGCGAATAGTGTCATTTGACAAAGGTACAGCTTCAATTCTTTTTCGTTGTTCTAAACCACAAACCAATTCTACCATTTCTAATGCACACGGTTTTATTAATGATTCTCCGATAGTATGCGGTTTCTTATTTCTAGCAATGCGATACGCTAATTTGTAAGATGCTTCGCGTCATGGTTTTTGTAGAGGTACAAATACAAGGTTGGTTAATGTACCACCTTTTTCAAAACGTGCCTTTTTTGTTTGGAATACTTCCGAATTATCTGATGAATGTTGAGGATGTAATGAAACAATATGTTCTTTGAGTTTTACTAGTTTCATGCTTCCATTTGCGAGAATTTTTCCGCAAATAAAACATTGTGGTTTTTGCGTACCATCGCGTTCGGTAATAAATGTAAAACCATACAATGTACATGAGTTATCATATTTTCTTTATTTTTGACATTGACATAATACATTTTCAACAAAATAAAAATTTAAGGAATACGTAAACTGGAGTGATTATGACGAGCGAATAATTAAACGCGGTAACGGTCGAAATACCTAGGTGACAAAACACAATTTAACGAGTTTAACGACACTAGATGAAACGCGACGGCGTCGGGTCAACTGCCAACGCAGTATAGTGAGAGCTGAGAGATAGGTTTTCGTGATCAGTTAACATTGTTAAATTGTATTGTCACAGTAATCATAAATATCGTAATCAAGATATGATATTGTATGAACAAATAATGACTGGTTTTTCCCGTTGTGTTTTGAGTGACTGAGCGAACAAATTTCATTTGTATCTAATAGGCAATAGCGTTATCGAATATTTTACCAAAATGATATGAACAACCACTCAAGTTTACGTAAATAATAAATATGCATAATGAACAAAATGTTCACAATAAAAGTTTACATTATATACATAACATTTTTTATCTTAACCGACGATTTTGATTCATGGAATAATTTGAAAAATCTCACACCCACTTTGTGCACCCCCGAGTTACCCTCTACGGACCCCCTAGGGGTCCATGGACACCAGCTAAAAACCCCTGATTTAATTTAAATTTTAAATTCTGAATTTAGCGGAGAATGTACTTATTGGATTTATAATGGTTTTTTTGTTTTACATACTTTGACGAAAATGTCTACCAGAAATCTTGTTTCAATATATAAATGTAGCACCTTTTTTGAAAGAAAATATTGTCATATTGACTAGATGGTACTTTAGTAAGGTCAGTTTTTGATTTTCAATTTTTTTTTTTTTTTATTGTAATTCAGTTCAAAATATTCGTAGAGACTTAATTGGTGGAAGATGGATTAAGATTTTAGGAAGATACAGATTAAATAGATCTTTTATGGACGAAATACACGTTTAAAATTTATATTCTAACGTATTTATGTATTTCGTGTTTGTGGCTGTACCTTAGTTCAGTGCGTTTATGCCATGGATAAAAATGTATTTCATGGAATAAGATTATACAAAATGGCGATGTTATCAATTATATTTTGCTTATCAAATATCAACGTAATTACGTTTGTAAGTATACGAGTTATCGACTTTAATGTCTATGTAGCACATACTAATCACAGATATATATATGAAATATATTTTATGTATATTGTGGTAGTAGTAGCATAGTACCCATTGCCCATAGAATATCATGTTTTTGGTGTTTGTATCAATTGGCCATTCAAATTTGGGAATTTAAATTATCAACAATTAATATTATGATATGTTTGTGAATTTGTGGTAAATAATTATTATTTCAATACAATATGTACGTTTCATTTCATGTTTCTACTTTCTAATATGCTTATAAAATAGATACCCACCAATAAATTACAAATATTCTTGATTTTTTTTCATTGTCAACATTTTGAAAAGGTAAAACTTGATTCACTTATTACTTGTTTTAAATTATTTAATTGCAATAATGATTTACGTTTTACTTTAGTGCAAGAAAATGTCTGATTGTGTTGAAAACATGGATCATAACACAAAATTCTGTGATCATACAAATGATATTGAAATTGATGAAGTTTATGATGAATTAGACAAATTAATCGACTCTGTGGAAACTGAAGAAAGAGAATTACTGGTTAGTACTTGCTTAGTATTTTTCTTATTATTATATTCAAATGTAATTATAACGACTAAATTGTTTATGTATAATTCAAATTTATTTATTTTTTTTTTTTAGTAGCTTATTTTTTTAGTTATTATATTTTTTTACCATTAAAACTAAAGGTGCACATTATATAAATTATGAGCCCAAAGTGAAAGTGGTTACTATTACAATGCATTTATTTTTGATTAACTGTTGAGTAATTGGTATTAAAATGATTTATATGTTATTTAATAAGCCGATCATTTAAAAAAGATCTATGTGTTGTACTTTACAGAATCGATTTATTAAATTACTTAGTAATAATATATACTTAATATATTCTAAAATATCAACAAGAACAACAATCATTTTAATCTTAATTCTGAAATCTATTGTGTTATTTAAATTTGATGTTAGTGAGCGCCAAAACTCTTGTAGTGTTGCAAAGCAAAAATAAGAATAAGACTTTTAATTATATTGAATGAATTTTTAGTGCTTGGACCTTTTGTCCAACAATAAAAAAAAATGAACCCACACTTTTTGTCTGACCAGACTTTTTGACCATGAATTTTTGTCTGGATTTTCTGTCCAGTATAATAAACAATAAAGAAAAAAAATGATATAATTTTGACCAGCACCAAGGTATGTGTATCAAAACACAGTAAGCGTGTTAAATGTTTTAAAAAATTTTATTTTATTTTAATTGGACGTTATATAAATGTTACTTAGTAAGAAAACTTTTATGCATACACAAACAAGTATATACCTACACTCATTAGAAGTAATTGAAAACAAGTGTGGTTTAAATGCTGTGATTTGCTCCATCCAAAGTTAAATAAATTTATAAACAACATTCAAAACTATGAAGCCAGATAATTCTTAACAAAAAAAGGGATTAAGATTTTTACTATCCAGTTATTTCTATCAACTTTGTAGTACATTTGATTTTTTGATAGTCACTATTTATATAGTTTTACGATAATATATTTATTAAAATTTACTACTAATTTAATTTACTACCCGGAATTATATATATTTGCATGTTTTTACATAGTGTATGCACGTTGATTGAGATTTGAAATGTCTACAATTCATATCACACCGAATTTAAATACTAAATTTGACTTTGTATATTTTGCATATTCGGAGGATTATTGTATACTAGTTTATAAATGCATAAAACATACATATAATGTGTATTTATTATTGATAAATCCATTTTAATGGAGAAAAAAAAATGTTAGCATTGTTTCTCAGAAGAATTTTGTTAAAATATTATTATATTTGCCACAGTATATGAAATCAGAGCTCTAACCTATGGCTCACAATCACGTATGTCATGGTGTTATCATTTTATGAATTTGTTTTTCATTCTTGTCGTGTGTGATGTGTTGTTATATTTTAAAATCTTGCGTGGTAAAAAGCATGTAATTTTAGTTTTATTATTTTGAAAGTTTATTGTTAGGTTTTTAGATGTTATTTCAAATAATATAATATATAATAAATGATTACTAAGTTTATTACTATTCTTGGTGTAAAAATGGTGTTTTATTTTTTTAAACATATTTTATTAAGTATATTATAATGCATATAACTGTATGTAGCCACTTTTTGTAAGCATATTTGCATCATATTTAACAATTTTCAAATGCATTTAATTCTGAGCTCTAGTTAAAACTCATAAATATTAAATCTTATATTAGTGTTATGCATATTAAAATTTCTAGAAAAATATTCTCCATTAAAATCTATGTTCACAAGGGGGGAGGGGTTCATATTTGAAAATCAATAGTATTTACTTATTCAAGATATATGTTGTAGGGGTAAAATATTAAAAATGGTTTTAAAATAAATTTTAATCGATTCCATGATTTTAAAAACATAAATCAAATTCACTTAAAATCCTATAAAATAATTACTGGTTCATGAAAAAAAAAAAAATCACTGTATGTATACAAAATATAAACTTGTATAAATCTTAAATTATTCCTGTAGATTTATTTTTAACTTGGGGGGGAAAAAAGTATCTATTAAATTCTAAAGTATGTATTATAGATGAAAATAGAAAATGTTGAAAATTCAAATGGAATTAATGAAAAAGTATTGGAGTCAAATGGATTAGTTGATCCTAAAAGTGAAGATAAAGAGGTATATATATATATATATAATTGTATGTGAATTATAATATACAAGAGAAACTTGTAAATTGATATATCATTTAGTTTGAGCATATTTGTATTGTGAATACACAAAAAAGAAGTAGTTCTCTAATTATTAATTAAACAGATTCAAATATTTTAAATAATTAAAAATTTCAATATTTGTTAATATTCTAGATTAAAAAACAACTATTTGAAAAGAATTTTAAAAATGATGGGAAAAAAAGTGATGAAGAAAACAATCATTTTGAGTATAAAGATAATCAAAATAATTCTGAAGATGGTAAAGAAGAGCTGGAGTTGTCTGAAATGATTGTGTGTGATGAAGTAACTGGTGATACTGATGATGTATGTCTACTGTTAACATTTATTTTTGAATTGATTTAATTGTATGTTAATCATTTTATATAAATATAAACAATTATTTATAGGATGAGAATAAAATAGACGTTGGAACAACTGTAACAGATGATAAAGATAAGTATGAGAAAGACAACAAAAAATTGAAAAAAGAATCAAAAGAAAAAGAAAGTAACAAAAAAAAATATGATAAAAAATCGGGTAACTATTTTTTTTTTTTCAAATTTTATGTTAAGTTTAATTATTTATTTGTAAAGATAAATTTTTGGTTTTGTAATTATGGAGGATTCTTGACAAACTCATAGAGGGGTTAAAATATTATGCCACACATTCCACTTTTTTTTTGTTACTGGGTACATGTAAACATTGTCATGAGCCATGAAGGGGGGGAGGGCTTAAGAATCCTTATAATATCAGTCTATTCATTTGTTCACAGCCGTACCAACCTTTCATTGATCTATTAAAATGAAATTTGTAATACAGTTGTAAATTGACAACCAAAAATCAGAAATAGGTACTAAGAATAAATATATACTAATTTTTGTTTACCCCATTAGGTTGGTGTCTTTAGATAGAGCTGCTAAAATTCAATAAGAAACGTTTAAGAACCAAATGATTTTAACTCTTTAAGTTACAAAATATTCACTTTCAAAGTTATTATCTAAGTGCCCCCTCATATATTTGTTTAACTATTGGTGCTAAATTCCTAAACAAAATTTTAATTTTAGTTAACATTTTCGGTGGAAATTTTAAATTATATTAAAGCAAAAATAGTTAATGAACAATTTAAAAATTAAAATAAAACAAACAATTTTACATTAACTTGATTTTGACTTACAATTTGTTTTTAATACAATGTATGGACACATACACTTTTAAAGGGGTGACCTCTAAACCAATTTGTAATAGTTCTTTTATCATTAAGTAATAATTTCATTCTATTGATATTATTTAAAAAAAAAAAAAATCGACACCATTATTTGATATTATAAAGTTATGTAATCTAGTTTGTAAAAATTAAAATATTTTTGAACATTTATAAACTGTATGGATGCTAGATACCCAAACATTTTTCACACATTATTTGTTTGGCCCTTAAGCTTCCAACATAAACAAACTAGTCAATATAAAAAGCATATTTTAAATATCAAGTTATTTATTTAAATATACTCATTGATGACTAGAAACATTTAAAAACCAAGATTCATAATTAAAATGATTTTAATGATGTCAAGATTTAGTTAAAAATTTATGTATTAAGTTTTATAATTAATTTTTCCTTAATTTAGTTTATATTGGTTATGTAACTAAGTTTAATCTAAATTATTATTTAGTTATATATATAGAGGAGAATTTAATGTGTATCTGTACGCGACGATAAATCATTGCTATCGAAAAAACGATTCTATGTAGTGTTTGCTTATATATGTTTTGAAAGGCTGTATTTACAAATTTCATATAAATTCGGTATTAAATTTCTTATGAAAAAAATATACTTCTTTAAACTCAACTTTTTTTTGTTGATCACAAAGTACAATTTTAAATCCTGTTAAATTGTTTGGCATTTCTGTTGGATCTAACAATTTTATCCACAGATTACCTACTGAATAAATATTATGTGAAAAAATTATGAAAATTAAAATGCTTATAAATAAATATAAAATGGCACAAATGTGTTGAAAATTTTACCACGTCTAAATAAGGCAAATATAAGTGTTATATTAAATTTTAAAGTCTCTACAGATATTTTTAACTAAATCACAACAAAAAAGGAAAATTTAAAATAATACATTTCGTAAACTGTCCTGTTTTCTTAAAATACTGCTTAGAAAAATTTCTTTCAGAAAAGGTGAAATACTTAAAAAATAGAGCATGATTTCTGGTAGAAAAGTTGTTCACAGATAAAAAAAATAATAAATATAATAAGTTTTAATTTAAACATCATTGTACCAACTAAAAATTTAATCTTCTTCAAAGAACATTATTATTGTTTTAAAATAAATAAAATTGTTTATTTAAGTAAAAAATACTATGTGATTTAATACACTATGTTGGTTTTTTGTTCTTAGCATTTAATTTTGCCTTTAACCCATACCCATATTTTAATCTAACCCATATTTAGATTCTAAATCAAAAGATCGTTCAAAAAAAGAAGATTTCAAACGCAATGACAAAAAACGCTCAAGAACACCAAGCAAAGAAAGATCAAGCAAGGACAGTTCCTTAAAGAAAAGAACAAAAACTGTATGCTAACACAATATTATTGATTTTTATTTTATTCTTATGAATGGTTTTTAAATATAAATATTATTGTCTTATTAGATTGACAAAGAAAAGGAGTCCAAAAAACTTAGAGAGCTTGATAAATTTTGGCAAACTGTGCGTGATGATCCTTCTGATTTTATTGGCTGGACGTATTTATTACAATATGTTGATACTGCGGTAAATTTATTCAATTCCAACTATACTAATTAAACTAATTTTTAGATTCTGAGCAGAGCGAGGAATGTATTGGTTTTATAATAATTAATTTTTCTGTGTATAACTTTTCTACTAGCAATTCTGATTTTTCTAAAAGTTAATCTGATTGAAGTACTTTAAGTAGTACTTAAGTACTTTTATTACTTTAAGAAGGTCATTTTTTGATTTTTCTAATAAATGGGAAAAAATGTAGGAAAAACTGGAAAATGTACAAAATGTATTATGTTTTCAATTGTTTTATTATTATTATTATTATTATTACTATTCAGTTAAAAATACTTGTAAAAACTTGAAGTTTGGATAGAAAACTTAAAGTTGTCATTTCTAGATGTGGTAATATTTTTAAAACATTGTACCAGTCATTTTAGAGCCATTTGCTGCAGACATTAATTTTCCAGGTTTTTTTTACATAATTTTTGTAATTTTAGACCTAACAGAAATGCTAGAAAATTTAACAAGAGGTGCATTATGAGTTATACTTTGTGGTCAAAATAAAAAAATGTATTTTTTTTTTAAGAATTTATTAAATTTTGATGAAATTCGTAAATATTATAAAACAACACTATTAACCAAACTCCGCTCAGAATCATTTTTGTTGACAATGGTTCATCGTTGGGTGTAAATATACATTCAATTTCCCCTCTACCTTCCCAATTTATAACCCACACCCACATGGCCCTCTCATCATGCGAAGTATGTCCATATTATTTTAATTGTATAATATATTTTTTAGAAAAATATAGAGGCAGCCCGTGAAGCTTATGATGCCTTTTTAGATTTATATCCATATTGTTATGGGTATTGGAGAAAATATGCTGACTATGAAAGAAAAAACGGTACTAAAGAAAACTGTGAAAAAGTGAGTAGACATTTTTATTGTTATATTCAATTACATCTATATTAATAAATGGGAGCTAAATTATTAAAAAACCTGGGTGCCATAATTTTCTCAAATCCTCTGTTTAAAAGGTTACTATTGAGTGAGCTAACATACAGCCAATATTACTGTTATCATATATGATTATTGTACATTTTATAATATATAGATTGTGTATTTCTTTTGTGTTTAATATTAGTTTAAAATGATCAATGTAGTGAAATAGAACAATGTGATAATTGATTTTTATTTGTGTTAGTATTTATACTTTATTATTAATTTATGTATATATTTTTTTAACAGTTTTGTATCTATCATATGTTCTATTCAATAATACTGTTAAAAGAAGAATATTATTTTTCAATTATATTTCATTAATTTATAAGCTATTTCATAGTTGTAAGGTTAGTTTTTTATTTTATATTATAGTTAATATTCATATATATGGTAGTAATATTTTCTAAAATCATTTTACATTATGAAGAATTAAGATAAAAGTATTCAAGATACTCAAGCATTTTTTATATTTATTAATGATAATAATACACCTAAAGAATATTGTTTTTATTATAATAGTTATTATTAGGTATTATTATCATATAAACAAAAATTATAGGAGTTTTATATTATAGTTTTGTATTTCCATATGTAACTTACTATTGATATTTTCATTTTAGTACCTCTAGCACTAACAGTATTCTACTATAGTTAATAATTAATTTTAGACAATTGATGAAATCAAACAAATTTATACTCATCTATACGGTTATAATACTTGTTTAAATTAACTTGTAGTTTATTAATTCAAATTATTATCATTATGCTAACATAATTCGATTTTAATTATAAAAATATATATAATATATTTGTATCTAAGTGTCTAATTAATATTAACATTTAAGTTTAGTTACAATAAGTATTACCTTTAAGATAAAATACTTGACATTTATTTATAATTTTTTGAAGACGAAGATACAATATTTTTTTCATGGATTTACACAGTTTGGAAGTATCTACATCTTAATAAACATTTATCTCAAAGAAGGAAATTCATTTGTGTTGCTTTGTTTTCAAAAAAACATGTCAATATCATTCAAAATACATTTCTCATGTAATTCAAGCCAAGCTAACAATAATATAAGTACATTTTTGTGTTCAATAATTATATTCAAAGAAAATGTATTTTTTTTTCAATATACGTATTCTTTATTACTTATGGTTTTGTATGGTACTTAAAAAAATTCAACATTTCAGGTGCTGTGATTGATTTTATCCTTTGCCTTAAACATATTTCCCTCTTAGTAAAAATACTTCTCAGATTTCTTTATAACTATTTTACATGATTTTAGTCTAGATATTTTTCATCAGGTTGCTGCTGGATAAAGCACAAAACTGCACGCTCCGTCTGTGGCCCAAATAAAGCACCATGTTCGCTAAAAAGCGTGAAATATATGTTAATTTCAATTTAAAATAGAATTAATTTTTATACATTTGTGTATTATTAACTATATAACAAAATAACATGGCATGGTTTTAAACAATAATTAGGTGTAAGACAGAGATAATTGTGTTAAATATATATTGTATTTACAATTAAGATTAATCATTATGATTATTAATATGATTATTATTATTATTATTGTTATTAATATTATTATAATTATTATTATTATTATTATTATTACTATTGTTATTATTATTATTTATTATTACTGTTATTATTTTAACCAGTTTGTTATATACATATATTTTTTTATAACTTCATTAATAATTAAATTGATAATTGTTAAATTTAATTTAATATTAAGAATACATAATAATGCAGAATTGGGACACCCGCCAAGAGCTGTTATGGATATATTTTGGGTAAGCGGTGATTTATAAAACTAGTTATAAGGTTATTTGTAAATGTATTAGATAAATACAAATTTAAAACCCTTGGTTAAAGGCATGATTATATATTTAAGTAAAATATAAATTGTTCATAAAATATTTAACATTTAAAATTCTTTAACGTGTATAACTGTGTTCAGGTATTTGATCGTGGCTTAAAAGCAATTCCATTAAGTGTTGATTTATGGATTCATTATATGGGCTATATGAAATCAGCCTATCCAGATGATGAGGAAATGATTAGAGAGCAATTTGAAAGAGCAGTGGATGCATGTGGAATTGAATTCAGGTACATATTTATATTTTTTTTTTTAATTGAAACTTTTAAATTAATTGCAATTTATGATTTATTTATTATTATTATTTATTTATTAAAGATCAGACCGGTTATGGGATCATTACATTAAATTTGAATTAGATTGCAAGCAATATATTAGGGTCACAGATATTTATGAACGTCTAATTGCTACTCCTACACATGGATATTTGAATAATTTTGATTGGTAATTTATTAAAAAAAAGTATTGAAATAAATATTAATCATTTTTCTTAAATTTTGTGACAGTTTTAAGGATTATATTAAAAAATATCCTAAAAACAAAATTTTGGAAACTGTTAAATTTTTGGAGTTAAGAAAAGAAGTACTAGCGGAGATCAAGGAAACTGATGCTAAAAAAAATCAAAGAAAAATTGATTCAGGTTCTGATTCTGATGACTTGGCAGATCCTATGGAACAAGTATTTTATTAATACCATTTATAATATATAATGCATAATTGTATACATTTATTTGTTGATTTTTATTTTTTTAGCGCACTAAGGAAGAAAATTTGATGAAAGAAAAGATGATTGCTTCACGAATAGCAGTACATAAATCTACTGCAGAAATGGTGGCATTACGATTGCCTTATGAAGAAATGGTAAGTTTTAAACTTTTATTAATTCATATAGGTATATGTATTCAATTTTGATTATATTTTAGATTAAACGTCCATACTTTCATGTCAAACCTTTAGAAAGATCTCAGATTAGAAACTGGAAAGAATATTTAGAATTTGAAATTAGTCAAGGGGTTTACAAGCGTATTGTAGTATTATTTGAAAGATGTTTAATTGCTTGTGCTCTGTATGAAGAATTTTGGACTAAAGTATTAATTCAATAAAATTAATTTCAATTTAAAAAAAAAGTTAATATACTGATACATTACAATTCCTTTTTTAGTATATAAATTATTTGGAAAGTCTTGAATCTAATGATCAGGAAGTTACTAATCGTATAGAAGACATATACATTAGAGCATGTACCGTGCATCATAAAAATAAACCAACTATTAACTTAACTTGGGCCCTCTATTTAGAAAGCAAAGGTAAGTTTTTTGTTAATTTGTTTTCATATTTTTAACTAAACAGCATTTTTTTTAGGACAATTCGAAAAAGCTGCTCAAATCTTAGATATGTTAGACAGTGTAGCACCACACAAAAAGTTGATTATTCAAAGGAGGATTAATTTAGAGAGAAGAAGAAAATGTTATGATAGAGTATGTGAATTGTATGAACATTATATTAGTACATCAAACACTCCATTGAACTCTATTTTATTGACGATCAAATATTCTCGATTTGTTTGGAAAGTATGAGTTAAATATGTTTAATTACTTCATATAATATTTGTGTATTATGTATGTAATAATTCTTAATTTTTTTAGATTTTAAAAAACGCTGATAAAGCTTCAAACATTCTGTCTGCTGAAATTGGAAAAATTAATGTTAGTATTTAATTATATAAGATTATTAATTTTTATTTTTAAATTATGACAAGTATTTTTTGTGTTAAAGAATGTACAAAAAAGTAGTCGTCTTTTATTACAATTAATCGAAATCAAAATGAGTGATAATCCTGTGAATGTTGATGATATAGTCAAATTGTTTGATAGCATTATAAATATGAAGTCTATTGATATTGACCAACAAGTTATTTTTGCTCAGCGTAAAGTTGAATTTTTAGAAGAATTTGGCAGCAACATATTTATGTAAGTATTTTAAATTTATTATGTAAGGAATGGATGTAGGTAGACAATTTTTTAATGATTTTGAGTTATTAAATGTTTAGTACCCTAACTAGTAGTTTAAGTATTTTAAAGACCCCTTACTTGTTATCTAGTGTCAGTGTTACCTATACAAGTCATTAATCATTTTTTTAAATTTATTCTTAATATTAAATTTAATTCAACATGATAGTACTGTGTGTTATTATTCATCTAAAGATACAAGTAATAATAATGTATTGTTAGAAAAAATTTTAAATTTTTGATGCTGCTCCAAAAGTGTATCTTATGGCGATTCCAGTTCAGTAATAACATTAAGAAATTATTTATACATAAAATATAGTTCTGCATATTATTACCTTTAAGGAATATTAACAAGGAAACAATATATACATCCTATTATGTAACATTAAGGTAAAATATCGCATATAATATCTTTAAGTGCAATATTCCATTTAAAATTGTTTTCCTAATATTCAAATGTCTACTTTAATGTTTGACAAGTGTGTATTTGATTCTACTGCAGTACTTACTGCACTTGGAACTTTTGTCAAATTGTAGTTTTTTTTTTTAATTTAATGATTAATTGAATGTGACACCATAATATAAGGATAACCATAAGGTAACATTATAAATTATTGGAATATTTTTTTTACAGTTAAAGTATCAAAATTTTTTAAATTGACAAATATTTTTAAAAAAATACTGTCAATAGCAAATTGATGCTATTTAAATTAGTGGCCTTCATCCTTTTTGGATTAAAAATTTAATTAATTATTTTTGTTTTTTATTACTCATATGTTACCAAAAAAATGTAATTTCCAATTGATGGTTGATCAATACTATTTTATAGGAAATTTTTAATTATTAGTTCAATATTATTATTATTTTCATATAATTGTCTTCATAATAAACTATATAAAATGCATGTTAACTATATACTTTTTATTATTATTAAAAATAGTCAATACAAATTGAGTTTGAGTCGAAACCCATCTGTTGTAGACCATTGATTTAAAATAATGTTCCTACTATTCAAATAGATCAATAGAAATAATATTATATAATATCTCAATTAATAACGCACGTTAAAAAGGTTTTGAATATAGATTGTTTAACTGTTTTTTTTTATCACTTTGAAGTGCTAACTCATTAATTCATTTTAAAATTATGATAATCTTTTATAAGATTATATAAACAAAAAATAATGTTACATGATAGGTAGATATCTAGATATATACTTAAATGAAATAAAAAAATAATCATAAATGAGCCATACTATAAACAAATTTTAAATAGTCTTTAATAAAATGGTACTGATATTTATTCTATTTATAAGATAATTGTTGATCAAGTACAAAAAAATTATTTTTTATCTATATTAATATTAACATATTAACTTTGTGAAGAGAGTTTAAAGTTAATCATTTTGTTCAGGTTGATTATATTAGGTTAGTATACGTTTAATTTTATTTGTTTTCATTTATTTATTTATAAATGTATACAGCAGTATTCAAGTAAAAGGTATTTTAATGGCAATATTTAATGAAATCTTAAATTTCAAATAACCATTAATTTATGTCTACAAATCATAAAAAAACAAAATATATAAATTACATAAACAATTTATGAAAATTAAAAAAAAATATGTTTAATTACTGATTAAAAGTTGTCACCTCTGTTCATGTTTTTTATCTTTCACTTATCAAGGTTAAAGATTATATTTTAATGATAAGAATTATTTAAAAAAATATTATATTATATTATCAATATTCAACAGTTGGAATCATATCCTTATTCCTTAGTAATAGTTAATTATTGAGCTGTGTTGTGACTGTGTTATATTTTTGTTCATAAGTTTTCAAGATGACTTTAAAAAGTTATATTCCATATTCTACTGAATCACATTTTCCAATAGAAAATTTGCCATATGGTGTATTCTCCACTGTTAAGAATCCAGTACATCGAATTGGAGTTGCTATTGGTGATAAAATTTTGGATTTAAAGTACACCAAAAATATTTTTGATCATTCATTATATGAAATATTTCAACAACCATCACTTCATGGTTTAATGGCATCGAATAAGTGTACTTGGTCATTAGCTCGTAAGTCTATACAGTCATATTTGAGTATTGAAAATATTGAGAATTTGGAAAAAGGTGTATTTTTGGATCAAAATGAAGTCATCATGCATTTGCCTGTTGAAATTGGTGATTATACAGATTTTTTCTCATCATATTATCACGCTTACAACTGTGGTTCTCTCATGAATCTTGCTAAACCTGTAGCAGACAATTGGAAAAATATGCCTGTTGCATACCATGGCCGATCTTCATCAATAAATATATCAGGTACACCAGTTGTGCGACCCAAAGGACAGTATCTAGTTGACGGACAATTAACTTTTGGTCCTACCAAAATGCTAGACTATGAATTGGAAATGGCATTTTTTGTGGGTGGTTCATTAAATACTTTGGCAGAACCTATACCTACAGACAAAGCTTCAGATTATATATTTGGCATGGTTCTGTTGAATGACTGGAGTGCTAGAGATGTACAGCTATGGGAGTCTAATTTCCTTGGACCGTTTCTTTCAAAAAATTTTGCAACGACTATTTCTCCATGGGTGGTCACAATGGAAGCTTTAGAAAATTTCAAAACAGACAATTCAATACAAGATCCAACGCCGTTGAATTATTTATTGCACAAGACCAAATTTAATTTTGATATTCATCTAGAAGCAAGTGTTTGTTATGGGGAATCGCAGCAAAACTATCCAATTTGTAACACAAATTACAAGTATTTGTACTGGACTCCATTACAACAGGTTGCTCATCATACTATTACTGGCTGTAATTTACGACCAGGTGATCTGTTGTCATCAGGAACAATAAGTGGCCCTGGATTGGAAGAACGAGGTTGTTTGTTTGAGAGAACATGTGCTGGTCAATCCCCAGTGGATTTAGGCAATAAGAAGTTGATATTTTTTGATGATGGAGATGAGGTTATGATATCAGGGTTTTGCCAAGGAGATGGATACAGAATTGGTTTTGGCAGCTGTAAAAACAAAATTCTCCCAGCCTCATAATAGATTAAAACTATTAAATACATATTTTCCATTTACGTATGTTAAACATTTCAGATTTCTACATATACTATATTTTATAGAATTTTTAATTTTAGGTATTAAATTAATATTGAAATGTTTTCTAATAAAATTTGAATTGTAGCAACTTTAAACATTTTTAATAGTTATTTTTAGGTCATCGGTTTTTAAAACATTTTTGATTTGTATACTGATATAATTATTTGATTAAATAACTGAATGATTATTGTAATTCACTGTTGATTATTCAGTGGTTCTCAATTTAGATAACATAGACCTTTATCTTATAAAGTAGAGCCTAGTAGATAGATCACATTTTCATTTTTGGAGGATAGGGAGGTGGTTAGTTAAATTATCTATTACTTTTGTTATAAACATAATTAGCATTAATATTGAAAAAAATAAATAATATTTTAGTGAGTGTACTATGATATGACAATTATGATACTCTCGCTCTTTTCCATCAACATTAGTCAAATGGCCCACTTTATAAAAACCAAGATTAAATTTTACATTTATACTTACAAAATTATTATTTTTCCTTCTAATTTCTAACCTATAGCTGAAATAAAATATTGGTTTAATATTTTGCTGTATTATATTTATTATTTACCCTTAGAATTAAATTAAAGTCTCTTAAGTTTCTTTATTGATCTAAAACCTAAAACTTCTGTGTGTTAAAATAACTGCATGTTAACATGGTAGGGTAACGTAGTGTCTGTATTTTGTGGAGAAGGTTAATACAAATATAAAGATAATATTATATATGACATAATACAATTATATTATTTTATTAATCACATTGAATGTTTATAATTTTTCATACAAATTTAGGATAAATCAAGCAATAGCAGAGTTAGCAAAGTATTTGAAAATATCTAATGACCGTGAGAAAAAACCACTTGAAAGTGTGGAAAATTCCTGTAGCATTCAAACATAATTTTTGCTTGCATAATATATTGGGTTTTTCAATTAATTATTACATTTTGAATCTATTTAATGTATATAAATCAATATTTAAACACTATCTTAATTGTTCAGTTATGTTTTTTAAAATGTATCATTGATCTTGTAATAAAGACTTGAATTTTAAAACATGTAAATGTATTTTAAATATATTAATATTTATGGAAGTTAAGTCGATCACCTGAATTTAAGTCCTTTCACAAAAATAATATGTAAAATGTGTTTGTTTACAGATTAATAGTTATTAATATAATTTCTAATTTTTAAGTTCTTTTTTTATGTTCTCTATAAAATCTATAATTAACTAAAGTATTTAATTACTATATACCATACTCCTATTCAAAAAATTAGTTATAGTACTTATATACATTTTGGCTTTAACTATGTTTTCTTAAAAAAAAAAAGAAATTTTACATTATATATAATTTGTATAAATGTATTAGTTTAATATAATAAACAAATGAATCTACATTGTTACCACTAAATTTGTTAGAAAAATATTTAAATCATATTTCACAGTTAAGAGTTAGCTCCAACATTATTAAAAATTTATCTTCCAACACTTTTATATCAGCTGTTAAATAATATAAATAATAAAACAATTATTATTATAATTGTACAATATGTATGTCTTGTGTAGGTTTATAACTATGAATTACATTAATAAATGTTAAATAAGTATAACTGACACTGATGTTGAATTTTAAAAACATTTGTACAAAGACCAAAATAGATCTTTTGAACAAATGTTTATTAATAGAATGGTTAAAAAAAAATATAGAGAGTAATTTAATTTATAATTGTACACATTGATAAATCATTTTTAATGAAATAAACGATTCTGAGTAATGTTTTGATAAATTTAAATTTAAAATTATATTAATTTGTAACTTCAAAATAAAATACCGTTTTAAACAAATTTGATCACCTAAAACTTAGTTAAAATGTTAGCATGTGTAATTAGTAAAACCTAGTTTATTCTATGGTAAAACAGCACACATTTTCTACCTACAATTTATGTTTATGTACAAATTAACAACATTTCAAATGGTTCATAATAAATTCAGATCCAACCAGGTCATGAGGACAAAATTCTAAGAGAGGTATAAATTTCAATACCATTTATGTAATAATTTTAAATTCTTAGTGAAGGAAAAAATGTATTGGTTTTACAAAAACGTTTTTTCTTTTTCTTTTTTTATACTGTGTACAAAAATTGTACAAGAAATCTTGCTCAGATATATTGTAGACCCTTTTCTGAAAGGAAATTTTCTTGAAAAGGTACTTTAAGAACGTCATTTTTTGATTTTGCCAGCAGTTTTCCAAATAAAGGGAAAAGTGAGAAAAAATGGGCAATTTACGAACATAATGCTTTTGTTATTTTTTGAAATTATGTTAAATGTTATAATTCAGTTAAAAATATTCGTAGAAACTTAAAATTTGGACATAAAACTTATATTTTCCAACAGAAGGTTCATTACATCTTACATTGTGATAAACAAAAAGTTATAGTATTTTTTTTTTTATACAGGAATTTTAATATCAAATTTTGATGAAATTCGTTTGTGTAAAAAATTATGTGGAACAAGTCTAATTTTTCAATTTTTTGTTTTGAATATAATGATTTAATAATGATGGTGAATTCAGAATTGAGCGGACTGACTAAGTTTCAAAATTATAGCTTCTTGTAGTTCTGATATTATGCGTATATTATATGTTATATTAAATAACTCTGTGTTGTCTACTTTAAAGTATGTTTGTCGTAGTTTAATGGTGTTGTAGGTACCTATTGTCATGCTAGGGATCATGAGTTCAAACCCGGATTTCAAAAAAAAATTGTTGCATTTTTATCCCTTTTTACCTAAACAGGGAAAAAACATGTATTTTAGGTGTACCTAGAGACCCAGCTATCGCCCGATCAGACTATTTTAATCAAATAATACCCCTCGATTTGTTGTGCAAATTTTTATATTTAATTATTTTTGTATATTTATTTAAACAACTTACCTACTACAGTATCTAAAGTGTAGCTAGTCTGGACATTCGGTTACTTCGGACAACAATCAATTATTTATATTACGTATATATACAAAGTGTAACAGGATTATTTGAAATTTTTACATATAAAAATGTTAAATAGTCCTGTTACACCCTGTATATGTATATACATTATACACATAAGTACATAGTATTATATACAAATAATTTATGTTAACTTATAATAGAAGAACCGTTTATTGTCTTTATCATAAGCCACAAGAAAACTGTAACAGGATTAGATGGCAAAATATCAAGCAAGTTAAAATAAGATGGATTAATCATCAAAGATTGCAGGTTGGAGTTTATGATGGAGTTCAGGCCAATATTATTTCAAATGATTTGGCTGTATAAGTTCCATAATGTGCTGCTCACGGTTTAAATTTAATTGGCGTACAAGCAGCATAAACTTCTCTAACTATTATAATATTTTTTAGTGTTATTCAAAAACTATTTACATATTGTTCTAGGTCGATATTAAGATGAAAAAATATTAAAAATAACATTAAAATCATACTGTGAGACTACTAAAAATCAAGCCGTAAATGTACTTAAAAATAACTTAAAAGGTGTATGAAATATTTAAAAATTTATTATTTCAAATAAATTTAACATTTATATATTTACTCAATTTATGGAACATAGTTATAAACCAGATAGACTAGGTCAGTACTGTATTTTAAATTAAAAACCAAACTATAGATGTAGCTGTAAAAATGTTCAATGGTTTAATAAAATCAATTCAGGAAATAAAGGAAAATTATTTTCAAAAATGTCTGCAAAAGATATTGCCAAGTCCTTTCATTAGAATTCACAAACAGAAAGTAAATTTAGAGCTTAAAATTTTGAAGCATTTTAATTCTGTATTATCCAGTATATTATGTTGGTGGTTTGAAAAAATGTTATATTTATCGATAACTTTTTTTCAACTATGGAGTCTGATTATCAACTTGACATTGAAGTATAAACGAGATTGAAATGCTATAGAGTTATATTCTAAAATAGAAAGTTTAAAATATTAGGCTCCATTATTAATGACAACATTTGGGAATGCAAATCAGTTAGATATTCTATAGAATATCCTTCAATATTCTATAGAATATCCTTCAATATTCTACTAGATTGATATCCGAAATATATTAATGTAGTATGTAGAGGTGGCACAACTAATATTTTTAACGATTTCTCTACATGTGAAAAAATCTTCAGCAAACTAAAAATAATCAAAGATCAACAATATATTGTTACCTACAGGTCAAAGTCGTCTCACCAGCATGGGTAGGTATATTACTAACAAATCTGTATAATATATATTATATATTATATAAAAATAAATGTTTGTCTCTATGTCTCTTATGCCTTCCTTAACCGTTCATCCGATCGCCATGTATCTTTAGGAAGTTGTTGAGTACACTCACGTGAAGGTTCCTGGCATAGTAGTGCATCTATGAAATTCTTTGATAGCTCCACTATAGTCCACTATTACCCACAAAAACCAGGTTTAAGTACCTACGGTAGGTACGAAGATAAAATAATTTTTTTTATTTGTGGGTTACTTTAGTAATATACGGATGCAAAAACAAATAGGTATTATTAGTTAACTGGGTTGTCATGGGCAAATTCTTATTATGTCTATAGAACTTATATGTATTCTATGGGTGTGTATGTAGGTATTTTTTTGTCTTGATTGTAGAGAAAATGTTTATTTTTAATTGTCGACGAAGAAATCAATATTGGTACAAGACATAAGTACGTAAAAAACACAATATTCTTAGACATAAATACATAAGAATGCATAGTGCATATTTTTTTTATTTTTCGAATACTGCATCTGAAGCTCGAAAGAAAAGATTAGAAAAGGAATAGAATAGATAAAAAAAATTAATATTAAAAAATTGGCATTTAACATATGCAGGTATATAAGCTGTCCTGTCTGGAGTTGCCAGTACCATTTTTTTTTATTTATATATATATATATATAAAACGTTGTTTTAAATAGACTCAAAAATTATTATGATTTTCTTCATTTTGGTTGGACTCATTAAAACTGCGATATGCTTTTGCAATTGAATTTATTCTGCTTTTTAAACAATAATATTTATCAAAGAATCGTTAGCACAAGTAAAATTATTCTATATCTTGTATATTCTATTTTCTTTTGTCTTCACTTTTGATTTTTTGTTTGAATAAAATATTAAATTTAAAAATATATAATTAATACAACTATAACAAACATGTAGTTTAAATTTTGGTTAATAATACCTACCTATAAGTAACACAAATTTCATACAAATGTGTTCTGCAAAAACTCTACAAATCTAAGAATACTCATTGGTAAGTAGATACATATTTGTAATGGTTATATGTATTTTTGTAAATAATCAGATATAAATTAGTAAACTGCTATATTAGAATTTATTGGTTATACCTAGTTTTTACAAAATTCATTAGCAAAAACGAGAATAATTTATTATTTTACCAGCAAACTGGTACAAACAAAATGTACCTACCTAGGTATATCAAATTGGAACTAGTCCAATGTGATCTATTGATAAACAGCGATCTACGATAAAGCGAGAAAAATGGGAGGTTCTATGCAGAGGTCGAAACATTAAAAATGTAAAAAGAAAAAAAAGTTGATACTGGTGACGGGTGCGCCACTGTCGTAGGTAGGAAGTTGGAAAGGTACGATAAATAAGGTTAAGTAGGTATTTAATTTATGTTTGTAATTAACGAGAAACGAAATTTGCAAACTAAAAATAATTTTGAGCGAAATTGATCTATACATGTTTTAAAATGCCATAATATATTATATGATTTTCATCAAAATTTGATCTTAAAACGATTGGACAGAAAAAACAAAATTATATAACCTTATAGACTTTTTTACCATTATATGTAGATATCTCATATATTATAAAAGTAAAATTTTAAAATAATAAAATTGTTGACGCTTCGGCGTGCCTTAAATAAATATCCGTTTTTCCTATAATATAGAAAAACAAAAAATTACCTGTGTAATGCGTCAACTAAATTTAAAATGCAACCAAAAGTAACTTGTTATTATTCAATCGGAACTAGTTTTTTGGTCGAAAAGTTTACAGACAGAAAAAAAACACATCACAGTATAACCAACAGATCCTTTGCTATGCTCCGAATCTAAATAGGTTATATTTCATTTCAATTCCGTGCTTATTTTTCGCTCCCAGCTGTTTCCGCCACGAATTAAGATTTTAATTCGTGATTTCCGCCCTAAAATTTAATACATTTTCAGTGCCTGGGGGTATATACATATAGACAAAACTTACGTAGGTAATTGAGCCTTTTTTTAAAAGCATAAGTCTTTTAAATTATGCACCCCGGGGCAAGTACCCTGTTTGCTCCCTTTAATCAAGGCCTGATAGTACTGATATAGGTATAATTTGGTAATTTTATGAAGATTACAACCCACAATCTTCAATCACATAAAGTTAGCGAAAATACTACAAATTAAGAAAATGAAGCTCAAGTAGAAAATAACCGACGGAATTATGAAAATCAAATAAAAGGACCGTGGTTATTTGATTTATCTTGACAACAAAACTGAAAGTCTATTTTTCACTGCAGTAAAAAGATCGGCAAACACTTATCAATTAGTTATAGAAAGAGAGGTAAATATTGTTAAGACTTACAGTAATCGTAAAATTCAAAACTGTGAATTATACCTAGTGTGCAAATTTCAGAGATACAAATACTGAAGCTCATACCCACACAATAAAGTCATTGTGGAAGTTAGTCAAGACCGAAGTTGTACAATAGGTACTATAATATAAAAGTTAATGATACCTTTCCGCTATTAGACCGCCAATTAATTACTTAATTGAAGAATGGTAGCAATCATATAGCCAATAAACTTAAATATTTTTTGGTTTTTATATTAGATCTAAAGAGTAATTTTTCTGTATAAATCTCACAAGCAACATTTTAGTAAGAGCATTACTATTTTTAGTAACATACATAATAATAAATTAGTTGGTAGATAAAGAACAAAGATAATTTATTTATGTAGGTAGGTACCTATATACCATTACTTAATGTCATACAAATCTTTTTTAATAATGTCTTTTGGTATTTACTATTTCCTATAGGTAGATACTTAGATTAAATTAAAATAAATTCTGTTCAAATTATAATAAAAAACCTACAAGCTCATATTATGATTCCCTTTTTATGGGATCTGGTATGGAAGCGTGGAACACACATTTATACACTCAAGAAACTAGGAGTCAACATTATTTATTTAATTTTCTATTAGTATTATGTGACCTTGTCCCGAGAAGAGGAAAACAGGATTTTTAGATATTAATTTAAAGTTTAAATACATTTTAATTAAATTAATTTCCATATAGGGAGGCGCTATAGAGAATTGGTTATACACACATATTAAATAAAAATGGTATTTACTGTATTGTAATATATTAGTTGTTTATTATAATATGATTGATATTAAGTTTAATTTTAATTTATTATATAAATATATATATATATATATATATATATATTGTATATAAAGTGGGTATAAAAATGTTAAATGTTCATGTATAATTCAAAAATCTGGGATTTTTTTTTGTACACATATTTTTAGCACACAACTGATGAGCGAACACATAACCAAACCATTTGTCATTTATCGAATAGGAAAACCATAAGATAAGATAAAATATAAACAAAATTAATAAAAGATAAATGTAGTACTTTTAATACTTAAACATTTTTAAAAATCCATTTAAAAAGTTAGGGGAGGAGAGGGCTACAATTTTTTTCATAAACCAAAGCCGTGAAGGACTACATCCCCAACACCCCCTTATATAAATAATTCTGAACAAATTTTTAATTTAAAATTTATTATGAATTAGTCTATAAATAAAAAATTATCGCAATCGCGAGTTGAAGTATAACTTTTGGATCTGATCTCAAAGATTTTTGTTGGTAGAAAAACTTCCATTGATCAGATTTTTGAGTCTCATGGACATCATGAATTTTTTTTTTATATTTTTCAAGGAATTTAAAAATTTGGTGAGCCTAAATACCGTTGTTCGTGAAAAGAACAGTTTTCAATATAACATATTTGTTTTATCAATTTATAATTAATATCAAATTTTTAATAATAGGTATCTACAAATTTTATATCATTTATACAATGCAATAATTAAATTGGTCTACCAAATAACATAAAAAAACAATTAGAATTACCTACATAGGTAATGTTGTATATGATAATTTACTCCTCACATTTACATTCATACATATATATAGGTAGATAAAAACCAAAAATTGTGTGTTCACAAATAATAATAGGTACTTACAAATATATAATTTCATAATGAAACATAAAAAGTGTACAGACTGAGAATGGTCTGTAAATGGAAAAATCGACAATTTTTTCTTAAACCCAATCGTGTATTATTTGCAACTGCAGTAGAGCGGTAATCAACACAATAATTGTTTCAACAATCGACAGTTTTAGTATTTCGAAATTAATATAATTTTGGGTATTTAGTATTGTGAGTATTCTAAAAAAAAAAAAAACTTAAATCATGTCAATAACAACAATTATTCAACAGATGATAACTAAAAACAATATCAAACAGATCACTAGAACAGTATTCCATTTATAACTCTAATTTTTGTATAAAATATTATATTTATATGTTTTTGTTTTTAATAATAAATAATATGAAAATTAAATTTTTATATTTTTGCAAGAACTTTTTGAGGGTATGCCCCCCCTCCTAATTTCTGTTAATGGTATTGTATTTTTTTATAATAGGTCATTTTTAATTCTAGTACCAGTTTTTAATGTCTACATCTACTATTAAGAAGTAATAACTCTTATTATGTACATACATTTTTGCAGAGGAATTAAAAAATTCCACTATTGAGAGGTGTCCATTAATAGAGGTTTCACTGTACAAAGAAAGAGCCAAAACTATTTCATTATTCTCCATGTAAAAAATGAGTAGTTGAAAATCACTACATCTGATGTAGTGTTTACAAATTAAAAAAGTGTTTCTCTACAATCATCACAACTTTTTTTCAAATTGTAAAAGGAAACTTTTATTTTTGTCAATCTTATAAAATGTAGTACTTAAAATATTAATTCTTCCAATATAATAACAACAATTTATTTACATTTGATGACTCCAATAAGGGAAACAGAAACTATAGTTACATATATTATTTTACTATAGACTAGAATAAAAATAGTATAACTACAAATTATATTATATTATAATTCATTAAATTCACAATTCTATTTTGATAAAAAGTACAGCTTGTAGTGTTTTCCTAAGAAAAATAGTGTTATCGCCTTACATACTACTTATCAAAATAAAACTGTACACTACCAATATAGCTAAAAAAAAGGTAACACGCTACAATAATGTTGCTACAAATAGCATGCTACTTCCAACTACTGTAAAAAATGTACATATATATTTTTTAAAACAAACAAAGAATTAAATTTATGTAGAGACAAATATATCTGGATAGTAAATGTTATACAAATAAATTAAAGTTGTGATGTAATTAATGAAGTTCCACATTCAGGTGTAAAAAATATTTAGTAAAAAGAATAATTTACACCAAAATGCAAAAAATCAAAAATTGAATTTTTTCATTCTGGTTTTTTTTTAATTTTTTTTCGTTTTGGTTCATCTACTTCTTTTTTTTTGTCATCTTCATTATAATCCTCACAAGAACATAATACTGCTAATAGTTTTTTGTGTAATTTATTTTTCTTTTTTTCTGTTTCGCTTAGGTGTGAATCACTTTTGGATGAATGTGATTCTAAAATTTTTATGATATCCTTAACATTTGTATTACCATCTTTACTTTGATGACGCAAGCTTCTTGATATAGCTTTTCTTTGGTGATCCAGTTGTGGAAATAAATCTTTGGATACCTCTAAAGCACTATTAGCTGCATTCATTTCAGCCCGTTGTATACTATGACCATTTGCCTGTGATAACCTGACACCTTTAAAATAAACAGCTACAGTATACTTTCGACCATTAGTTGGGCCTGTACATTCAATTACTTTATAAATGGGAATATCGGGTTCTCCACCATCAACTGATCGTAATGTTAAACAACATTGTTGTAGTTTTGATTTTGGGTCATTCCAATCTTGTTTTAGAATGAAATCGTGTAGTCTGGGAAAAAAACAAACATTACAAAATGCCTGACAGTGTTTAAGACCTTTATCTATATACAAGGCACCAAGAAATGCTTCTAGAAGATCAGCTCTATCTTTTGTTTTCAGTTCTGCTTTTGGATTTGCATATAATGCATAATTTACCATGCCCAGATCATCGCACACTACAGACTGAGTTCGATTATTTACTAAAGAACTACGGAGTAGTGACAAATGACCCTCGTGATGTTCTGGAAAATACTTATACAAATAGTCTGATGCTATTAACTGAAGAACAGTATCGCCAAGAAATTCAAGTCGTTGGTTTGATCCAAGAGTTAAATTTGTAAAACCCACACTTCTGTCAGTAAATGCTCTTGCTAATATTCTGATATGATTAAATTTAATACCTATAGAATTTTCAAAACAAGTTAATCTTTGGAGTAATGGTAATGTTTTAATCCATTTACGGTCCCCTTTTGGTTCTTGTTGTTGTAATGGATGTTTAGGGTAGTTCACCCATATTTCAAGGTATTTTGGTGAATCCTTAAAAAATGTTTCTCCAAATACACGATCTGCAACTTCTATTCCTCCATCTAAAAATAATGCCCCCATTAAAGCTTCAAAGCAATTAGCCATTGCATGTTTAAGTTCTGAATCGTGGCATAAATCTGAACCATGAGCATATAACATAAAATCATCCAATTTTAAAGTCTTTGCCAAAATAGCGAGATGTTGATTTTGCACAATGGCAGCTCGAAATGTTGCTAAACCACCCTCCTCAATATCAGGAAATATATTAAATAAATGTATAGAAGACACAAACTCAACAACAGCATCTCCCAAAAATTCCAAACGTTCATTATGCATAATATTTGATTCCATTTCTGATTTTTTACCAAACCGTGACATAATATTTATAAGGGTGTTAATACCTCTTTTCCTTGTATTCATAAAATGAATACGTCTATCCCCATATTCTGGTTGTCTTATACCACAATTTGTAAGAGTATTCCTTGCATGATCAGGATTTGTACCAAAATTTTCTCGATAAGATGGATGAGTTAAAGCTAATTGAAGTAAATACTTGTTCTTGAATTTATATCCTATTGATTTTTCTAAGTACTCTAAACTTTTATGAAATCTAAAATGGCACACGAGTACTGGTAAAAGCATTGCATGCTGAACTACATCACACATGATACCAGTTTTATAAAATCCTTTACTAGTAATAGCAGCTGTGACTCCACGTTTCATTTTATTATGTGACCTCATTTCTTGTAATGTTCTTTCCTTGATTTCAAGTCTTCTTTTATCCTCGGAAGATGGTTTAGGCATATTTGCAAGAAGATGTCTACATTTTACATAATCTCTCCAGCCTTTTTGATAATCTGGATTACCAGCATAACTTAATTGTGGTGGTCTAATACCAAAATGAACGACGACTGGATATAATTTAATTCTCTTATCAGTCTCCTTTTTATTTTCTCTATCTAGTTGATCGACACGTATTGAACATGGTTTAGTTTCTGGGTTTGTAATGATCATGCCTTTATATTCATCTACAATATCTTGCCATTTATTATTAGACATTTTTTTTAAAGCGTGCAATGAGTTTTCTTCAAAAAGTAATTTATTGCTATTTAAAAGATATTTAAGAACATTACACATAGGAAGTAATTCTTTATTGTTATTTGGCAAATCTCTTACAAATCTAGGCATAAAATGAAATTCAGGACATCCATCTTTATTGCCTACAGCATGTAAATCTAAATCTACCAATTCCAATATGTCTTTGAAGAGAAAGTCATAAAATAGTTTCAACTCTTGTACTACAAAATGATCTGGTATCTTTTCTTTAATGTATACTATAGCATAATTAGTATTGAATCGGATAATTTTGCATGTAGGCAATGTGGGAATAGGATAATGTGATAGCAATGAAAACCCTTCAAAAATATATTTATTACGCTCATGTTCAATAACTGTTGGAGATTTAAGTAAAAAATTTGTGCTTGGAGTAATAGTAATTCTATAATGATATAATTTGTTGGCATTATTTGTATTTGGTGAACAAGGTTCAAATGGTCCTTCGCCAATATAAATATTGTGGCGGATGCCAGATCTCTGTGATTTGAAACTACATCTGCAAACTGGCCCGTCATTCATTTCTCCTAATTCATTATACCAAAGTTCTGGATGTAGCCGGTCAGGATGTGCACCTTTTCTAGCAAGTTCTTTTAATGTGGTATTTTCATGATCTGAATCTTCATCACTTGAACTACAAGAATCATATGCATTACAGTTTTTACGTTTTATACACTTATGCTTACACATATCAACATTACTTTTACAAGGCTTGTTATATACTGGTTTTAATGCATTCACATCTGTAGCACGTTTTCCTAACACTCTTTCAAATTCATTACATCCTTCTAATGTTATATCATTTGCTATTGAAACCTTTGAGTCTTTAAGCTTTCTATAAAATAAATCAGATTTAAATGAGTGATAATGCTTTTTTTGTTCATTATTTATTATTTGTTCAATAGATAATTTTTCAGACATTTTTGTTGCGACAGATGATTTTGTTGCTACAGATGACTTTTTTGCTATATATGACTTTGTTGCTCTAGGTAATAATTTTGATTTTCTCATATTATTATTAATAAGAGATTGATTTTTTTTTGAATGTTTTTGTTTTAAATTTGTTTGATGACTGTTAGACGGCAATGAAATATTCCGAGTAGAAGTTTTTGAGGGATTATTTAAAAACTTATTTGTTAAATCAAACCATTCGTCATCTTTTTTTGAATTAGATAGATGTTGATTATTTGAATCATTAACTAGAGATCCATAATTAATGTTTGACAAATTAACTTGTAAAGGCATATTATGAGTAAATTTTTCGTCTTGGTAACACGTAGTAGTTCCTGAAGAAATTTGCGTATTGAAATTTGTTACATTAGTATTAACCATTGGTGCATTATTGAAATAGGCATTTGGATTAGGTGAAATTATATTATTATAAGGATAAGACAATGTAGGTTGTATATTCTGTGGAATATAATCATTATTGCTGAAACTTGTATTAAGGGTATTAGTAGATGGGGAAACATAAGGTACATTTGTAGACATCTCAAATCCATTATTATATGAAAATTGGGAAGTTGTAGGTGTATTATGGTAATAATTATTCATACCATTGTTTGAAACTTGGTGCATATTATGTTCATTGTTATAGTAGCCTTGATAGGGAGCCATTGGTTGATTTTGCTGGTGGGATCCATATGGCTGCATTATATATGGTCAGTGTTTTTTCTTTGTGTTTACAAAAATTATTTATATTTTAGTGTAAAATATGAAAAAATAAATCACCACGATTCTTCTTTATAATTGAGTCTGAAAAAAAGTTTCATAATTATATTGAGATTGTAATATTGTATATTTTGTATATAATTTAATCAGGTATTAAATAATCTTTTTTATAAAAGTGATAATTATATTAAAATTAATGAAATAATTATAATTTAGTAATATAACTATTTATTTATTATTTAATTTCTGTTTGTAACTTAATAATTATACACGGCAAAATAATAATTTTTCCTATTATCTTTTACATAATTACTGTTTATAGTTTATTCTAAATTAATACTGATCACCTGTATACTTTAATTGTTAAGAACTGCTCCCCTAACACAAGCTTTGCTTATATGGGGTACTGCAATATTTATTCATAACTTATATAAGATGTAAATTGAAAATATGTTATTGGTGCAATAAAATATTAATATTATTATTAACTAGACATTTTAAAATGTTACGTACAAACACATTTTTAATGTACCTACAATTTTCACAAACTTTTTGCATCGCTTTAATTATATAGCCTCAATAATCATTCATATATTTGGATGAAGATTGAAACCAATTTTTCCAACCCTTCAAAAAATATGGTTTTGGTTTGGGGAAGGGAAATGCCCTATTCTGGGGGAGGAAGTCTTAATGTCAAAAACCAAGAGTGTCAACAATCAAATAATTTGTTTTTGAATACTTCTACCGCCCATGCTTTAACAATAGATTCAATATTTCCATCACTTTTTAAAGTTAAAATCTTATTTCTCTGTATTTTCTTAATGAATAACATAATTAGCATTAATACCAGGGTTGCCACTTAAGTATAGGGCTGTAAAAAGTGATTATAGTGAACATTATATTTTTTTGAAATAATGAATTATATTCAAAAAACAAATTATTTGTTTTTAAATTTAAATTTTAATATATCATATTATATTTTTTTTAAATATAAAATAACACTTAAATATTAAACAATGACAGTGTTAATAACACAATAAAATTAAGTTCTTTGAGAATAAAACATCCCATTTCTTCTAGGTTTTATTTTATGATTAGTCATTTAAAATAAATATTAATATACAGACTAATCTGTCACAGAAGTTATCACTTAAAATCGGTTTTAACACAGTCGAACGGGGTCATAAAATAAAAATATGAACTAAATATAATAATAAAATAACCATTGCATTTTGACATTTTGTGATAATAATTATAGAAAAATGCGGCCAATAATAAATGGTAATAGTAAATTATCGTAGATATCAGGCATGTTAAATATTTAAAACAAGACAGGAAAATACTTAATTCTTAAATGCTTAGTTCATGAATGATAAAATTAAAGGAACAAATTGCAATTTTTTCCTCCTTTCTGGAAAAAGTAACAAAACTATAGTTTTAATAAAATATTTGGGAGTTAATTATTTTTCACGTTAATGAAGTGAATAAAATGATCACCTTTGCTAAAATAGTGCCAAATAGTGAAGAATTCATAAAAAAAATGAATAAAGTGCATAAGTGGCATTTGAAACACTATCACTTATTTTGTGCTGAATTTTTAATAATAATTTCTCTAAATACCATCATAAGTACTCAAATATTTAAAAAAAGAGCTGATACTGAGGATGTGAGCGGCCATTGTTGTAGGTGAAAAGTTGGGAAGGTAGGATACATAAAGTTTTTTCATTTTTATCTGTAAGCAACTATAAACCATTGCTTGACGAAAGAAGATTCCGAGCGCATTTCAGTAATACATAATTTGAAGTGCCGTAATTTTTTTTTGCAATTTTCATTTAAATTTGATTTCAAAATGCTTAGTAAAAAAGTCGTCCAATGATTTTGAAAATTTGATTACGTCTAGGTAAGTCCAATATAAGTATAATTACCAAGTTTCAAGTCTCTATGTGTAACCGAATTAAAACAAAAAAATTCCCAAAAATTAAAATTCTTTAAAAGCTTAAGTAGCTCAAAAGTTTTGGTGATGTAAAGTTTGGTGATTTTAAAGTACAATTAAGACAACTTGAGCTTTCAGAAAAGTTGCTACATGTAAAAATCGGAGCAAGTTTACTAGGAAAAATACATGTCCACAGACTAGAACAAATAAAAAAATAGTATTGTAAAACCATTAGCTCGATCGCTACGCTCAGGATCTAAAATGTTATGAGAAAATTAGATAATTAATACTTTTTTCTTTTTAACTTTAAAGTATCTCACAGGTACCTAGCAATATAATTAATATACAATCATACAATTTTATTTTAAAAATATTTTTTAGATATTTAATTTTTCTGTGAATCAATTATTGTTATTATTATGGTCAAAATGTGTAAAAAAATCGAGTGGGAGAAGGTATTATTATATTTCAAAGGAAAAATGTCAGAGACTCATAATAATGTATAACATCAAATACCTACCTATAATGTAGTAGGTAGCTGTTATAACACGGTGTCGACAATACAACAGAGCGTCACAAAATGATCGGGGTGAAATGACGTAGACTCCAATAATATTTACTACTTTCATAAGACTGTAATATTATTTTAAACATTTGTTTAGGTTAGGTTACACATATAATAATAATAATAATAGTACTAGGGTTCACGGTGTTCCATAGATTTACTGATTTAAAACAATGGAGCGATGAAATAAATTTTACTCTGCATCATTTCAAACGAGTAAATTCTCACGGACCGAAAGCACTGATTATTACAATAATGACAATTGAATAATAGCTGTAAAAATGAATTATACCTTATTTTCTTCTTACAATTTTCGTGTAATTAACGGAGATCTTGATCACGCGTACAAAGTACAGATACTAAATTTATAAATTTCAAATGATAAATACCTACGGTACGGCAATTTGGATTTCGAAGACGTCCTGACTCCTGAGAACGAGTAAGTAGTTGAGACTAGTGAGTAAAAAATTAAAAGGGTGTGTTCGCTTGGGACGCTAGGACCATAGAAAAAACTAAAACAAGCAAAGACGCCAAGTTTTCATTATACATTTACACCGTGCACCATGTCCCATGCATTAATCTATGTATTCTGATTGGCTGAACCAGGTAGTACCTGGTATCAACCAAACCATTCTGCTTATCATAATACGAAGATTTGTGCATAGGACTCGGTAGCACAGTGTAATAGAACCTCCACTTTATGGTAAATTATTTGATTTTTACATAGAATATCTCTTAAATCATATACTAGTATACTAATATATTTCCTTATTTACCAGAGGACTTGCTCCGATTTTTATATGTAGCAACTTTTCTGAAATGAAATCAGTGTAAGGAAGTACCACAGATAAGTCATTTTTCGATTTTCTCGAGAATTTTCTCATCAAATGCAAAAAACCGAAAAAAAAGAAATTTACGAAATATAATAAATATAATATTACGATTTTTTTTTCTGTGAACAACTTCTTTACCGGCAATTTTGCTCCAACTTGTAATGATAGCAATATTTCCGAAAGGAAATTTTACTGGAGAGGTATTCCGAAAAGGTCGTTTTTCCATTTTCTCTGGAGTTTTCTTAACAAATGTGAAAAACAGGGAAAATCGTAGGAAAACTGGGAAAATTGGTACAAAATTGCCTGCTTAATTATTTTACTATAAAATGACATATATATTGTTTACAAAGCATCACTATCAATTGAACTCCGCTCAGAATAATTTATTGTTGTTAACAGGTATACAGGTAAACATTAAATTACCTATAACAGTGGCTGCCCCCGTCACCATTATCCTAGGACGTCTTTTTTAAATTTAATTTTTATAATCCATTGATAATTTCTTTTGTATTGGACCTGGAATAAAATACAATATTAATGAAATATGCAAATAGTACATAGGTATTAGCTCTATAAAAATAATACCTTTTATAAAAATATTCGGTTTTTTTTTTTATTATTTATTTTTGATTCAATATGCGTTAACGATGGTGTTAAAATTTGTAATACGCTGCAATTGTTATTTGTTCTTTTTTTTTATAATTATTAAAATCAATCAATGTTTTCCTGTATAATTGTAATTAATTATTGAAATGTTTGTAAAAAATGTTTGGTTAAATTGTAATTCTTGAGTTATTAAATTGTTAACTAGTAAAATATTGTATATACCTACCTAATCCATTATTGTATTTTTATTTTTCGAAAATGTATTGGTTGTGATTAGAAGAAGGGTAATATTAGTTTTGTAAAATTAGAAATGTTGGAGGGTGAAATTTGTGTTATAGTCTTAAAATGAGGGGGGAGAATATTTTATTAAAAATTCTAAATTAAATTTAAAATGATCTATTTTATACATGTGTATAAGCAGTGTGATTATTTTTTCTAATCTTATATATAAATTTGTTTTCTTGTTAATATTGTTAGTTTTTTAAATTGTTTTTTGGTAAACTATCTTTAATAATTTAGTTTTATAGAATTTGTGATAAAAATGTAAGATTCGAATAAATTAGTTTTCTTAAATATGTATAATAATAATAATATAATATTACAGTATTGTGTTAAAAATGACTCAGAACTCAGAACTAATTGTGGGTACTGAGTGCTCAGAGAGAAAATGATATACTTATTAATATAATTTATGGGTACAACTATAATAACACTATAATACTGTAATAAGTAATAACAGTAACAACTAATGAAATGAGTCAAATGACAAGCAGTTTAATAACAAATAACAGATATTTTCAATAATGTACAAGTATACTTAATAGTATTAAAATAAGTGTATTAACATAAATATATTCAATTTAGGTTGTTATTAATACCTAATTATAATAATAATTCAAGATTTCATTAGTTTAGATAATTTAGTAGGCAACATGGTGGTAATAAATTTTTCGACAAAAAACTTTTCCAGTAAACTATTTTTTCAGCATTTTGTTTTTGACCGTTATATTTTCGTTTAAATTATTTTTGATTAAAATACTTTTCTAGTCAAATATTTTTCTGCTTCGATAATTTTCGTAAATATATTTTCTACCGAATTATTTTCCAACAAAATATAGGTCACCTTTAATTGTTTTAATTTTCTCTTCCATGGTTCAGGAAAAGTGATTCCATCCCATAAATACTAATCTATAGTCCGACCTTATCTTCTAACCGTGCTATGACCGGTTGGTATTATAACTGCCTTGGTTGACCGTTGTATGTGTATGTTTTCGTAATTTTCGTAATTTCGTAAGTTATCTATTTTTTACACTATATACACTATACTCGTTTTTGACTGTGTTGAATTTGGGTATTTAATTTTGTATATGTTTTGGTTGTAGTTTTTGCAAAACAAATATTAATAATTTATATTGCGTATTTAGTATTGCACTTGTTTACATATTGCAGTTTACATTTTTCTTTTCTATAGTGTACATATTCAATTATTGAAAAGTAAGTAAAATTGTATTCTATTTTACATTTTATAACACCATCGTATGATTTTTAGGCATAAATCTAGTTTAGTGGTCATGCGAATTTTTTAATTTTCTTTTTCAAAATGTGTAGTTTTACGAGTACATTGAATGTAAAAAAAAAAGTGAACGATCTTCGTTTGAAAATTATGAGGTAAAACTTCGTAAAGTTCGGGTTTCCCGTTTCGCATATTTCTTAGTTAGAAGGAAACATTTTCAATTTTTTTTTTTTTTAAACATTTTTTTGTTTTTCAATGCTTAATCTATTGGTATAATCAAAACTTGCATATCATACTTTTATAGTTTCTATTACTAAAATTATCCGAGTGAGCACCTTGGGTCTCTAGTTCCGCCTATAATGTTTTTTTTTAATTTTCTGTGCTACCTATCCGACGTATGATAGGTAAGTTTTGATTACACCAATGAATTAAATATTTAAAAACATTTTGGAGAAAAAAAAAAATTGAAAATGTTTAATTTTAACTAAGAAATTTGCGAAACGGAAAACCCGTATTTAATGAACTTTATCCTCATCACTTTCAAATGATGTATTTTTTTAATATATTCTTAATGTATACGTAAAATCACACATTATGAAAAAAAACCTCAAAAATTTGAGTGCCCGCTAAACTAGATTTGTTTTCAAATTAAACTTGATATTTAATATTTTCTAAGTTAGATAAATAATAATTTATTATTTATTATTATATAGGTACTTATATTGTTTATAATTTTTAAAGGAGAGTTTAAATACAGGAATACACTGCTCATTGTACGCATTGAGCTATCTTGCGTTGATTATTGTTTGTTGATTATTGGCAAACTAAAATTTTGAATACATATGGTATTGTACTCAAAATTTACTTACTCTTACCCAAAACAAATTTTAAGCTTTCTTTTTGATGCTATTTAATTTAATGGGATTAATAAAACCACTAAAATCACTTTTTTCTTTCTTTAATTTGATGCTGATAATCGATATTATCTATATTATATATATGATAACGCAATGTGTATGCGTACCATGAGCGGTGCATACCTGTATTGAAACGCTTTTGTTTTTAATTACTTAAAATAATATTTTATTTTGTATTAAAATCTAGATTAAAATAATTATAAGTTAACAAATAACTATTGTAATACTATTTGGACATTTTGAATTTGTTTCCTGTAATATCTTTAATACATTGAATATTAAATTATTATTACTGAAATAACTTGTGTTATTCATAAAAGTAAATACTTAAATATCAATGATAAATCGCCATATAAATCTAGGTGCCTAATCAAATTTTAGTAAAAAATATTAAAACAAAATACCTATAATATGATTTGTATTAATTTTACAGTTGGAAATATTTATTTAGTTTTACTATTTCCAGGTACCAAATTGAAATGAACAACATTTGAAAATTTGTGTTTATTACTCAAGAGCCAACACTCAAACATCAATACATCATTATGGCACCTAGATTCATATTGAATCAAAATCATGTCAAGATAAATAAACATAGAGATGTCATCAAATATAAACGTAAAAATGTCCAATTACGTAAATCTATCAACCTCTTATTAATGCAAAATAAACAATTATCAGCGACAAGAAATAATTTATTACAACAAAACATGGAATTGCAAAATAAAAATTCTTCTCTTAATAATTTGAATACTCAATTAATTGCAATAAATCATACTTTACGCGGAAAACTCAATGTGTTTGATCAAACATTACAAGAATGTGTACCTGCATTAGTAACTCTATCACAAAAAATACCATCTATGATAGACAATGTACACCAAATATCGAAATTCAGTGAATCATCAATATTTTGTAATACACAAAAGAAAGAAAGACAAACAAAAGTTGTAAAACCTGTAATAAATGGTTTAAATATTAATCAACCAGTGATTTCAGAACATCAATATAATATGTCGCCAATTATAGAAAGTCCTCATTCTGAACAAACACCAAGGCAGTCTACCAAATTCAGCACTAGTAATTCATCACATCGTAAACTTGATATGGAATCATTTGTAAGGATGAAGGATGTGGCAGCTTTGTTAAAAAATTCAAAAGCAGTTTCCAATGAGAATTCACCTAATCAGCAAACTGAACATTTAGATGAAGAACCATATTGGTTACATAGTCAAAAAAATCAATGCCAAAATTCTCATAATAATTTATTTTTAGATGAAACATGTTCACCGATTAAACATAATTTATCATCACTTAATGCAGTTGTTACTGATATGTCAACATCTACTTCAAATGATACAATATATACTACACATAATGAATATCAATGTGAATCAGAATCTCCTAATAAATCTGGTTCTATGTTAAAAAATATTACATTGCGAAAACCTTCAAAACGTAGATCAAGTGAAACCACATTAGATATTGACACCTCAACTTCTTTTACAAGATCGAAGAGATCTAGAGCAAAACCTGTGAATTATAAAGAAAAAAGTATACGTGACAAACTTAGAAGAGAAAATTAAATAGTCGCATATTTGTTGATTTAAATTTATATGTTTAACTAAATTTTTTTAATATATATAATACCTACCTATTAACTGTTTTTTTTTTAGCTATTAGAAATATTAACCTTATATAAGGGAAACAATTTTTATCTTTAAATAAATATATATCAACTAGTGGACCTTACTCCGCAGCAATGACTATATGTTATAAAATCAGTAATTATATCAAAGGGATACAAAAAGTATAGGAAACATAAGTAAAAAAATCACCAGTTATATTTGTCAACAAGAAATGGAAAATAAGCAACACATCATTTTAACCTCGTTTACTATAGACTACCTACCTAATTTCATAATACTTCCTTCCAAACAACATTGGCTGTGCGTTGATGTTCAAGTTTAATCTCTACTTAAACGACTTCCCACACGATAGGGCTACATACACGTATACAATTGATGTCTGAAGACTGGTTCAGGCAAGTATACTCTCACTTGGTCAATAGTTTATCCTTGCACTTTGTTAATGGTGATGGAGAATGCTACTTTTATTAGAAATTTTCTTCGATTAAATGAAAATAGAACAGTAGTGTCAGATGGTGATAAGTCAATGTGAGGTAATAGTACCTGTTGTCCAACATTTCTACCGGTAATAATATCCAAATTTAAACTGCTCTCAAATATTTTTCAGACAATTAGTCTCGTGCCATTCAATAGTCCTTTCATTTTATTCAAATTCTTCTAGAGCATTACAACAGCACTTTCCTTCAAGGTCAGCTCGTGGGATGGTAAACCAGTCATCTCAAGGCTGTTCAAGAATTTAGCAGGGAATTGTGAAAATTTACTTCCGTCTTCTGTTATTAGTGTATTCATACTCATGTAAGTTCTGAATAAGCCTGGAAAGAAATCTAAAACCTTTTTATTGATTTCATCACAGTACTCATTCTTAGGCACCAAAATTACACATCTTGAAAGGTATGAAGTTTCAAGAGGCCATGATGAATTTTGGCTATATATTTCACAGACAATATATAATTTTGAAATCAGGGAAGCAAGTAAATATACCAATTCATCATTTGCAGGATATTGACCATTGCCAATTTCAAGCAAGAATTTTGTAAGTTCACATTTTTCTGCGTTAGCCTTTATATTTTTGGTAAGTTTGATAACTTTGAAAAGTGGCCAGAGAGTTTAACATTTAATTGAGTTTAGTACTGTAGCAGCTCTAGGTACATAAGTTACAACTGGCAACACTTGCTGGAAATCTCCTCCTAAGATGATGATTCTTAATTCTCAAATTATGGAATTGGGAAAATACATTAGATAATTTAGATTTACTTTAGAGAAAATTTCCAATAATTTATCCACCAGTTGTATGGATTGTCAATGAAATTACCCTTAATGACAAGCTAATACGGAAAATAAAAAACGAAATCAACGCCGATTGAGTTCAGTTAACATTAGATGCTTTAGATGAACCTAGAAAAAAAAAAGAGGGCATAAATAATCTATAAACATTCGTTTTAAAGAATTGGTTAAAAGACAGAACGATAAGATAAAATTGGACATTTTTTGACAGCAGTATCCAATAATATACGCAAGTGAACTACTGGCCGATACAGATATTATATTTTTAAATTATTTATTATTATTATTTTTGACAGTTGTGTGAACAATATACATTTAAACCATTGATGATTAAACTATATTTAATTTTTTTTACACATATAATTTTGACACTATAGTTACTTTGGGGATTTATTTGTAGAGATATTTGCTTTCGGGGTTCTAATTATTAAATACAATATATACAGATTAATAGATTTCCAATAGAAGTATGCATATTAAGGGTTTTTTAAGCACTAGGTAAATCAGAAGTAAGATAAATATTATATAGATAAATTTCCAATATATGCATAGGTATTAGGTATCTACATCATACTATCATATTCCGTTTTTAAAATTGACGTTAAATAATATAGAGGAAAATGGCATGGTAACAAAAATTGACAAATGGTTACAAAATCTTTGCGTGCCAATAAACAACAACCAAATAAGTATTTTGTATTTTTAAATTACCTATAGGTATTATATTATTTTAAGTGAATTGATGTTTTTTTTTTTTTGTGAACATTAAAAATATACTAATATATAATATTTGTGACCCATAACCGTGACCGTAGGTGTGGTAACGAAATAAAATTGATACACATTTGATAACATTATCAAATTTATAATAAACAAATATATTTCTACAATATTATCATGTTTTGAATAAAAATTTATGGTTCTTAATAACAAAATCGATTACAAAATTCAACAGTCTGTAATATGTTGTTAATGTTTTATTTTTAATTTAACAGTTAATTATTTAACACATGACTTCAATTATAACTTATTTATTGAGCCTACCACAAATATCGTGATTTTATTAATAATATTTTTTGCATAATTGCCATTTTAAATATATTTACACATATGTATAATGGAAGTTCATCACGCACCACAGTATTTACCTGACATTGTATTAGACATCATATTCTCAAACTTGGAGCCAAATGACTTGCTTAGCTGTATGTTAGTCTGTCAAAATTGGTATCGAGTACTTAATAATGGCAGAGCAGAACCATGGAAATTGATGTGTCGACGTAAAATACCCAAAGAGATTTTGAAGTCTGAACTTTTAACACACCTTAACAGTCCTAAAGTTAAGTTACGTGCTTTATACCATGCGTGGAATCCATTTGATTGTTCTATGCATATTGTGGTTAAGCAAAATGGATTTACATTACATCGAAATCCTGTTGCTCAGAGTACAGATATGGCAAGAACAAGAATTGGTTATGGGAATGGTAAACATGTATGGGAAATAACATGGACTGGGCCATTAGGTAGTATTATTTTGTTTAAGTTTCAGCATAAAATAAGTTACTATAATTGTACCTATATTTTGTTTATTTAGGTACAGTAGCAATGGTTGGCGTGTCAACAAAAGATGCACCAGTTCATTGCAGTGGTTATTTACCTTTGTTGGGTATGGACAAGCATAGTTGGGGTTGGAATCTAATTGATAATATTTTGCTGCACAATGGAGTACCACATGGCAATTATCCATTATTAAATAATGCTCCAAAGTATCAGATAGGTGAAAAATTACAACTAGTGCTAGATTGTGAAAATGGTGTTTTGCACTTCGAAAAATGTAATGAATTTTTGGGTATTGCTTTTAAAAATTTACCTAAAACTAAATTATATCCTTCAGTGTCAGCTGTTTATGGTAACACAGAAATATCAGTAGTATATATTGGCAAACCTTTGTGTGGTTAAATCTGAGTAAAATTGTCTCTAAAAATTATCCTAAGCCTTTTTTATCACACAGTTGTATGTATAATAAACCATTTTGTATCTACCTCTATTAAATTTTTCAAATTTGCCTAACCTTAATGATTGTTGATTTTCGTTCAATTTGTTAGGTCTTTTAGATTAATATAATTAATAATTAAATTAAATTTTACAACTAATTGAATGATAACAAACAAAATGATTAATCATATTTTCTAAATAAAAAATATCGCAATTACTGTTCATGTACTTTGAAAATTGTAATTAATTTTCACTCATTGTTCCTATATTTTAATAGGAATTATTTCCAACCTTTGCAACTCAAAAATAAATTGTTCCTTCTCAACATTGACATTACTTAATAAATGCAAGGCCTTTAATTCAATAGAAAACAAAAAAAAACTAAAAACTTGATTTGGTAAATTAGTTCTCTAAAATTCTTGAAAAAGGTCCGAATTTATTATGATTATATATATTTAGTTTCAAGTATAAATATTATAGTTTATTTAAAATATATTTTTCAATTGATTTTGTGTAGTTTTCAGAGATATAATATATCTAAATGTATATATATATTTTTTTTTAAGATTCAATAGGCTGTGGTATAGAGTTCAATATAATTTAATTTATACATTTAATTTAATTATATTAATTATCTATCATACATTTTGGTATTCAATATTTTGATGTTGATAGAGCGATACATATTTACCTCGGACACCCACATTTAAAAATATATTCCGTCATTTTGACTAAGAAATAAGTTTAATAAATTAATGTATTGTATTATTCAATTTTTACATTTTAAAATATATAAATTAAATATCATTATATTGATTATGCAAATACTTTTATTCCTAGTAGTATGCCAATATTGAAAAAATTTGATTACTCAAACTGCAAACCTGACCCTTACACAATATTTACATTTAAAATTGACAACAAATATACTTTGTGTGATGATCATCTAGTTATGTATAACATTGTATATAAGATATGATTGTAATTTACCATAAAATTATAAAATTAATATTGTTCTTAAATATTTCTATTCTATATAGTGTTAAAATATTTTTTATAATTTATTTATAATACTATGTATTAGGATTATTTTTAGTTTATGTAAATTCTTTGTTAATATTATATAAGATATTGTTAAGTCCATTTTTTGTTTAGTTATATTATGATTTAATTTACAGGTTATTTTTAATTCATTAAGTGTAATTAGTATTACAATATATTTAAACTTAAATGTTTGTTTAATTATGTAAAAAAAATAGTAATTTGTATTTTGCCTAGCTTTATTTATATTAACATCAATTTTTTTCACTTAAAAACATCACATCTAATTGCAGAAATCTTGATTTAAAAAGGTCTTTTAAAATAATAATTTATAAAACAACATATTGTTAGTATAGGTAATTTAATCACAAACAAATATATCTTTGGAAATATTAGTATAATAGGTATCAAGTTGATTGATCAATTTTTTTTATTTTGTTTTTATTACCCATTGAATTTAATTCATTAGTTTTAAAACTTAAATTGTAAAACAATAAATATAATCAAACTGCGAAATTATTGTTTGAATAACTTAAAGAAAACGTAAATCTTCGAGACACTTAATTAGTGTTATTTTTTTTATTTATACTTTTTTAGTAAATGCAATATTATTTTACTTTGTTATTCTAATGATTTGGATAATTCTATCGCGTAATTAAGTAAGGATATCTGAAAATGATAAGAACAAATAATGATGAATAATGTTTAAAAGTGGTCCGAAAAAGGTACCAAATGGTATTTCTATAAGTATTATGGTTAAATATACACAAGATAGTATAATCTTAAATCTTGATAAATACCTTGGTTATAGAATATACATCTATATATAAAGGGTGATAAGTACCAATACTTAAGTTTGTAATATTTAAATACAATTATAATTAATTATGAAATAACTTTTGTCTAGACGTGGTCCCTGGTCACCACCATTCTAATATTTGATCGATTTTCCGGTTCTCGTCAAATTTTTAAACGGATAACTGCTTATCACCGGAATTTGAATGTCAATTTTTTTATGTATTTAAGGTTAACCGGCATCTATTATTCTGATTCCTGATGATTAGATCACAGAATTAATGAAATAAATTGCACCGCACGCCAACTATTCGACCTAATGTATTTGACCGAATCCTGATTCATGGAGATAAATAATAAACATAGACATATTATTAATGTTGTAAACTTGGTGAGTAAGTCTATGATAATGAATAATAATCAATACTATCAATATGTGGAATGAATTCATTCCTTAATCCTTATCAGTTTAAATTCATATTTATAAATTGTAACAATATTTTTATCGTTTTCATAAGGAAAATTATTTAAGGTAATTATTCACACTTTTATAGAATGCTCTTTATTGTTTGTTGTGATACAATATACAATAATCTTGTCATTAATAAATAAAAGTTATATTTTCGTATACTGTATTGGTGAAATATTTGGTTTAATTAATGTTTATAAATAAAACCATAGAGTAATTCTGTAGAGTCGAACGTCGAAAAATGTTGACGTCTACGTACATTATTAGGAATTGTGACAATTTCTTTTGTAAAATTCAATTGCTCCGATGCAGATACAAAAAATTACCATAAATATATTATATATAATATGGAAATAATTAATAAGAGAAATTACACATGATGAGGCAGAATAAGCTGAATAACATGGTGATCTGTAAGACCCGATCTCATATGAAAGAGTACCTGAAGATCTGTCTGCGATGATTTATTAAATTTTTGAACAAAAATATTGTCAAAAAACATCTTGAAGACTGATCCAACAGTAGCTCAGAGGATGTTAGCGACATCGTAAAATTCCACGGTCATGGTCAATTAATATTGTGTACAATTCGTTCGTACGTATGGGGAAGTTTTAAAAATTATCTTTCACCCTTCGTCTGATCACATATACATAATACGCCTTCCGCTCTTATCATATCCCGGGGTGATATGATTAATAATTCCAAAATACAAGAACTATAAAACCATTTTCAAATTCATCTACGGAAGGGTGGTGGGTATAAGGTATGATTCATCGTGCCGTCAAATGCGTGCAGCGCGCGGTCCGCCACGAACTCGCGACCAATCAGAACGGGTGCCCAGCGGCCAGCCGTGTTTCACCTGTTTAGGTGTGCGCGTGCGTCCTAACCGTTTTTTTACGATTTTTTTTTTTTTCCCCCCGTTGTGTGCTTGTAAGTGCGTTTGTGAATTGTGTATGAGTACGTGTGTCTGTACACGGTGACGGTGTACCGAGTACTTCTCTATGTCGATTTTTTATACTTGAGTCACAGTCTCTTTTATCGTTTTATATAATGTTCAATGTTTATATTGTGTTATTAATGCTATTATGTTTTGATTTTCGTTCGATGATAATCTTCGATTTCGCAATGCGTCTCAGAACCGATTTTTCCGGTAATTCCCGTAAACCGTTTCAGTAAAAAGAAATCTTTTTGATTATTTTTTTTTTTGTTCGCGTTATTTTTGAAATAATTTTGTTTTTAATTTCCGTTGTGCCGTTACCACTTTCCTGCTAAGCATCAGAAATGATTAGTCAATTTTATAAATTTTGATCTAGTCGAATTAAAGACCTACCTACAATGTCGGCGAGTGAAACCGGACAGAACAACTGCGATCTCGAGGGAGATTTTATAAAAACACGAAGTTAGTGTTGTACATAACTATTTAATTACATTGTATAATAAATCGATTCCTAATAATTAATGTGGTTGTAGGTAGCGGATTTATGTGTACAATAGTTATATCAAACTATACAGTAGATAAGATACGAGATTTTTTTAATCTTAATGATTTGTTTATTAAATTAATGAATTACTCAGTCAATTAGGCAGTCATTTTATATTCATTACATGGAGAGGATAATAGTGACACATTCTTGATTTAATAATAATTTTTTATAGGATTGATAAAAAAATAAAAATATACAAAAAAAATCGAATGTTTAATCTATTTTGGTCAGACTTACCTTCGAATTTCGATAAGTAGGCTAAGTTGAATACACTATTCATAGGTCATGCGTGTTAAACAATCCCCTCGTGTAATCATTGGAAATAAGCCAATTATATTTCAACTGTTATACAGAATGAAAAAAAACGTGTGATCTGGACACTGAATGTTGCCAATTATTTTTAGAATATATTTTGTTAAGTTTAATAATTTTCTGTTTTGGTGACACATAAACGGACACATAAATGACCATCAATTGTTAAAGATCTATGTATAATCTATCTACTACCTAATATCACACACAATGTCATTATAATTTTGTAATTTGATTTTGAAATTTCTGTATGAATTTTGATAAAAATTAGATTTTTAGTAAATGATTTTTTTTGTGTCATGATTTGTCGTTCATTTCTAGTATCACAATATGTAGTTTGGTATCGAGTTATTCTTTTGTAGCTTATCCAATAAAGTGGCATACTCAGCATGTGAAATACTTAAGTCTGTGTTTACAAGAGTGTTTACTAATAATAAAATAAACAAAACTGTATATATTAAAAAAAACCTCAATAATTTATCAATTCTTTAAGTAGGTACTAACTTAAAAACAATTTTAAAAACTAAATGCTTTTTTCAAGATCATAAATAGGTACATTAGGTAATAAATAAAGATAAAGATTTGTATAGATAACTATAATCAGAGTTATAAATTATAATACTACATAGATTATTTACATTATAGGTACCAATTAAATATTCTTAGGTGGGTATTAAATGAATAACAGGTGTCCAACTGTTATTTACTGGTTGTTTTTGGGCGGATAGGCAAAACAGTATTATTTTATTTTTATTTTTTTATTTTGATAATTCATTTTTTTAATGGTTTGAGCAAATATATTATTGAAAACTATATCATTAAGAGGAAAATATTTTGTTAATTTATTATGTATTTAACATATTTTGATGTAACTAAAAAGATAGGAAGTTTAATTTATATTTTATTTGTTAGGATTATGTACTAATAATTTATTGTATTTTAATGTTTATATGTATATATGTACATATCATTAATCTTAAAACTTACAGTAAATAAATACGTAAATATTTTGTTGGTTTTATCTACATTATTTTTAAATTTAAAAGATTATTCCCAACTCCCATCACCTAACCTAACCTTTATCATTTGTCTATAAAATCTAATTTTAAAATATTGACTAAGTGTAAGTACTCATAAGATACTATAATCTTTTCTATTTCAAAAAAACATATTTCTAATAACTCCATAAAACCAGACAAAAAAGAAATTAGTTCTGTGAATTAATAGTAGGTGTGTATATAGTACTGATAGTAACAATAAAACAATTATAATATATGAATTAGTCATTTTTTATTTATGTTATCTATAATAATCATTAAAATAAACAAGTTGGTTGATTAACTCATTGATTAATAATTAATAATAAAGTGATACATTTGACTGTTTCAGTCAACTGATAAACAAGTGTTTAGATTAGAATTGTCAGTCATAGACACTTAAGTAGATGAAATTATTTTGTTGAAATAATTTTCCAACTTAGTTATATTTATTTTTTCTTAAGAAAATTATTTTATGCACCTAGGTACATTTTTGTATATTGATTTTTTAAATTCTTCGACTTTCAATTTTAGTTAATTATCTGTAGTTACGTAATGTATGAAAATGAAAAATAAATTATCAAAAATTGTTGAAGGTAATATCATAATTTAATTGTAGCTTGTTGTAATTTAACTTAGTGATTTGTATGAAATATAAACCAATCTCGGGTGAAAACTCAAAAAAAGTTTGAATTCTCGAAGGGACTGAAATAAATGTCAATTCATCACAGGTTTCTATTTTGCAAAAGTTTAAATATCTACATGTGGAATTACATTTTGGGACCATTTAAGTTTTATGTTTTATCTAGGTACCCTGTTTTAAATAAGGTTTTACTAGTGGTTTAACTGTATTTATTAATTATAATATACCTATACCTACCTTATGAATTATAGATACTCAACATTTTTTTTTATTAGTTATTGCATTTATATAATTCATCCCTCGTGTTCCTATTTTTATACAAACATATCACATTGTCAGAGTTTCTCTAAAATTATGTTTTAATTATAGTATAATTACAACTACATTTTATAAATATACATTTTGGAGTAATTAATATAAAAAAAATGAGTAAATTCTAATATTCTAGTAGCTAGCTATTCTAGTATTTCAGATTATTTCAAATAATGAATATTAGTAATTTTGTATAATGTGTATGATTTATCATTCTAGGTGTTTCAAGTTTAGAATCTGAATCTTCATTTTTAAATGTTTATTTAGATAAAATATATTCTTCTGATTCAGATGTATTATTGGCTATCAAGGTAAAATTATTTTATCTAACAATATAATTAATTATAATTAAATACTTACTAAAGTAACTACTATCTATTTACCCTTCTATTTTCAGAAATTAAATTTATCAATTAAATATGTGGATAATTTATCTGATGTAAATTTATTAGAATCAAATGATATCCTGGTCACCACTTTATTTGAAGAACTTGCTGTCAAAAGACCGTGTTTTAAGTATGTTTTAAAAAATGCTTTTTATTTATAATTTTATATTTTCCCTAAATTAATCTAATGAATATTCTTATTAAATTATATATATTTAATATTATATATCAAGTTATAAAAATAGAATAAAAAAAAACATTTTTTATTGGTTCATTTTATGTTATTATGAATTATTTACAATATTGTTTTCATGAGCTATCTTGAATTAATTTTATGTTATCTATGAACTGTAAACCTAATGCCTGTAAATCTATTTGAATTAATAAGTTTTTTTCGTAGACTAGTTTATTAAAATGCATCTCTTAAATAAAAGAAAACATAATGAAATCATTTAATTTATTTGATAAATAATTAAAACATTTAAATATTATTTAGAATACTTGGACGTCCAGCTTTATTAGAACTGGCCAAAAGCCCTAATGGTTTACATGGTGTTAATCGACATCGTTATTGCAATGCACTTGTTGGTGCTATTGTCAGTGTCACAGGAATCCAAAAAAGAGATGAAATGGTATGTGTGGAAAAATGTATTAACAAAGTTTTATATTTCATATTTTTCTATTGTTAACTAGGCACGTGTCCTGAGTTTAATTCGCTGGATGGGTGGTAGTATTCGAGAAAATATCAACCACAAAACTACTCATTTAGTTTCTGGTTATGCGTGTAGTGCTAGATCTCAGTATGCATATTTACATGAAATTCCAGTTGTTGGATCATCATGGCTTCATGCAGCTTGGGAAAAACGCAATGAAATCAATTTCACAGCTATCAATTCTTCATTTGTAAGTCATGGTATTTAAATTATACAAATTAAAAATAAATAGAAATTGTATAATGTATTAAAAAAAATATAATTTATTAATTCTTCCATTATTTTGTATTTTTTTTCTAGTTTTCAGAACACAAGTTAAAACCATTCCATGGAGCTAAAATATGTTTTTCAGGGTTCACAGAAGAAGAAAGATCACATATGGTTGATGTTTTATTACAAAATGGAGGAACTCCAGTTAATGATGAAAACGATACAGAATGTACTCATCTTGTATGTATTGTTTAGATATTTTAATCTTGCCAAGGGGATTTTATTTTAAGGCTGTGTGTTGTGTTAATTGTTATAAACAAAATGTGATAAATTAATAATGTCCAGTTGTGAACTATTTAAATTAGTATTCATTTACAACGTCTAAAATTGTGTTTAATGCTAATAATAGAATATATAGAAGCAAAATATATATTTTTCTCTAAGAGGAATAAAATATGATAATGGCTGATTTAACTAAATCAGTTTAATTTTGTACTTATTAAAATTTTGCTTTTGCTCTGCACAAGGCCACTAACCTTAATATTGTAAATACATAATAATAAATATACACGTGATATATATAGTATAATATTATATATCACATATACACAGTCAAAAAAAAAAAATGGTATATACTAACTAAAATTTGCTTATATTTAAATTTTACAGGACGTGGCTTAAATTTTTAACATTTTTGTTTGTTGGTGTTATGTTTTTGTTTGCATGTTAGGTTACAAAGGAAAGTTATACATGCACTTCTAGCCCTTTAGGAGATCGAGATTCAAATACTACACCGTACTTAAGAGGTGTTTTGGCTCCTAAAAATCTAATTCAAGCATTTGATAAAGAGGAATATTGCACAAGCCCTAATACAAGTCGAAATGGGGGGTTAAAAAGAACACTAACTGAGATTGACAGTGGAAATAATTCACATGATACCAAGAAGATTCGCCTTCAATTTTTAGATCCAGATTGTGACGAGTTTTTGTTTAAGCATCCTAATCCTATGTCAGCACGTTTGGATCAAACTGATAAAACATTGGTACATATTTTTAATTTACAAATATAAATTGTTAAAATACACATAAAAAACAAAAATAAATTATATATCTAACTTGAAAGACAAATTGATATAAATAAAATAATAATATGTTTAATTAATTTTTTTCAATATTCTATAGCAATCTATAAGCATTTAATATTTAAAAACAAAAATTTGATAAGTTAAAATATTACTCAATTGAACAATTTGTGTTTAATAGTTATTTTTTTTTATGCTAAAAATTGAAAATTTCTAAAATTATAATATTATTTTCAAAAATTAATATACTTTTTGTACAAAAGTTAGGTTTATGTTTCTTTGTAAGGTGATAAAGTAAGATACTGTTGTTTGTATACTAAAAAAAGTGATATATCTGCAATTGAAAATCAATTTTTTCTTTTTTAAATTTTAAAGGTATTGATGCTAAACATTAAAAAAATAATAATAATAACCTATACAATGTTAATTGACATTAATTATAATGTCAATGTTACTTAGAAAAATAGGGATTAAAACTTTTTTAATGTTTTTGTTGTAGACAAATGAACTAAACTTTTACTAAATGCTGTTGCTCTGTAATAATAAATTATGTGACAGTGATATTTAAGAGCATATAATATAATTCACTAATTCACAGTTTTTTTTAATTATACTTATTCAACATAACTTTTCAATGCATTTGCTTATAATATATGCTTAATTTTATGATTTGCAGTATTTTTATTGTTTGTTTATGGCGTACATAATACATTTATGGACTTGCTTATTTCTTTATGATTTCTTGAGGATTAATTTTGAATATTGTTTAAGATTTCTAAATTTAAAGTATATTAAACATAAATCATGCATAAAACTAATGACTTGTGTTTGTGTATGTGTTATTGTGTTTGCATGGCTGGTGCTTTATAATTAAGGTTTATATTGGTATTATGATATATTTTTTTATTTTCTTTAAAAAATTTAATAATTTAAAATAACAATATTTCATGTTCTATGAAGTATATAAATTATATGTTCAAGTTAGACTTGGAGACAATTTAAAGTATCATATTGATAAGCTATTATAACTCAGAATAATGCTTTAAATGTGTCTATTACTGAACATATATTATTGTATTAAAATATAAGGCATCTATTTCAGTAAATGTAAATAACATTTATGTTATAAGAAATTTGAACATAGAATAAAATAAGAAAACTAATTTTTTTTTTCTCAGTTCTTAAACATTAATTTGAAACTTATAATACATTTTCTAAATATTATTGTCTCAATTTATTATTTGTGAAATATATATTTTATTATCTTACTGTGTAAATTATATATTTATTTTATAATATTATTGTCTCTATCAAAATGATAAAAGTAATTGTTATAGTTGATAAATTTATGAGTATTAGTCTAGTAAAACTTGTGCAAATCTGTAAGAATTTATAAATACAAACAAAAAATTATATATATATTACTATATATATATTTAATTGTTTTATATTTTGTTTTATGTTCAAATTATCTGTTAAATGAACATTTTTAACAATAGTTAAAAATTGTTATTTAAGGTTTGTTTATTTTATTTGAATGCATCTTATTATTTTACTTACTAATTACAGTTATTATTATTATTTCTCAAGTTACTAATGGTAATACATAAGTACATAATAATTTAGTTACATTAGTTGCATAATAGCTATTTATGACATTATTGATTTAGATAACTTTATAATATTGCTTTATGTTTTCCATTATTTCATTTAGTTTTTATTAGATTCTGAATGCGGCAATGAATTCATTAGTTTTACTATTATGTAAACTTTGGTTTTTTTTGTTCCTTTTTTCTATTTGTGAACAAGTTTTCTACCAGAAATCTTGTTTTGATCTTAATTGTAGCATTTTTTTTGTAAGCAAATTTTGTCTAGTTAGATCATTAGCAAGAAATTGTTCTTGTAGTTTTCTTTAAAATTGAAAAATATATAAGAAAATCTATGCAATAATAGTTTGTTATTTTTTCTTAAATTGTTTATTTCTTGTTATTCAGTTAAAATACCTGTAGATTTAATTAAGTATTTACTGTTATACATTTTTTATCAAGAAATTATTAAATAGAGCTCACTTATAAACATAAATAATAAACATTCTTTAAGTACTACCTACTTACTTAAGAAATCATAAAGTTCAATAGGTAATTTAAGGGATAGGTGTACAAAGGATCTACATAAGAGATGTCCACAGGGAAATTTCCAGTATTCCAACTGGACATTATGTGCCTGGATGACCATGATATGTTCACAAAATACTATTTGAGATTTTTCAGGCAAAGTAAAATGTTCAAAACGTTTTATTTTTATTTTTATTTGGTTTTAAGTGAATAAAGTTTATTTTAGCCCAGGCAGAAACTTTAAAAATGTAACATAAGTATCATTATAATTTGTGTAATTTGGTTAAAAAAAAAAAAGTTAGGTATAATTTAGTAGTTTTTTTTTAAAAGTATTTTAATGAAAATTATATTATCCACAGTATTTCTAAACAAGTTGAACCAAATTTCTCTCAGAAAATCGTTTATGTTACCAATGATTTTTTTGTTTTATATAGACATTAAATAACTATTCTGCTTTCCATCTAGAACACAGTGGCACACTTGTCAGCAGTATTAGATTTTAAAAACTGTTTAAATCTTTAATTCTGAGTATTATAAGTTTTGAATGAAGTTTTATTTAATATGCCATCCCCATTTTCTCAATTCATTATTAAAATACTAATATAAAAAACATTAACAACTTTAAATATAAATAATATTCTTATTGTACTTATAAATATTATAAATACAAATATCAGATATAGAATCAATATTGAAATTACCATATGTATGTATAAAGATACATATATCTGGTTTTTGATTTGTGATCATATTTGTTAATACTGTTTCTTTTTTTCTTAATTTTCTTTAGGTTGCTAATGAATCTTCGTTAGATTTTATTCCTCCCATAAAGAAAAGTAATAATGCTGAAATTGTGAAAGAAGCATGGTTTTGGACATCAGTACAATATCAGAGCTGTGCTTTAACAAAAGAATATTTATTAACTAATGTAAGTATAATATTCCCCAGATTATTTATATTATATTTTTTTCTATAGTTAGTTAATTATATTTAGCTAAATGTGTCCAACACGCCAACGTCCACGCGTTTAATGCCTTCTACATTAAGTTCTTCTTCCCGAGCACGCAAAAGAAAAAGGCATTTAGATCGCTTGGGTTCAATATTGAGGTCTAGTCCAGTACCTTCAACTCCTGGGGAAATATCACCAACCAGTAGTTCGGGACCATCCAAACGACGGTCATCTGCTGCCCTTGATGGTTTAAGACTATCATGTGGGTCGTTTTTAAATTTTACGAATAGTCCTGATCATCCATCACCCTTCAAACACCCTTTAGGTTTGTTTTATATATTTATATATTATAGTAATAATTATTTTAATTTGAATTGTATTTATTCTCAAGATCCAGATTTAATTATTAAAGATAAACCATTTAGTCCACGATATCAAGTTTTTTCTGAATTATTGCAGACTGAAATAAACTATGTGGGAGTTTTAAATACAATAATTACTGTAAGTCATTTTCTTTGTCTTATTATGTATTTTTTTTAAAACTATCACTGAAGTGATAAGAAAAAACTTCCCTACATTGCTGATGTAGAGATGTTTTTTCTTTATTATTAATCAATTTTAATTTCATTTTGTTTTTAGGTATACAAAGAACCACTAGAAGAAATGATTGATAAAGAAGACTATTTACTTAATAATACCGAAATAAAAATTATTTTTGGAAATGTTTTACCAATTTATCAAGTACACCAAGAGATGCTAGAGGAGCTCAAGTGTCTTGCTACTTCATGGCAAGAAGATAGTAGTATAGGCAGTGTTTTTCTTAAATATGTAATTGCATAAGCAATATACATTTTTGAAATATAAATTAATTTGTGTATTTGTTATTAATTTATAGTCCAGCGAATTAGTGAAAGCTTATCCACCATTTGTGAATTTTTTTGAAAAAACTCGCGAAATGCTTATGCAGTGTGATCAGACAAAGCCACGTTTTCATGCATTCCTTAAGGTTGGCCAGACAAGACCTGAATGTTGTCGACAAAGTCTCCAAGAACTTCTCATACGACCTGTACAACGACTACCTAGCATAAGTTTACTATTAAATGGTACATTTACAAAAACTTGTGTTTACTTATATTTTATTTTTAAAGTATTTTCTTATAATCTTATCTTGAACATTATTGGAACCTCCATTGCTAGTGTTTACTATATTAATAATAATACATTTTTTACAAACAAATTTTATCTTTATGACTAGGGAAACCAAATGTTAAAAAAAAAAAGAAGTTTTCATATTCTAAGTCAAAATTAAAAATTAAAAATCTGCTTTCAAGTTATTCTTGGATACTTATCTGTATAATAATGTTCAAAATTTCACATTTTTGTGTGTCATACATTTTTTTGAAAATTACATACTCATATGAACATTTCTTTTTATTATATTAGATAAATATAAATTTATGATATTAAAGTTTTTTAACTATTTTACAGATATATTAAAACATTCAGATAAAAATAATCCAGATCACCAAGCTCTTGTATCAGCCTTAGCTAGTATACGTGAAGTTATGACTCATATTAATGAAGATAAAAGAAGAACTGAGGGTCAAGTTGTACTATTTGATATATTTAATGATATTGATAATTGTCCTGTAAGTATTATAATTTATATTGTTTTTAATGTGTAATTTTTTTTTTTATTATAACCATCATAAATTAACAATATAGATACATTAACTTATATACTATTTTATGATTATCAATCACTTTTAAGCTAAGCTTGTGTTAGGGATTGAGAGTATACTTTTTATAAAAAAGAAATAACAAAAATTTAATAAATTGTGTACATTAAAAAATATTAATATATAATGGATACAAGACAAATAGATAAGGAATAAAAACAAACAAGTTGTTAACTATACACTCTACAATTTATTGAGTTTTTACTTAATATACAATAATAATGAAGTAATAACTACAAAATAAAATTTAAAAATGTAGATTAATTCTAAAAATAACCAGTTATATATAATTTTTTAAACATTTTCTTGATGTGTGTGAATAGTATTTTTTTGCCTCATAAGGCATTAAATTCAAATATGTAGGCCCTAAATAGTCAATAAATGATTGACCAAAGGTTTTTTTTTGAATATTTAATAGGAATATTGTAGACTCTGTTTTCTCTTTTGTTTTCATAAAAAGGGTTACTGTTGTATTCATATTGTTTTATTTTAATTTTAAGGGATCAATAAATGTTTAAAATATATTATTTGTTTGTTTGTTTGCAGCCTCATTTAGTTTCTTCACATCGAAGTTTTATTACAAAATGCGATGTGATTGAACTCAGTGATAATCTTAGTGGTCGTGGTGATCATTTAACAATATTTGTTTTTTCAGATGTCGTTGAAGTAAGATTTATATTATGATATAGATTAAATCAATAAATAAACTGGTCAATAGTAATTTGTTAATTTTTTTACTAGGTCTGTAAAAAAAGAAAATCATTTAATGTAAAAAGTCCAAAAGAATCAAATTCCGGTTCACATAAATTAAATGGTGGTGCTAAATCATATAAACATATCAAATTGATGCCGTTAAATGTAATCAAACAAGTGATAGATATAAAAGAGACTGAAGGTAAATAAATGTCATTAGTGGTACTATATAATATTTATGATCTACCTTATTTTGATAGTTCTAGTTTTTTAGTTGATTAGTACTTACAAGGTTACTAAGTTACTTGAATATATTGTTCATCTTATAAAGTATTTTGTGGTGTATTTTATACACATAGTATAAAATACATTTTATTGTTAAAAATACTGTCAGTATTTTTATATACAAATATTTAATTGTATGCGTTTATTATACATTTCTCTTAGATTATTATTGTTATGCAATTATAAATTGTGTTCTATTTCAGACTGTCGTAATACATTTTCATTAATGATTATTGACAATCACGATTTTAAAGAACGGTTGTATACTTTTACTATAACTGGAAGTAATTGCAGTGCTAATAATAAAAATATATTCTTGAAAAATATATCACAACAAGTGGCCAACACTGTGTGTTCTGTAAGTATATAAAGGCAAACATAGAATTGTTTTTGAAAGATGTTCATTATTTATTTTAAATTTAGGGAAATATATTAGTTTCATTGGATTCTCAGCAATTAGACATTGATACAAGTGAAATTACAACCGGTACACTTGGGAAAGCCTTTAAGTAAATTATATATATATTTATAATATATAAATACAATTGAAAAGCCAACATTAAATAATTTTGATAATTTTTGTTTGTTTTAGATTTGCAAGTAGAACGCGTATTAAAGTTGGACGAGCATTAAGTTTCAATAAAACACCCAGCAAGTTGAAACGGGCCATGTCAACAATGATGAGTCCTGTGCTCAGTTTGACTAACAGTGGGCCTGGTACACATGCTTTAACACCATCAACACAATTGGCCAATATGCACTTGGCATCATGCACCAATTTAAATGTGAGCCCATTAAATGAGCTAAACGATAGACATAATTATTCACTAACGAAAATCAAGAAACATATCAAACGCAATCCTAAATTGCGATTGACTCGTTAATTTTTCAGTCAGCAGCCATTTGGAGAAGATAACATGTGTAGTCTTTTTGCTTTAAACTATTAAAAAATTAATTAAAAATCTTACCTTATTGGATCTCAATAAAATAAATAAGGTACTTGACAATTCGCTTTATTGGTTAAAACAGCTTACTGTGTCGATTAACCTGCAATGTCCATATGTGGTAAAGATCTTTTTGGTGAATGTATGCATGTATGCTATGTTATTGAAAATATTATTTTATCATATTTTAAATTATTAGCATGAGTAATATTAAAATACCTTAACTAGTAAAATGATTTATATACATGAAAGGCATAAAAAAAAAAATCAATATTGCTTAAATTTAAAGTTAAATTAAATGTTTAAAGTATATAAAACAGTTGAAATATTTATAAATGTGTAAATAATTTGGTAAATTGACAATATTTAAAAATATTGTTTTTAGATTTTATATTCAAACTAAGAATAATTTGAATGAAAGTTAATTTTATTTGATGTTTATATTTTTAGTATTAAAATCATAATAACATTTAATAGTTTTAAATTAGTACTGAAATAAATATTAGGTATATTAATGAAATTCGTTTTAAAATAGTGTTATGAACTTCAAGCATTAAAAATTTTCGAATGTGAAAGTATTAACAAAACAAATTATATTTTTAATAATAAAACCATGTAATCATATAATTTAATTTAATTATTCTTATTTAAATGTTTTAGGAGTTACTTAATTTGCACATTTTCACTAGAATAATTTTAATATCTGCTAAATTCATTAAATTTATTTATTTTGCAATATTGTGTTTTCATAATTTGTATTAAATATTTCATTGAGTTAATGAAATTTCTATGTGAAATATCAGAAATGATTAATAATTTGTTTTATAATCATAATGATATTATTGATATTTTACATGTTTAAATTTTTTATAATGTGTATTATAATAATAAATAATTTTGCTTAAGCAGTAGTTATTTTTTCTGTTCATTTATTTTCATTAATGTGTTTGCTTTTATGAAAATCATACTTTTATGTCACATATTTGATTTTATTGTAAATGTAATAATATAATATTATATGACACAATTCATGTAACTTCTTTAATAATTTTACTTTTATTTTAGGAAATGTCATCAATTGACCATACTTATCCATCACCACCATTGTCAGTTCAACCAAACAGAAAAAATAAAACTTCATTATTAAGTCTATCATCGGCGCCCAGGTAGCGTCCAACTGCCTATCGATACCTGGTAAATTCTTTTAGAAATTCAAAGAATTTTGTTTCAATTTTAAGGCGTCAGTATCGATAGCTATATAATCTTATTACATATAATAATTTTTTTTAAAAACTCAATTTTAAATTTTTTTAAATCAACTATTTTATTACCTTTTTTTTTTTGTGTGTTAGTATTTAAGATTTGTATAATGTTGTTTTCAACTTTTCCCAAGACATTCTTGCCTATTCATTTTCTTATCCTATACTTCATTGTTTACAATTGTTCATTGATTATTAAGTCTTATAAATTCCATTTCTACAAAAAATATTTTTTTAAACCATATATTGTTTACTCGGTTTCATTCGCAGTATTGATAAAGTTACCATGGTATATATACTTTTTTAGTTTTAATTTATACATATGTTTGTGTAATCAATTATTTTTTTAATGTCAGAACAATTAAATATCATTTTTTAAATGGTGCTCATAATTACTATAAGCTCAAAAAATAATTTTTTGTGTAAAGTGTATACTGTGCATTATTGCATCTTAGAAATTATATAAGTGTATGTTTAAATTTATTGTGTAAGTTTATATATGGTTTATATATTTAGTTTTGTGATTTAAACACATTATATTTAATCAAAATTAAAATAATTTGTTGTATAAATAACATTTTATTTGTAAAATAATACGCGTAAAAGTATTTTTTTATTTTTGGTTATTGGTAATCTATGATATCCTGCATTTGATTATGTCCTCACTAATTAACCTTGCTTAATTTTTTTTTTATGGAATCGTCAGCAAACAAATATGTATAATCATCAGTCGGCACCGTTTTAAATTGATATCTTCAATCCTTCATAACTCAAAATGAGATTTAAAAATATGTAAAGAACATTTAGTAACTAGCAAATAGTAATCACTAATCTTAGTTTATTAGTTATAATTTTGTTTATATTTTGATTATAAATATCTCTCAGATCAAGTATTTAAATCTTAAACAGTGTTATTTTAAAATATGTTTACAGATCGATTTAAAAACAATGTATAACAAGAAAAAATATCGCTGGGCCAAAAAAAAATCATAAATCTTATAAATAATAGGAAATTGAACCGTACTTATTTTTTTCAAAACATTTTTTAAAAATTAGATATTTTTGATTCGTGAAATTTTAAAGTTTTTGTTGTTTCATTGCAGCATCACTGATTGTTCATTGAATATCTATTTTAATTTTTTAAACTAAAAAATTTTTTTCATCAAGAATTGTAATTTACGAACTACTATAATTTTATCACCTTGTAATTAATTGTTTGAACTCGTGTCAGAATTTCCCTTTCGGTTTTCAGTAGATAAAAATCTCCTTTTTAATGGTTTGATGACTCCATCACACTTCATCGCAAATTTCCATTCCAAAATTAACGCTTCTTTTGGTGTTATCTATATAGAACAAAAAATAATAATAATAATTGTGTTCTCAGATACTTGTGAAGTCACTCAATACATTAGCTGCAAGAATTCTCTAATAGAGTCTTACCTCTTCTTCTATGGCTACCTTGCGTATGTTCCACAAAAACTCCAATATGGAAAACAAAAATGCTATCAAACACCCGAGGACGAGTACCACAAAAACTCCTCCGATTTTCTCGAAGCCCAGTTTGTCGCTTTCTATCTCTGCCTGTGGAAACAAAAGAGTATATATATATATTATTTAGTGACTGGTCGATGTCTCCGCGGGTCCGTCTCAATTGTGGCACTCGCCTCGCATTTTTTTTCTCCTTGGACTAGCCACCATTTGTCCTTCAACTTGTTTAATGTTCCGGACTCTTGTAATCTCAATACGGATTCACTGATCAAAGTACGATAAGGTGAATCTAAGAAGGAAAAAGAAAACTATACTTATTGTTTATAGACAGTTATCGTACCTAATGAACGATTCGTGATCTAGGTTAAATAAATTTCCGACATTAACGGTAACATTTTATATATTTTAAAATAGGTACTCTAATAAGCAGTGGTGGATTTAGGGTAGGGGATATCCAGGTGTTTAACAAAAACGGGGGATAACGATATAATTTCAATAACATGACATTTAAAAAAGACGTCTTAGGATAATGGGAACAGGTGCATCCACTGTTATAGGTAATTTAATGTATATCTGTTAGTAACGATTAACCATTGCTAACGAAAAAACGATTCTGATCGGAGTTCAGTTGAAAGTGATGCTTTGTCAACAATATATGTCATATTATGCTAAAATAATTAAATAAGCATTATAAATATATATATATATATATAATTATCTTTAGTAATATTTGTTTAATGTACCGATTTTTCCGTTTTTCGTAAATTTTCCCGTTTTTTTCGGTTTTTCCTATTTGCTGAGAAAATTGGAGAAAATCGAAAAACGACTTCTCTAAAGTAAGTACTTCCCAGTGAAATTTCTTTTTAGAAAAATTGCTATTTCAGAAAAAATAAAAATAAACATCTTTGTAAAACCATTAGCTTCTACACTCGACTCAAAATCTAAAATACCTAGTCATCAATAGTCAATATTTAGTGGTGCACACCATTTATAGATCTTGACCCCCTTAATTTCTCAGTTTATTTATTTCGTTGAGGCGACGATCCTTTACTAATTTTCCATAAATAGGTAGTAGTAGCGTAGCCAGGATTTCTCAATGAGGGAGGGGAAATAAAAAAACCTTACACAAAATTAATTTGTATTGTTTTCACTAATTTGTATACTTATTATATGACCAGATAAAATACTAAATAAATCCTGTTGAAATGAATAAAATATTTAATAACTTTTCGTTTATAATAATTTATTGCAAACAACTTAAACAATTATAAGGTAAATATTCCTAATGAGTTACTTATATCTTATTATTTATAATATAATATTATTATTGTGTCCAATCTGTAACTTTGTTATTACGAGTATTTTTGTCATTTCCCTTATCTTAACATTTTTCCTTTGCCAGCATTTGGCTACATCATATGCAGGTCCACATATTGTTCTTAATACTTTGTTTTCGAAGGATCTTAGCTTTTGCTCGACTTTTGCTGTCATGGGCCATACTTCACATCCATGTGTAATTGCAGGCCTTATTTAATATAGCCGTGTAGAGATGTGATTTTGTATCTTTAGATCTTCGATTTAAAATATTCAATTAGAGCTAAGTATGCCCCCCTTTCACCTTAATTTATGTAATTACAGATTTAATTATTCCAATCGTTACTCACAGACCACAGTGATTGTTGCACCTAGGTACCTACTAACTTTAGGTTTTCTCAAACACGTAGTTCTTGATTGTAAAATTTGCATTTACGCTGGTCGCTGTTTTCATGACTGGCGTTCTTTTAATTTATCACTAGTCTGATTTTCTTTGCTTCGTTTATCAGTGTTGTGTTTTGTTTAACTGATTCTTTACCTTATCCAAGAATATTTATATCGTTTGCAAATCCTAGTACATCTAGTATAACTTCATCTATCTTGACCCCATGGTTGTTTCTTTGTACGCAGCGTACTTATTACTTTTTCTACAACGATGGTAAATAGTAGTAGTGAGAGCGCATCGCCCTGTTTTAGCCTAGTCATTATTTCAAACTCGTCTGATTAGGCGCTGTCCGCTCTCATTCGATAACGTGTACCATTCATACACATTCTTGTCAGCGAGATAAGTTTTTATGGGAATTCAAACTCGTGCAGTATATATGTTAAACAGGCTATCACGGTGGATAATATCGTACGGTTTCTTAAGTAAGTCCTCGAATACCTGTCAGACGTTTAATCTGAACTCGTATATTTTTTCCATTAATTGTCGGCCGATAATTGATTAATTTTAAATTAATAATAATAATAATAATTAATAATAATTAAATTTAAAGTTGGTTAATGTGGAAATACTACCCTTTCAAAGTCCACACTGGTAGTCCGCTATACTATACTACTCTGCTAAAGGTTTCAATCTCCCTAAGAGGATTTTGGAATGACTGATAATAAACATACGATTAAAATATAGGTACACAAAAAATTAGTGTTAAATTATTGACGATCCCCAGGTTGTGTCCCACTTTATAGTTTATTTAGTTGTTAGATACCTTTGAAATATAGGTAAATGTATTTTCAGATTTCCTCCCAAAAAAGTTGTTGAAAATCCACCACTGCTAATAAGATGTTATTATTAATTAATAGCTAGATACCTATCTTTCCATTTATATAGGAATATATGGTATGTACCCCTATTGATTTTCTGTACATTATATATTATATACATCGATTCTAAAATAATACTCACTCATCGGCATTGCTATACCGTATCCTTTTGAGTCTAGTGTGTTCCCTATTTGCATCAAGTTACAGTTTCGTTCCGTTTGGTATTCGATGCTGGAAGATTCCATTAAAAAAGCATACCGTCCTTTGCCCTTCAACACCCTATCTACGCCTTCTTGGTTGCTTATCGTGAACACTGTCGGGTTAGACGATTCCATCACACTCCACATCCTCTGGTACAAACTCACGTTCGATTTCTGCAGAACACACAAAAAGGTTCATAAAGGGTTTTGGGGGTTCAAGTGATTCAGCCCTCTCCCAAAAGTTTTGTTCACGTTATATTAGTTATAAAATATTAATTACCTATAGGTACAATATTATAACACAATTAGAACACCATATATTTTTAGTTTACAACCGCCCTCTTCGGTTTTTCAGTTACGTGTGTTACGACCTTGTAAATATAAAAATATATTACCTGGGTATTGATAATGCTATTACTGTATTTTATAAATTTATATAATCACTAAAATTTTCCAATAAAAGATCCCAATTTTTAAATAGATAATTATGCACCTACCTATATTAGGTAGGTGCCTTTATCGTGAGCAAAAAATATTAATATAGGTATCTTTACAAAAATTCAATGGCCATCACAGTTAAAATTGCTGTCTCGTCTTTCTAACAAATCATGTGGCAAAAATAAAAAATAAATCTATTAAAATCTGTTTTGTAGATAAAACACTCATTATATAATTTGTTATAGGTAGATGACAACTTTTTGAAGAAAATCTCTTAAACGTTTTTCAAATAGTAATTGTTAAAATAGTGAAGTTATTAAAAAAAATATGATTGTTTGTACCCTATGAGTTGAACATTAAATTTAAAGAATTGTATATTACTGATAGGTTGTTTTCAATATTTTGTAATCTACAAATTTTAATATTTTATTATTTAGATATGTTTTATCTTTATAATCGATTTGAAAAGTATTTTTATTTATTTTATGTGAACGCTAAATATATTTCTGCTATATTGCCTGTTAGAAAGACAGATGAGATGACAAATACAAATGTGTCACTTGCTACCTATGTGAAAAAAAATTAATTCATTCAACAAATATATAATGTTGCAGATGTGAAGCATGTTTTTTTCTTTAGGTTACGGTATTCATTTTCGAGAAAAAAAATTGACAAACTCTTTGTTTTTCTAATTTTTGAAGTTTAACTTTAAATTCGTGCAGAAATAAACCTATCCCCACAATACATTTTTTTTTTGTACAATCTGAGGAAAAATCTGCGCTTTAGCGCACTCCTATATTATTTATTATTTATGCTATTTTTAATTTTATATTATTTTTTTGTTTATACTGACCAGTAGCCCCGGGGAACAAAAGAAGGCATAGCTCCCTAGACCCATTATTTGACCCCCTAATAGCATTTTTATCGAAAGACGGCGATTTTCGAATTAATTGTTATATTGGAAAAAAGTGTATTCCAATAAGTGTTAATTTGAATGTGAGTTGGTTATGCCGTTATGGTTGTGATCATACGATAGTTTTATATAACTACGATTTTTTCTAATGTCCCTTTCCCCCTTATAACTTGGTTAATGGTTTGTCCCCTATATAATTGATCTAGCTTCGAGCTTGAGTTTAGGTATGATGAAGATCATCAAACATTTTTTTAGGCAGAAAGAATATTAAAAGAACAGGTACCATCGATCTTCCATAAGATTAATAGATGGCATCGCATAAGGAACAAAACATCGATAACTAGCTAGGATAATAGAAGATAAGATCAAGAGAACAAAGGAAAATGAAGATCAATGCAATACTTTAAGGGATGTTATCTATGAAACAAATTATGTTGACAATAAGATGGGGATTCTACAATATGGAAATAAAGAATAAAGAAGAGTTGATAAGAGCATTGTAATAGATATCATTACTAATATCTAACCTACGGATTTAAAAAAAAATTAAGTAAGTAAACAATCCACGTTAACGTTAATAATGTTAAAATAATATAGGTAAGTATTATTATTTGTAGGTATTTTAGGCGGATCGGACCTGAAAAAAACCGGCCGTAGAACCTTCTTTGTAACAACCGTATGCAATGCCCGATTCTTTCGACAGATCTTCGACGTTCTTGATCGGCGTGTCCAGACGTCCGCTAGTAATGGACGCGGTCAGATTGGCGGTGTATGAAGAAGTCATGATGAGTGCGAAGAACCACCACATTCCCGCCACTAAACGCGTAGAGACCGCCCTATATATATGTTTAGGTAAAAAAAAATACACATCATACATCTATATTTTTGGGGTTTTAATAGCAATATCAAATATTAAAATACGGTGAAGTATATTGTACGAAAAATAGTTATAGACGTATATTGTGATCACATTACTCGATACCTTTACATTGGTACTGTATGGTATGGGAGGTAGATACTACAGTTGGGGGGATGGTAAACTTCTACAAAATTAGGTAATCTCCTACATTGACATAGTGTTAACTCCTACACTAGATAGTTATAAAAAGTAAAATAAGGTATTTTAAAATAAGTAAAAATCAGTTATAAACTAAAAAAATAAGAGATAGAGATTGTTGTATTTCCAATTTACGGAAATAACGTAGACGTTATCGAAATGTTCGAGAATTTCTAATACGATGCCTTATATTAATATGTTGAACTAAATGTTTACTAAATTTTATTTTGCATTTTATTATCTTACATTCGTAAGTTTCTACGAATATTTATCCAAAATGCAACGAAAAAGGTCTCTTATCATTTTTCTATTAGAGAACTATTTCTGATATAAAACTATTTCTGCGTTTTAATTTAAAATAATGAAATCGGAAAATCGTACGTTTTTTTCCCGCTGAAGTGCAATTATCTCAAATAAACATCATTGTAAAACCAAAATACATTTCTCGCTACACTATTATTCTAAATACTAATATGTAAAATGGTCTGTATAGGAGATTACATAATCTATTTTTAGCAGGTAAAAAGGTCGTTTTTGTAGGAGTTTACATGTAGCCATACAGTTTCGGTGTATACCTATTATATAATAAATTATTTGCGCAATAATATTTGTGATGTTAAGATATATCTTCTAATAGATAACAGCGTAAAATATATGATTAGTCAAGTATACTTTTATGATAGTAATATTTGTGCAATATTTTATAATTGTTAGGTGTTTTATGAATAATGGACGTATTCGAGTAATTAACCTTTGACGACACTTTTGTTATGATAGGTATAGATATTTTTATAAATTTGTTTGGATCTTTTATAATTAGGTACATTATTGTGATTATTAAAAACTTCAAATAACACATTAACACTACAAAATAGGTACAAATTTACGGTCTTATTATGTGTTGGTGACTCCAAATGGCAAGTGGATCACAAATTCTCGAATTCCCCCGCTAGGCTCTTTTTTTCGTAATATTTCGTATTACGCACTTTTTAGTCTAGACCAGTGGTTCCTAAACTTTTTTATTACTATCGCCCACTTCAAAAAAAAAAAAAATCTGACATGCCCCATTAAAGAAAAAAGTATATAGGTACAAAAGTATACATTATATGCAATGAAAAATTAATGTATTGTTTATAAATAAGTATTATGTTTTATTATTATATAGTATAGGTACACGTACAAATAAAAAAAAGATCCTAATGAGATGGATGTACCTGGTGTTTTGCTAGAAGTTGGTTAATATTCGGTTCGATTTTTGTAAGAAGCATTCGTAAGTCCCACGATTGGTTATTTGTAACTGTTGTCTTTTTTTTGTGAGTAGATTGGTACAAGATTGGAACAAGATCGGTATCCACGAGTATACTAAATTACCAATACCGCAATACAGATAACATTCAAATAATATAGAAGTAGAAATAGTGTACTGCTACATTTATTGCGATAATGACGGGTTTATTTGTCAACATATAAAGTTATAAACGATTATTCTAAATTTAAAATACAAAATATACAGGTACACTAATTTGTACTACCTACAATCTACATTTTACATAATGTTGTTGAAAAAAATAAATACAATGACGGCCCCTTTTTGTAAGGCAATGCTTCCCAATTAAGCTTGAAACTTCCATCGCCCCCCTGGATAGCTCTAGTGCCTCCAGGGGGGCGATATTGCCCACTTTGGGAAACACTGGTCTAGACCATAAATTCATGATCACAAAATAAAATTTGCCCCCATACCCTTAAGTATAGTTATTTCACTACTTTTTCTATCATTTATAGTTGTTTACAATTTTTTTTTTAAATATTTCCATGCTTAAACTTTATCAAGGGAAAATGTATGTTACCTAATGTAATAAGTAAACTTAAAAAAAAATATTACATAATATCAACTAGTTTGTACTTTATTTATATATTATTCTTTAAAAAATTTGTTTAAATAACGTTTATCTGGGTTTAGTTCCTTTTTCGAAGTCAGTAAAATAATTATAACAAACATTAAAATAACAAGTTTAAAAAATCATAATAATAAGTAAAACATTTTAAAATACTTTGTATTTGATCAAATTTCTTTGATATACTTATTCTAAATTTGTTAAACAATTAAAAATACTAACATCATACATTTTATAATTCCGTACTACACGTTTAATAATTTCGCACTACACACTACAGATTTGGTATTACACACAAAAATAGACCCTGTCCCCCCCTCCTCGGTTGAGAAAAATTAATTTAGATTCTATTACATGGAATATTCAGTTATCCAATAAGGTTAAACGATAGTTATTTAATGGGATTAAATTACCGGGTACTATCGTTTATCAAGAATTCTAGTGTATATGCTTAAAAAAAATCTCGGAATAGTTCTATGCTTTATATAGAGAAAGGCGTTAAATTCTACAGGAATGTCGAAGTCTGGACGGTACAAAATACGTACGAAATCTATATATAGGTACTTCGGTATCTACCTATATAAATTAGATTAGACAATTTCTTTTTGTATTATCCACGAGTGTCTTTTGCGATACATTGAAATCAAGCCCGCATTAAGGGATATGGTGCCCGTAAGCTATAAACAAAGAAGTACCTCTGTTTTCATTTCATAAAAATATAATTTTCAGTGACTATGCTCCCACGAAATTTTGCCAAGTTCTGCTCTTACAAATGTATGTTCATAGAAGTAAATAAGAAATAAATAATTATATACATTTTAAATTCTGAGCGGAGTAAAAAATGTATTGGTTTTACCATGTTTTAGATTCTGAGTAGAGTGAAGAAGCTTATGGTTTTACAAAGATATTTATTCATTTTTTTTTCCTGTGGACAACTTTTCTATCAGCAATTTTGTTCCAATGTAGAATGATGCCAATGTCTCTAAAAAGAAATCTGACCGGGGGGGGGGCACTTAAAAGAAGTCATTTTTCGTTTTTCTTAGGGGTTTACTCATCAAATTTGAAAAACCTAGGAAAAGCGGGAAAATGTAAGAAACGTAGGTATTAATTAAAATATATTACGATTTTTTTTTGTATACAACTTTTCTAATAGCAATTTTGCTCCAATTTATAATAGTAGCAATGTTTCTGAAAGGAAATCCGACTGGATTGTTATTTTAAAGAGGTAATTTTTTGATTTTCTCAGGAGTTTTCCAGCAAATGTGAAAAACAGGGAAAAACATGGGAAAACCGTAAAAACTTAGGAAAACCAGTAAAATTGGTTCAATATTAAACAAATATTAAAAGAGAAAATATATAGAGCCTATTTAATTATTTTACTACAATATGGCATATATATTGTTGACAAAGTACCATTATCATCTGAATTTCACTCAGAATCGTTTTTTTTTTTTTTTGGTTTATCGCTGCTTATAGGTATACATTAAATTACCTATAATAATTGCTGCACCCGTTTCCATTATCCTAGGACGTATTTTTTTTTTTTTAGATTCAGAGCATTTTTGTTTTATTATGCTGTGTTTTAGGTTCTGAGCCCAGTGGGATAACTATGATGGCTGCTTTTGATCCAATATAAAGATTTAATGTAAATTAATTGTTCGAGTTTCAATAAAACTACAGTTATAAACAATAATTATAGTTATATTACATTTTAAAAGTCTAGGTAAGTAATGCGTTTCCGCGGTTGGAAATTTGCGATGCCCTTTGTAAGGCAATTTTTCAGTTTTAATATTTTAAAATTGTAAAGATTATCATGGGTAGAAAATTAAAACTTCAACTTTAAAACGTTAATTTCGATTTTCGCCTATGCTTTACATAGATCCGTTTTCGTACCTATTTGAAAAACTTAGTTATTACTCTGTTAGTAATTTAGTATACCAAACACAGGCGTCTCGTCGCACTATATAAAGATGTTGTTTTCGTGTCGTTAGTATTATTATTATTACTGTGTGTTAGGTTCACGTTCCCTTACTGAGGTGATATATCGGAACCCTGTTGCAACATGGTGCCGCAACTGAACCATATCAGATTAGCCACATTAAGCCTAGTCTCAAGCTCGTTGTTACGGTCTGTCCACGGCTGCGGATCGTGCCATTCGTTGGGTGTGATTCTGCAAACAATCAACGGGGATAGATATAAAATTGAAAAACAATGATATTATTATTGTGCCAAGTTTAGTGTAGACGTATGTGTGGTGGGCACACTGCAACCTCCGCGCCATATTATAATCATAGTCGCCGGATCAGTACATTAAACACAATTGCATAATATTATTAGATATTTATTATCACAATAACATAATAATGTAGTAGTATAAATTAAATCATTATTGTTATTCAAGCTTATAAATCGATGAGTAGAGTGATTTTATATAGAGATAGGATGGAATATGAGTGGAATGAAAGAGGATAGACAGCAGCGTATAAGTGATTTGAACGTAGGTATGGTATGTTATGAGTAGAGATGAACCACATAAGCTATACGAGTAGTTGTACACGAATGCGTTTATACGTTTGCTTCTTGAATGATAGAACCGAAACAGAAGTGCTTCGACGTGTTTGAGCAAATGATGTGGTAGACCGAGCCAAATGGAGAATTTTTGAACACCAAAGTGGTGTATTCCCAAATACACGGGAAGAGATAAGAAACGAAAAGAAAAAAAAATATTCAAGTTTCAAGTAAACTTATAAATACACGAATACACGAAAATATAAACACACACACACAAACACACATACACACACACACACACATGCCATTATACAGCATAAAATATAATCAAATAATACACGAGTGCGATAACATGTGATGCATGCATTTAATTCTAAATATACCTAATATATTATAATATGTATATAGCAATTAACATTAAATAATGGAATCTGCAGAGTACCTATATTATAATCGTATTGTCATTATATCGATTTGTGCTCACTTGGGTAGGATTTCACATCCGGCACACAGCACGGAACCGATGGAGAACCACAGGCAGTTGAGCAGCGTCATTGAATTCTCTAGCTTGTTATCTCCGGGCATGACTGGACGCGGGCTCTCCCATTCAAACGGTGACATTCTGAAAACAGTTCCACAACGGTTCTGCAGGGAATCGCTTGACCCCGAAATGACCATCACGGGTTCACGGCCGGATATTTAGTGTCAATATTAACGCGTATTGGCACGCAGGCAGTACTCGTATATGCGTGTGATATTTACACGGGTTGTTAGTTTTCTACACAGGAATACCATATTATATTCTGTATAATGTTATTGGGGAAAAGGGAGGGGGGGGGAGAAACTCAACTTAAAAACCCGCCTAAATCGAAGACTATCAAGCGAAAAAATATTATATTATATTAATTACATTATTATTACTTATTAACAAGTATATATTATACGTAAACTGCAACATTATAAAACATAATATTTACAATATTTTGTGTAGTTACGTTGGCGGAGGGACTGCGGTATAATGCATACCTATATTGTAATATTACGTGGCGAACTATGACCGTCGTGACGCGTTAAGGCCGTGTTACCCCACATAGGTATATACTAATACATTATGTACGGGTTAAATTAGAATTCAAATTCTCCGTGTAGGTAGTACGAACCTGGCCAACATGAACAAGAACAACGATACGCCTAGGTACGCCGTGGCCGTGTACATCCATACGCTAAATGACAGCGGATTCAAGAACCAAAACAGCTGCGGTTTTTTTTTCTCAGGTTTCGCGTATAATATGCTAATGCCTAACGTCATGAACGGCGTCGTAAAGTCCACCGCGTTTCTCCGATCGAAGGTGATCGTTAGATCGCATATAGCCAGATCTGCTCGCTGCAATTAAAAGAAATAATACTATTATTGGTATATACAAATGCAAATTAAAAATTTTTGTTGGATCTTTATAATCGGACCGTAGTCGGCTCATACCATGGACTGCAATTCTCCGATCATACCGGTCCACTTTCCGGTTTTCTGGTTTAATGATCCGTAATCCTCGTTGGTCGTGAACTTGAATTTAAATCCATTAAACTTCGCCATTTCCTCTAGTAAATCGTACGCGAATCCTTCGAAACACTCTTCGTCTTTGTCCATTCCTTTTTTCGTGGAATTACATTTCATCAAATACGGTTGAACCTGTTTGCATTTTTATATTTTTTCAGTAATGGATATTAAAGTTTCGACCGGTGGTGGATTGTCATAGTCGTTTTTACCAATTTTCCGACAACGATGAACGTCTTATTCGTAATAGACTGCGATAATTCGGTGTAGATTTCTGAAGCAGATCTGGTCAGCGTCATCTTTTGTTCTGGGTCCCAAGAGCCCAAACGGTGCTTTTCGTTTCCGTGCACTTTAACCACGTCCACTTTAAAATAATTTCTATTGCCTGTTACGTTGTCAAACCTCATTTTACCCGTTAATCCATGTAATTCCATCTATTATAATATAATGATACGATGTGTAGATATAAAAACGTTAAATTGAATCGAAGAAAGTATAATGTAGTACCTATCTCGAGAAATAATTCTTACCACTCGCATATAGTTGATCAGACTGTATCCGTGAACCCACGGTTTTATGTTATCGCACGTTACATTCGTTGGCTTAATCAATTGCGTGGCCACCAAACCGTGGAGCGACATCGCAAAAAAGTTTACTGCGTCATAAATTAATGCGGTTTTTGTCTGTAAAAAAAGTGATCAATCTATCAATGGTCATTTTAATGTTTGAAAGAGCTGATTAAACATTAGGTACATGGATTATAGGTATTATTTAATATTAGGCGTTTCCTACAGTAATCATCATGCTGCAGATTTCCATTCCCTTTTTATATTTATGTTATATGCATATAAAATACATTACATTATTTTTGAGCTATTTCAGTTTTTAACTCTGGCATTTATTACTATAATAGTAATCTCTGGAAATATGCCAAACCTGATGGTTTATAATGAAATGAGTCTATATTACATATTTTTTTTTTATATCTACTTTTATTGTACTCTCTGATAAAATACTACGTCGTCCGTTTTTTTTTTCGTTAAATAATATTTCGTTCACGGCATCTTTAACGTGTTTACTGTCTGGGTCGACTAGCCGAATCAACGTTATGTTGGCCATTGATCTGTGGAATTCATTGAAACTTAATGTGTGTGCGTCCTGAAATGATGAAAAATAAACTGTGTTAAAACTTAAAAATGATCGTGTTTAGAAACTGTATTGTGGTTTGTTTATTTTATTCTATAATTTCTTAAAATCATTATTAATTGTTCTTGCTTTAGAGCGAGAATACCTATTAGACATATTTGAATTAATTGCTTATCATGCGTATTGCCAGAATAAAAAAAAAAATAAATTTAAGTACATAATGTGTACATTTCGTATGGACATCGGACACTCTGCTCACATTAAAAATACATTAGATACAATAAATTTAAATCGTTTAAATAATTTTATAAGTTATCGGCTATTGATTATAATTGTTCGATTCTGAGTAGAAATTATTAGTTTCACGTGGATCATGTGTCAACACTTTCAATTCGATATAGTTTTACTCTCAAAAGAAAACAAATTCCAGAGTGTCGAGAGTTTAATTTTGACTTCTAATAATGGAATTGTTTTAACAAATTCAATGAATTACTTATGTTCTCAATATTTAAATTTTTATTAGCATCCCAATACCTATACAGCACCTAAATATATAATCTATCATTCCATACAAAATGTTGTCATCATTAAACATTGATATTCCCTTTTCCGATTTTACAAGGTTTTGTTTACGTTATTATACTTGTATATTCATAGTATAAAATTGTTCCTACGGCCTTTAATGTTTAGGTATTTCTTACTCACTAAATTAGTAATAACATAGCTCTGATAATCTCCCATAAAGTGTACTTCATCTGCTTGTTTCAATATAGGCGTTATGTGTTCAACTTCATAGTCCAAAATTATATGTTTTTCGCCAGATAACTTTAATTCCTTGAACAACGGCCTGTACAAATGTAAATTATTATATTATTATTAAACAAATTAAGTCGCATATGCTCTAGAATCACCGAAAATCATCTGTAGGTGACATTTGAATGATTTTAATCGATTTTCCCGGTGCATTGTACCCATAATTGAAGTGCGTTAAAAGGGATTTGAATCTAATTAAACACTCTTGGCTCTCGTAAATAGCCGTGAATGACTCCCAATCCATATCGAGTATTATGTCTCGTATTGCCTAAAAAAATATGTATTTTACATTGTGATAATTACCTATATCTGATTATGTTAGATATACAACTTGCCTCCGATAAAAGAGACGGCTCGGGATAGAGACTAATGGCGTAAGGATCAGGAGGACGGTGGAATGTTTGCCATCTAGTTAGGATAAATGGTATCTGAGTTCGAGTACTTATAGACCTGACCACATTTTCGATATCTTCGTCGTCCGTTCCACCAATAAACGCAGCGGTTCCAGGCTTCAGCGAGTCACATACTTTTATTTTACAAATAAAAATATAGGCAAATTATAAAATACATGAATAAATACATAGCAATAATTATAAAAAAACAAAAAAAAAAACACCATTAAAAATGTATTTAAATAAGTTTGTGTTTAATTCAATCGGTTTGCAGGGTTTAATATTATATTTATTCGTTCTATATACGCCATGTAAATGTTTTTAGCTCTTTTATATTGATGTTTTCTATAATTCTTACCGACACGTGTTACGTTATACATGTCATTTATGATGTATTCGGATCTCTGGACGATTTCGTTTTTGGGCAACACCGTGTCCATAATGTTAACGGTTTTCACGCTCACATTGTACGCCAATTCATTGACGGTGTCGTCATTTTCGTGAAACAACGCGACTGCAACAACAAAACGAAACTTATAAAGTAAGTTCTTTACCGAGCCGACATTTTTTTTTATTTTGTATGTAACTTTAGAGAAACTGTACCAACCAATTTTCACGCCTTTGTGGTTGATAGCTAATGGTTTCACTTTTTCATCGGACGAGTCGTAATCGGCCGCTGCAAGCAAAAGCAACGCAAATGACGAGTATAGGGTAATGGCGATATCGTACATTTTTGCGCCGCGGGGATTCAAAACATACTGAATCGAAAAATATTTTCTTCCTCCTACACTCCAGTGGAAAAAGCCAGGGACATACGAGGCGATAATTTTAGACGTTCGCCACGTACACTCGTATAGTATATACACACACACACACATATTTTATTTCCTATTCATTAGACACATTCGTTTTTGACGGTTGACGGGCATCGGTCCAACCGTCATGCGCACCGTAGCTATCGTGTTAAGGATTAAAATAATTTATTGTTCATTCATCGTTGTGCTCGTGTTTCCGTCGAGAAATTGTTAAGTAATATTATAATATAAACACGATAAATTCGTTACATAATACATAATTTTATTGCGTGTAACAATGCCTATAACTATTCTAAGTATACTATTATACAGCTACAATACACTAGTCTCAGAGTGGAAGCGAGAGATACGATGCTTCTCTCGGCCATGACCGGAAGTAATCGCTATATAGTTAAAATTATGGTTTTTAGCATAAATCACAGGTCTGATTTTGAACTTTACTTCCCTCCACCATAGTTTAGAATTTTGAAGGCACCCTTAGTACAATATACTGTTTTGGTTCATAGTCCTGTGAAGAATATATGTTTTGTTGTTGTTTGTATTATAGAATCCAGTACTTATACAGATTTTGACACAACGAATTAAAATCTGAAGTTCGTTTGTTCTTATCGCGTCGTTTTTATATATCCTAGGTATAAAAAATGTATGTTGTACACTATCCGTGTACCACTTGCCACGATTATTAGGTTTTTTTTGGCTTATTAAAAAAAATATGCAGGTATGTCATTTACATGTATGGAACTTTTTATTATTAAATCTATTTAATTATTAGCATATAATATACACAAGTTCAGTTATTATTTTTATTGTTCTTTATGGATTACATGGACATTATAAGCCATAACTTATAGCGTACCCCCTACGAGCTTTTCGCGTACCATTAGTGGTACGCGTACCACAGGTTAAGAATCGCTGTTGTATAGAACAGGGATGGGCAACTGGCGACCCGCGTACCTTTTTTATCTGGCCCGCGCTACATTTTCAAATTACTTCATATAATTTTAGCGCTTATCTGTATTTTATTTTATTACATTTTTCGATTATAATCGGTTATAATTAAAATTAAAAAAAAAAAAAAAACAATTTTTGATAAATTGTGGATATAAATTCTTATCTAGTTTTAAACCCAAACTAAATTATTAAATGTCCAAATATATATTTATAATGGCGTAGCTAACATACTATTTATTTCATTTTATCGGTTTAGTCATATCCGTACTGACCGTACTGCCGTAGTGTCAAACCGCCGCGCCGCGCCGTTAGTACTATTATTTTCGAGTTTTGTAGTAATTATTTTAAAAATGTCCGCTAAAAAGCGTACAATCGAAGACGAAAATAGAATTTTTAACAGCTTTTGGGAGAATGAATATTTATTTATTATTAATAAATGTTAGTAAATTTGAAGGACCTTTTTTTTTTTTTGCTTTATCCTATGCGCTGCGGCCCGCTAGATTTTAAAGTACTTAAAAGTGGCCTGCTAGTTACTTTGAGTTGCCCATCCCTGGTATAGATAACGAACCTCAATTATTTAGACTCAGCTACCTTTGTTCTAAACTATCATTTGACTCGATCTTCTCTCTTGCATAAATCGGCTGTCCTCATATTAATCTTATTGGATCCAAAAACCTCTTTTCGGGCTTTCTTCATACGTTTATTTTCATTACAATTCTTACTGATTTTGATTTCTCTCTCTTTATGACATGCCTAAATCATTTCAATCTATTCTCTCTTATTTTGTCTACTATCGAAGCCACGCCTAAGCTACCTCATATGTATTTATATCCCATATCCTATCTTTTTTCATCACTCCACTCATCCACCTAACATTCTCATATCTATTAAATTTATTATCTGTTCTATTTTTCTGTCTACCTTGGGCGGTAGACATTCTAAACAAAATAAAAAATATATTTCACAGGACTATATTATTACTGAACCTTATATCAGCGGTTCCCAAACTTTTTTATTCAAGTTTCCTTAAAAGTGGAACAATTTTCTCTCACGAATAATATGAAAAATAAAATTTACATAACGTAATAAAAATTTAAAAATAGTTAATGTGTACAATGCGCTTATATATTCCATCATATATTTGTTATATCATATAAATTCTTAGATAATTTTTTTTTTAATTTTTCCTTAGTTTTTAGTCAAAATTGAATATGTGTTATGTGTATGCATTTTTAAAATTTGTGTTTTTAATGTATCAATAGCAATATAATATATATTTAGCAGTAGCTATTGTTTTTACAAGTGTATGTATTTGCAAAATTTAATATGCTTGTTTTGAAAACTATATGACTTAAGCTCTTCTTCCCTAAGACAAAGGATATATCAAAATAATAATATAGGAATCAACGTTGTAACTGTTGCCTGTTACTGGAAAGTTTGAATTTGGACCGAAATTTGAATTTAAATACGGCTACTGAAGTAAACCAACTGTTTCACATTCGTATTAATTCGCATATAGTTTATTGACGTAACATTTTATTGCTAATTTTGGAATATTTTTACATTATGACATAATGTTGTTACAAAATCCTAAAAGTGAATATTCAGAAAATTGCATTCATATCAAAGAATCAGATAAAATGTCAATCAATAATTGTTATCACCACTATTATAGAAAATATTTTATGAAATTACTTTTAAGAGCCATCGGATGTATATAAAAATACAACATTCCCACTTCCCAAGACAAGCGCTACTGCCGTTACTCACAGTTTGGGAACCGCTGCTCTAATATAACATTAAAATAATTCAATTGAACATAATAAAATTTGAAAGAAAAATTATATTAAAAACATAATACTATTTGTAGGTATTAGATTTGATTTAGCTTTCTGTTGATTGTTCGTCCGAATTTTCGGTGTGCCTCACCGGTTTAGTCGAATGGTGGCATTTGAGCACGAATTTCAGTTCCAACATAAATGCATCCCATGGTGACAACTGTAAAACGATACGACGATAGTATGATATTATTATTATGTAGATACTGCTATAATAATATAATATATGAACATTTCGAATGTTTATGAATTCTAAGAAAGTAAGATATGGTTTTTTATGCAATGTTAAATTATACAAATGGTAGGGACGTAGGGTACACAAAGTTTTTGATCTATATCTGTAAGCAACGATGACTTATTGGTTACGAAATACGATTCTGAACAAAGTCCGGTTACATATGGTTTGAAACCAGGAACCAAAAAATAAAAATCACATTTACCTACATACGAGGTTTGGCCATTAAATAACGAGACTGCGCGCGCAGAGAGCGTCCCAAAAAGGTGAGGGGAAAACCGAATACAGCGCTGGTTAGCTGGAAGTGTCTATTATGCCAGTACAAAATTGGGTTTTTGTTGGTGCATTAGTATTTTTTCTGTAGCGTTTAGAAACGAACATGTTTTTTTCTCTTGCCGAAAACGATGTGTGACGAAAAACATGAGCAACGGATAAACGTAAAATTTTCTCGTTAAACTAAAAAACACTCCAACTAAGTGCTCTAAGTTGTTAAGCCTGCCTTAAAAGGAATCCGGTTTGAGTCGATGGAAGAGGTGAAACAAAAATCGGCGGAACTCCTGAATGGTCTTACGAAAACAGACTTCCAGCACTGCCTCGAACAATGGAAGAAACGAACTAAACGGTGTGTGAAGAGGGGAGGAGAGTATATTGAAGGGGAAAATTTAGTTGTGGAATAATTTTTAAAATAAAACCATTTTTCATAATGAGTCTCGTTATTTAATAGCCAGACCTCGTAGAAGACAAAATATATTCCTTGCTACGTTTAGAAACTAAAGTTAGGTACGATCTAACAACGACAATATGCTGTGGGTTGCAGTCAGTGGTTATTCACTTAATATTATTTATTTACATACTGCCAAATGACTAATTTTAATTTTAATTTTAATTCCTGTTTCAGTTTTATAAATAATGTAAAATTTACTTTTTCTTCGACAGCCACTTTCCGAATGTTCCATAAGAATTCCAACAGAGAGAATAAGAATCCTAATAGACACCCAAAAATGAGAATGACAAACATTCCACCCACTTCGGATACGTCCAATTCTGCCGAATTACTTTTTGGTACCTGTAACAATAAATAGTATTGACAAAATTGTGTTGTTTAAAATACACATTGTACTATTACTATATATACTACTACTGTATATAAACATATATTAAAGTTTATATTTTAATTGAAATCGTTAATAATATACTTATATTATAGTAATGACAAATAATATTAAACATATACAATTAAAATGTACTTAAATGTTTATCTCTTATAGAGTCTATTAACTTAATAAAATGTTCAATACAATTTTTCATAATTTGTGAGTATACATCTATATTTTATACTATGAATATTTATATCTAAGTATAATAATATAATAATAGTGACAAGTGTCCGCGTTTCGTAAGTTTAATGTTCGACTGTGCAGAGTAACCTAGAACATTTTTTCACAAGTTTAATCGATTTTATAAAATATTACCGGACACATTTTGTCTTCAGACACCGACCACCATTTATCTTTTAGTTCCATTAGTTTTCCGGATTCAGAAAGTTTCAATAAAGCCATACTGATTTTTGTTCTATGAGGAGCATCTGGAAATATAATGTAACCATAATCTAATAAATTTTACACTGATAGCATTAAGCGTACATGCCAGCTAGAATTATTTTTATTTGCATTGAATATGTATAGTTGAAACACAGTCTATTGCAATGTCCCAAAAAGTGTTTTCAACTTATAATAAGTACTTACTAAAAGGCATCGCAATTCCATAAGCTTTATTGTCCAACCACGCACCAACTTCGGTCAAATCGCAATTTCTTTGCACTTCGTATTCGATTGTACTGGACTCCATAAAAAAAGCGTAAGCCTCTCTTTCTTTTTTTACACGGTCCACGCCCTGTTTGTTGTCGAACATCATTACCGTGTCACCGTATGTTTCCATTACGCTCCACATTTTCTGATATAAATTCACGTCACTGTGCTATAATAAAAAAACTGAATTTAAAATTAAATTTCTATCTAAATAAATAAACTTGGTGTAAATGGCATAAAAGTTTTTTTTTATATGTATAATATCGCATCCATATGATGAATCGTGCATTTCATAAAATGGAAACCATTTTTTCCACTTATTAAAATATTTAAAAATTTCATAAAGTAGATATCATTCCACAAAATGGATATTGAAATTTGATATCGTGTAGTTTTTTGGGTTATGTCGTCGATCATTTCGTGTACTGATATGTAAAATATTTACTTTACTCAACTATTATTGTATTATTATAATATGTACTTGAAAATCTCAAACATGCGTGCAATATAGTCTGACCATTTATTTCGAAAATCGGTTTATTCCAAAGATTATTAAATAATACATATTATTCACATTATCAGTATTTTGATTATGCTTTGATTATCCAATAGGTAGTATATTTTGTATTAGTATAGTTGTGGTTTGGACCACTTTTGGGCTACATTTCACTTTTCCTAGCTAGTTTTTTGTAGGTACGTGTGGAAATATGGAAAAGTCAGTTTTCCACAAAACTAACAAATTATTATTTACAGAAACCAGTCAAAAAATCGTACATCTCTGATCAAATAATTGAGAGTATAATAACTGAAATTATCGATGCTAAATTAAACAATTAACCGTAAACAATATTTTTTTTTGAAATATGCAGTATGCTTACTAAAAACTTTTGACTGAACAAGTTGACAAATAAAATAATTAATTTCGTTTGTCCAAGTTGTATTAGTGGGTCAGGGTTTCCTACATTGTTCTTGTAAAAGTGTCTATTAAACCAAACGATGTACTTATTACAAAGGTAGCCATGTGATATAACAGCCATTGTTGCGATTTCATTGTTTTGCTCAAAAAAGTAAAATAAAAACAAATTACAAATTACAGCTTAAGATTTACTTTTTTTTATATGTCGATAAATACCTAATAAAAATAAATCAATAATAATCGAGTGCGGTAAAATGTTCTATTTCTATACACAATGTGGTCGATCATGGTGGGTAAAAAATTTGGTACACGATGTCAACTCGATTGTCCATTTCATGAAAAAGTGACTATTTTTGAATTTTACGAAATGTGAAAAAGGCGATTCCTTTTCATTAAAAGATCGATTTCACGAAGTGGCTATGACATATATATTTATAACCTCAAAAAAACCAGCGGTGGATTGTCCTCTAACACATCCGTATTTGATGGCCGACTGTTTATCCAAATCGTCCACCATTTTGATTGCGGATTCTTTTCTACTCGACGTCAGAAACGCAGTCCAATTGGCCGTGTATGATTGACTCACGATCAACGCGAAAAACCACCACATTGATGCACATACTCTTGTCGAAAAAGCTCTATAACATTTTTAATATGGGTTACACTGCGGAACTAACACGTGTTTAAGTCATTAAAATTATTTTTTAATATTTACATAATTTACCTGGGTAACACTTCACTTCCCTGGCATAGTATGGAACCCAGAGAAAACCACAAGCAATTTATTAAAGACAATGAGTTCTCGAGCTCTTCGGGTTCCGTAACGCACGGATGAGAATTTTGCCATTCATCGGGCGTAATTCTTAAAATAGTTATTAAACAGTATGTATAATATTTACAAACATTCATTATTATATACATTAAAACGTTTTCATTTTGATACCAACCTAGCTAGTATATAAAGAACAATCGATAGACCCAAATACGCGGTTGCTGTATATATCCATACGTGAAACGATAACGGTTGTGTAAAAGAGAACAAATTGGTTTCAGGTTCTTTTGGCTTACTGAACAGGATGCTGATGCCTATATTTTAAAAGTATATTATATAGTTATTATAGTTTAAAATGAGACGCTTAGTATTTATTGTGGTACTATAATTTTGTTCACCTAAATTCATAAACGGAGTCGTAAAATCAACCGCTTCTCTTCTTTCATGCGTGATGGTCAAATCGCAAACTGCAAGGTCGGCTCTCTAGAAAATTACAAACTCCGTTGTTTAAAAACGGTAAGTTTTATTATGTAAGTTATTTTTCTTCTAGATTTAACATGTTACACACTTTATATTTTCTTACCAATTCTTGAACTTCTCCGATAAGTCCATCCCATTTTCCGGTTTTTTTATCTTTTTTACCATTACCGTCATTTCGCAATCTGAACTCGTACGTGATATTAGTCTCTTCCGAAATCATCTGGATTAAATCTACCACATAACCCTCATATTTGTCATTGCCCATGCGATTTTTATGATCACTTTTTAACATCATATATGGTTCTGTCTGTAAAAATATAATACACATTTTATCTATCCCTTTATTTTTTATGTGCATGTATATGGTAAAAACATATAAACAATACATATAATATAATTACAATTTTTGAAGCAACAATAAAAGTTTTGTTCATATTTGCATTCACTAGATCGTCCAACATTTGATTTCTAGTTCTCGTATACGTCATTTCGTTCTGTGGATCCCATACTCCGATTTTTTTGAACCCCGTATTCGTTAATTCGACCATTTGTAACGTAAAATAATTTCTGTAACCTGATTTTTGATTAAATCGTAATTTTCCCGTAAGACCATCGACTTCTACCTAGAATACATGTTGACTCAATGATTCAAAAAGCTCAATAGAAATAACACAAAATTGTTCAAGTATATAAATAGAGATATGTATACATATATTCTATTTATATCAATTATACTAATTGAAAATTTTAATAAATAATTGCAACATAATGGGTAGTGTTCAGTAAATACTGAATACTACATAAATAAAAAAAAAATTTGTATAATTTGACTCCCTGCAATGACGCTAATTAAAAATTTTACCTTTAAAAAAAATCGTGACGACAATAGTTTTAAAATAATACTATTGTTATTTTTACAATATTATTATATTGTAAAACGCTGTTATAAGTGAGAACAAGTACCTATCTAAAGTTCAATATTTTGCAGTCATAATATTATAACTTGGATGTAAACAATTTTGGTACTGGTGCTTGTTTCCATTTCTAATGGTGTTCTAAAATTGTATTATTTTAAAACTATCATTTCAAGTAGCCACGACTTATTTTAAAGTTAAAATAATAAATCGGCGCCATTGTAGGTCATAGGGTGTCAAATTATACGAATTTATTTCAATTTATATATAATGTTCAGTAAATGTACATCACGAGTATATTGCGATTATTAGACTCCCCATAAAAAATATTTTATAGTTTTGACATTTAATTAAGGAATTGGGACAATTTTAATTTTGGTTTATTTGCTTGTAAGTGCTAAACAAAATCTGCAAAATTAGGATCAAAATTCGAATGTCAAGGGTTGGCATTCACACGATAATTTTTCGAATTATTCATATGAATAATAAAATAGAAGATCGTTGGGTCGATTAGGTTAGGTTAGGCTTATACTTATATGAGCCAAAGCGATGACTAATCTCAAACGGTGAACACTCGTATGTTTAGTATAGTTTTTAGTTGCCAAAACGGATACAACAAGAAAGTTTACTCACGTGCGTACCTACCCGTTGACCCAGAGATCGCATTGATTTATCTAACGTTTTCAATTTTTTATAAAATATACAATTTATTATTATTCTATAGGAAAGTATTGAATAAATATTTCCATTCGGTTATATACGCGTTAGTCATCAGAAATGTTAGTTTTCTGCATTTTGGTTAAATGACTTACGATTTTCATGAAGTTTATGAGTCCAAATCCACTGGGCCAACCTGTACTTGATCTATTTGCACAATTGTTTGGCTCTGCCTTGATAACTTTGGAACCTCCAATACCACGTAACGCTTGAGCGTACACGTTAACTGCGTCAAACATCAATAATGCGTTGACCTGAAATAATGTATTTAAAAATGTACATATTAAGATAAAGTCATGGTTTGTATAAATTTGGGATATATGTAATTTACGGTAATAGTATCTGCTTGGAATACTTTCATCGTGTTCAAATTCATTCTTTGTTGAACGAACTCGATATCTGCCATTATACTACCCACCGTTGGACTCAAGGGATCAATTAATTTTACTGCAGTAATGTTTGTTCGTTTGAATTGTAAGTGACCATAATTTAATGTGTGCGCATCCTTAGACATCGTACAAATAATGTATCATTAATATAGGAACAGTATAAAAAAATATATTATATAAATCAAAATATACATTTAATCATATTTTTGAAGAATGAGTTTGAATTTTTTTATTAGTTAACCGTGTTATTCTCCTGTAAAATAAGTTGATATAATTTCGATTATAATTTAAATCACTAACATTGTTAATATTTTTACATCCTACGATAAAATGAAATTATTTAAATCAATTCACTTACTTTATTTTACGACATTAAAAAATTATAAATTACCTAGGTTAATTAACAAAAGTAAGACAGTTACGGTATTCTTGTTATAACTTATATTTTATAAATAAAAACTAACTTGTATAAAGTATAACTATGTATTATATATGCCTCAGTGGTGGTTATAACTGAAATTAAAGGGGAGGAATTAGTTGAAATTTCAAAATTCTCCTTTCCAAAACAAATTCAACAAACGTTGGAGTTTGTTTAATTTGTTTTATATAGGTAGTAGCTTATAGCAATAGTATGAATTTAGAATACATACTATTTTTTAGATTTTAACACAGTAATGAATATATTGGTTTTACTATGAAATGTTTTTTTCCAGATTTTCAAGTATTGTATTTTTTTTTGAAGATAAATTGTAATTAGTTTTTGTGAGGTAGTTTTTTAATACAATTCTTTTTAGTTTTCACAATGATCAGGAAACGATGTAGGAAAAACATGAAAATGTACAGCTGTAATCTTTTATTTTGTAGTAATTCGGTTAAAAATAATCTTAGATATCTGAATTACATCTTTTTCACAGAATACTTCCATTTCTAGACGTGGTAAAATGTTCAATACATTCTAGTGATTATTGAGCAAATTAAAGGCATTTTACATTTTTAAGTTTGTTTAGTATATACGAGTATAAGGTTTTCTGGAGATAAAATTGTTGAAGCGTTATGCAGTTTTTATTAAACTGTTCTAATTTTAAATTTTAACGAACATTGTAAAAGTCATGGTATTTCAAAATCAATGCTCGAATTGGGAAAATAAAATAAGAGGGACTATAAGACTTAAACAAAATTAATTTACCTTGTAATTATTAAACTAAAAGTAATTAGTATGGTGGCTTCGCCAATCACATCTCCCTTATACTAATTTTTAAACATAATTTAAGAAAAAAAACTTTACTTAATAACATTACTTCAGGCTACAGTTTTGAACACATATACATTTATTATAGATTCTACTAGGATAAATTAATAGAATTACTATAAAGTGAGTTGTTTTAATGTCTATAAACAATTTTCCTATGAAATATCCTGCTCCGTTAATTAATTTTATAATTTCTGGTAAAAATAGATATTGCCTAGTTGGTGCAATGAGGAGATCATTTTTTTATTTTAAAATAAGTTGCTTTAAATATCCTACCTACCAAGCACATTCAGCAGTATTAGCTCTTTGTTTTGTTTATACTTAAAAGTTAATACAAATATAATTAATGAGCTAACAACATATTTAATCCATATCGCATACAACTTAATATTAATAATATTATGCTGGTAGTAATTAATAGTTGAAGTATTAATTAGCATATATTAATACAATATTAATGCTGATGTTCATATTATATTCACGTTTTTATGAACGTGGAGGAAATAATAAAAGCCTGTATGTGGCATATCCATATTCCTGGTTTTTTTTTTTTTTACATCAGGATTTATCATTAGCCAATCTTATCATTACCAAACGGATCTCAGTCTTTCAATAGCCTTACATAGGCTGCCTCAGCTTATTCAATTGTAAAAAGTTACTGCCTAAAAGGAGTGAGCGTTTACCAATAACATCTCTTTAAAACCGTTATTGACTTGTTTACAGTGGCACACAAAAGAACTCTGAGAGCACATGAAGCCAACATTTTAATTATCCACCCACTCGTTTTATTCTTAAAACTTTTTAAGTTTCTCTATGTCACCAACTCATTATTAATCTAAACCCACTCACTCGAGAACCTAAAATATTGCATTACTTGGTAACTAGGCCGTTTTTGCGTCACTACTTGTAAATTTAATCACCACAATAATAATTAGAATACCTATTAGCTATTACATTTTAAAAGTAGGTTTGCATATTATTAAAATTCTATATCTAAGAGCTATACTGAATTTTGAATTAATAAAGCAAAATAATAACACAAACTTGATAACAAGAATATGGATTTTTTTAAATTAAAACAATTTTAAAAACAATTACTTGTTTTTAACTAACCAAAGAAGTGATAATAAAACTGTGATAATCATCCAATAAGCCCACATCTTCGGCTTGATCTAGTACGGTCAATATGATGTCAGTGTCACAGTCCAAAACAATATGACTTTCCAGCGATTTTTTTACTTTTTTGAGCATGGGGCTGGAAAATGATTTAATCATTTTTATCAGTAATTTTAAATTTATGTATCTATATGGCAATTCCTTTTTAGATTACCGAAAATCATTATTTTCGGGTAGTTTAATAATAGCCAAAGCCGAAGATGGAGTATCCGATAATTTGGTCGACCTTGAATAGTCTTGAATTAAATGTTGCAATCTCAACAGTCCTTCTTCTCGCTGGTACAGTAATGTGAATGAAGTCCAATCCATATCACGGACTATGGCTGTATACCCGCGGCTGAGGACCACCGGATCCGGGTAAACGTTTACATAGTAATTATTAGGCTGCTGATTGGGGTTCATTTTCCAATGGGCTTCGATGTGAGGAATTTCCATCGCATCGCAAATCGATTGAATTATAACCGAAGCTTCGTCGCCTGCCGGGCCAAAAAAAGCCCCGACGCCAGATTCGAGGGAATCGCATACTAAATATGTATAATAAATTCAGGGGTTGAAAAAAAATATATGTTTTAAACAATATGTATGTATTATGACACTTTATCGTGTTAAAACGTTTTATCTACCCAAATTGTTTACTAACGTAGTTTAGGTATAACTTAACAATAGTATGTTTGGGGGGTCCCGGTCGAGATCATCTTACCTCTTTGGCTGGTCCGATAACCGTCGTTGATGTCGACGATTTCCACCCGACCTTCGAGCTTGACATCGTTGGATAATGATGGGTCCAGGTTCACTTTGTGTATGGCCAACTCAAAGGCCATTTGTTCTACCGAACCTTCGGACGGGAATAGACCCACTGTATATACAGACACAAAAGATAAAATCATTTAAGCAACTTTGTTTATAAACACAGTTATACCACGGATATTTATAGATTTAATATAGGGTGGGCTAACGTATTTTCTCGTTTTAATTTCACGGAAAACGAGAAAACCAGAAGCCTCTCCCCGTCTTAACAATACTATAAAAATGAATGTCTCTTCAATTGATGACTAACCGACGGTAATGGGTTCCACATCCTCTGCCACACAGACCGCGCTACCGAACAGCACAATAAACAACGGGACGACCACAACAGATTGCATGTCGCGTGTGGAATAAATGCACTAGGTGTTTGTAGTAGTTACATCTTTATGGGATTATTAATTCCACACATTATATATATTTTCACGAGACGACGTTAAACCGCTGAACACCTATATTTAGATCACGCACGCAAATTGTTATGGGCTGCTAGCCAGTGTCTCGTGCGATTCGAAACAACCGCAATGACCTGTCTACAATTATTGAAGTGGTAATCTGCCTCAGGGAAACTAAAGCGTACTCGTGTAGGTAGTCGTAGGATTACTCAAGTAATTTTTTCCTCTCTATGAGTTCGAATTGTTGGCAGTCGGGTTAAAGGTTATGCGTCTGTAAAACAATAATAAAACAAGCGTCTTTCAGGCTAAAGCATAATACAATAGTTTTATTGTTTTAACGCGTTCGCTTCGGAAGTCGGGCCAACTACTACAAAATATATAATAAGTAATAACATCGCACACCGTCGACGCCACCGCAGTGGCGTTGGATAAATATACCTATTTTTTTAATTTTTTGTAAGGCTGTCATCGAATATATTTTTTAATCATCGTTGTTTATATAACGGTTACGTTTTTGAAGGTACCTAAATATACATACAAAAATAACCATGCTGTTAGTTGGTTTAAACATTTAAATACGGTGCATATTGTGTTTTTGACAATGTAACTGATATAAACACTAATGTAAATCGGTATATAATATACATGAGCTATTGCCTATTAGATGAAACACAATAATATTGTAATTCACGTACATTAAACGTAAATAAGGATAATTATATAATAATAATAGGTTGGTACACAATGTAATATAAAATAAAATAATAATCGTAATCTATATAGCTGTTATTATTTGTCAGTTATATCTGACGAGCTGTCTTCGATACGTCTCACTGGCTTGGAAGTTCCGTGGCACTTTAGCACGAATTTCAGCTCCACCATAAACGCTTCACATAGAGTCAACTATAATTATATGAAAAATAGTAAATGATTATTTTTGAAAATAAAATCGTATAGGTGACTACTAAGAAACTATACACAAATATATACACTATAATACTATATACTATATAGTATATATATAGTATTATTATAGCACTGTTTTTGTAAAAACTACTGCATTTAACAAGACTAGTTATATAATATAGATTCTTTTTGAAATTCACTTATTTAGGTACACAGAATAATTTTTTTAATGATTCAAACGAAGGCGTTCGGACTTTTTAATTACCATTATTATTTCTGATGTATATATTTTAAGATCGTGCATTGTTATTTAGCCAAACAGAGATATATTTTACATTAAATGTATATAATAATCGTATGTACTATAAAAATAGATTTGCACTGAATACTGTGGTCGGATATGTTTAACTAAGTGTGATATATTTATTAGTCCTGTATAGGTATTGATATAATAATACAAATAATAATATAATATAAATAAACATAATATTTGACATATAAAACAGATATGTACCTATAGAAAAATAATGTAGGAGGTTTATAATTATTATTATGTATTAAAACTTTAAAAAAAAAAAAAATGTTTGAATATTAAGTGAAATGATAGGTAGATATTGCAATTTCACGATTCATACACATTCACGAATTGTGAAATTATCTCGTTAAAAAAAATTATATTTTTGACAAACTGTATGTCTTATAGTATGTAAAAAATTGTTTATGTTCCAATTTATTTAATTTAAAATAATTACTAATTTTATATTAAGCTAAAATAACAGTAAATAATAAAATTATTTTTTTATAATTATTGAAACTGTATGCAAATTAACTTTGTAATTTATTTAAAATACTGTAATAATAGAATAGATGTATCCAAAATTGGGTACCTATAAATAGGTATATATGTCTTTTTTCTACCAATTATTAAAGTAATATTTAAATTATTAAATCATTTAAGTACTTACAATATAATAATATCGTAATTAAGTTATAACGACAAAAAACATTACACACATTTTAACTAATTAAAATAATTACTACGGAATTATGTTACCTTTTCTTCAACAGCTACTTTTCTGATATTCCATAAAAACTCAAGTATAGAGAATAGGAAAGCTATTAGGCAGCCAAATATTAAAATTACGAACATACCACCGACTTCGTTAACATCAAGCGCTGCTGAGTCTTTTTTTGGATCCTAGAATATTAAATTCATTTTTTTTTAAAAAAGAATTATTTGATTCTTAATATTATAATACATTGGCGATTCATTGATTATTACTTATTCAAAGAAGCAACGGTTTTTAAATGTAAAATTAATTAAATTTATATAAATTGCGGTTTTAGGAATCATATTTCGTACGGGCATGAATATTTTACAATACAATTATAATTATAATTTACAAGTAAGACATAGGTGCAATATAAATCTTTAATCTTCAAATTATTTTTACCTTAGCACACAATAATCTCCCTCCCCTCCCCAAAAAAACTACGAAAAATAAAAAGCTGATATTGCTGATGAGTTTACTACTGATGTAGATTGGTTTTTTGAAGATAGGATAATATAAAGAATAATATACATTACGCACGTGTTTTGATAAATACCCTGATTTTATGATTTTCGTTAAAATTTGAATTAATTTTTTTTTACCAATATAAAAAAAATTTTGTATTAAATTTTCGAGCATTTCTGTTCGGCCAAAACAATTTCATTTACATAAAACCAAAAAAAAAAACAACTATACAGTTTAAAATGCCACCTATAAATAGTTCAAAATTCCTTAGAAATTTTACTACATTCAAAAAGAATTAATATAATAATTGGATGAACATATTTTCAAGTATTTATAATTATTATTAATTAAATTACGATAGCTGTAAGAAAACAAAGTTAAAAACAGCAGAAACCATTGTTGCGTATATTTCCCCGTGTTTCCTACATTTTTCGAACTAGCATGAAAACTACAAGAAGATTAAAAAAATAAACTACCCAATGCACCTACTGGAAAATATTTTCTACAGGAAACCACCCGTGTAACTACAAATAAGTTAATTGTCGGAACAAGATAGCAAAGTTGTTTACTATGAATAGCAAAGAAATATAAGAATGTCAATAAATTCCTCGGTTGATTCAGAATCTAAAGTATAGATCGGTTTATTCTTTATACAAAATATGATTTTCTTTTTTAGGAAGAATATGATGTACACTTATGGAATCTATTATCGAGGTAATACAATAATGAAAAAAAAGCTAAATAAATATTTAAACTTTTTCGTGGCGAACAACGAAAATGTTGGTACGGGCAGTTGCCCATCCTGTCCATACGCTAGAACTGCGACTGACACCATCCAATTTTGTTTTAATGGTTTTACGAAATGAAGAAAATGAAAAATTGTAAATTAATTATTTTGGAACCCTAAAATGTATAAAATAAATACTAAACTTAATTGTAAATTTTTCATAGGTACCAGTAATTTTATTTTAGTTAAAATAATGGTACCTTCAATTATCCTCTCTCCTTACAATATAAATTGCTTTTCATCATTTATATAATAATAATATACGCATTTCCCAATACTAATTGTGTAAAATATGAATAATTATGTTTAAATTGGCTCTTAAAAATACATTGAACCACATGTCTTAACACGGGTTTTAAAATTATTAGAATATAAATCTATTAATACAGGTGTATTCCCTAATAAATGGAAAACCTCTTTCATATCTCCTATCCATAAAAAGAAAGTAGAAATTCTGTCTTAAATTATCATCCAATTTCGAAAATCTCAATTATATCTAAGCTATTCTCTAAATTGATAAATAAAAGTCTATCCCCTATATGTAAAAACGTTATTATAAATGAACAGTACGGTTTTCGTACAGGTCGATCTACTATAACAAATCTATCTATTTTTAAATAATCAATTCTAGATTCTTTTAAAAACGGAACCCAAACTGACAGAAAAATTTGAAAATAAAGTTTTTTTAAAAAAACTATCGTACTTATGTGATATTTTTGAAAAACTCAATGTATTAAATGTATCTTTACAAGGTAATGAGACCCAAATTTTGCAGTTAACTGAAAAAATTACTTCTTTTAAACGGAAATTAGTCTTGTGGAAGAATAAAATGTATGAAGGTGCTTTAAATGACTGTTTCCCCACATTGTAAATGTTTCTTCATGAAAATAATTTAAACTTAATACAATCTATCAAATTATTATTCACGGAACACTTATCACAACTTATTGTTCACTTCCGAAATTATTTTCCCGAGGACAATCAACAACAAAATTGGATTAAAGATCCTTTTACTACTGACCTACCGTCAGAATTAACAATTTTTTTCGGGTTTTTCGGCCTTAACAGTAATTAAAACTAAATATAGGGGGTACAAATGAATACCGAAAAGGAAATGAGAATCACGCTTTCAAAATTTATACCATGATTTGATAATATTATGCATAAAAACAAGCACTGCCATCCCATTGAATATTAAAATTATTATTATTGTATTGATTTTTTAATTTTAACAAAATAAATTTCAAAAAAAATTGTTTCCTATTATTAATAATTACAAGTTGATCATTAAATAAAGTTAGATTAAAATGATTAAATAATGTAAATTTGTTTATTTTAAATGTTTATATGGGAGCCGTATATTTTATTTCAAAATCAAAAGGAGCCGTGAACACAAAAAGGTTGACAATCACTGCTATAAACAATACCTACATCATATATACATATATGAAGAATAGTTTCTTAGTAACAGCCGTTTTAATTTATAGAGAAAAAATTATACTCAGTAACAATTGGTTACCACTACATTAAGTAATAAGAAATCGAAATCGCAGCATTATAGTAAAAGTAATTTAAATTCCTTAACTAGAAATTAAAACAGCTATTACTAAGAAACTATTTATTGGATATGTATATACGATACAACTTTTAGAATAATATCTATTACAAAGTGGCTATTTTAACAATATTGAAAAGAAAACGAAAATTAAATTTTTCCTTATGGTTTAGGGGTAAATATTAACCTTGATATTAGAATTGAGAAAACACAGAGAAATACTATTTATATATTTTTACTAGATAGCATATTGAACTGTTCCAATAAGTATTATTTGAAATATATAAAATTAATTGCTGTATAAGGGATACAGTAGGGCCTTTCCTGGTCCTGAGCAGAGTCTAAAAATTATAAAATGTCATGTTGTGTTACAAACATTTGAATAACAATAATTATTTGTTTAGTACCAACCTTACATTTTTTATCGTTAGATACTGACCACCACTGATTTTTTAGTTGCATCAGTGCTCCTGATTCGGATAGTCTTAATACTGCCATGTTTACACTCGTTCTGTGTGGAGCATCTGTAATTTATAAAATTAATTAAATTTTTTTTATGAACAGTTTAAAAATAATTCTTACTCAACTGAATGGCATTGCGATACCGTACGCCTTGTTGTCCAGCCAATATCCCACCTCTGTTAAATCACAATTTCTCTGCACTTCGTATTCAATAGAACTTGATTCCATGAAAAACGCATAATGATTTCTTTCCTTTCTCACCCGATCTACTCCCTGTTTGTTGTCCGATACCATTACCGAGTCACCATTTAGTTCCATACTACTCCACATCTTTTGATATAAATTTACATCAGAATTCTAAAATATGAAATTAACATTAGATAATAGTCAATTGGTATGTCATAATTATTATCCTGAAGTTTAACATTGACTTAAGCAACTTTATCGCTAACAACTTAATAACAATTAGTATGCATGAATATAATTGTTCAAAAATCAAAACGAATATCTACTACATAATATATATATATATACATTAGAAACAATGTTATAATAAAACTGGCTGAAATGGCCTGGGGAGCAACTGGATATAATTTCAACCGGTGACTAATATTTTCCAGTGTGGTAAAAAAGTGCACAAGACATAAAAGTAGATACTAGATATCCATATTAATGAAAAAATAAGAATAATATCAGGTGCTAAAAAGCACACTAATAAATGCTCCTAATTATCTCAAACACGATTTTATGTTTGAGATCCAAATTTAAACGTCAACAAATTGCAACAAACATTATTAGAAAATTAACTGACTCTAACTGTGTCAGAAATCTACTAATCGACAATATCTTAAATAAATCACCAAAACAATAATTTAAGTCTTAAAAACCAAAGTAGAGTGATGTAACATAATTTCATCTAAGTACATTTAATCTCGAGGACCTGTGGAAGATCAATTGGAGTGAATACATAGAAAATAAAACATACAGGCAAGTCGAATATACATATATGTCACATTATGGTAACATAATTGCATATGCATTATATATTTTCTTTAACAATATTTGTTTAATATTTTGTCTACTTTCCCATTTTTCTCTGGTTTGTTTTTCCAATTTATTGTAAAAACTCCTAGGAAAATCAAAAACTGACCTTTGTAAAGTATTACCCCAGTAAAATTTCCTTTCAGAAAAAGTGCTATCATTGTAAATGGAATCAAATTTGCTGGTAGAAAAGTTATTTGTAGGAAAAAAAAGCCATAATATTTGTTTTACTAATACCTAAATATCGTACATTTTACCGTTTTTTCCTATTTATTATATAGTGCCATCCCAGGAAAACTCCCTTTCAGAAAAGATGTTATACTTGATATTTCAGAGCAAGATTTTTGGTACAATTTTTCTACACAGTATAAAAAAAAAGAAAAGAAAAAAAACATTATTGTAAAACCAATACATTTTCCGCTACACTCAGAATCTAAAAAAATAAAATTAGAACCAGTCATACGATATGCAACGATATGCTTCATAAATGGGAATTGTGGTCTCTTCAAATTTCAACTATGACGATCCAACACAATAACATCACACATACCTAAATACCTATTCAATGAATGCATTAAAATCTAAGAGGATGTCTGATTAGAGCTGAGAAGACATCATAAACTCCACCTCAAAAGTAATTAACTGGCTCTCAAATCTAGATATTAAATCTGTGATATTTCCATAATGCAAAATTCAACTTTAACATTCGGATCGCAGTGTTTTCCTAACAATGTTAACGAAATAACCTTATCGTGTACAAATTATATAATTTTTTTATGATCAACATCGTTTAATTCGTATTCGTAAATGTATTTAAATATCAAGCTCCACCCCCCCAAAAAAAAAAAATGTAAGACTTACTTGAAAAAAACTGGCAGTTGATTGATCAGTTACACATCCATATTTAATGGCGTCAGAACCAGTACCTCCTTTTTTGTCAAGATCTTCAACATTTTTTATCGGAGTTTCCATCCGATTTGACGTTAAGAATGCTGTCCAATTAGCTGTATACGATTGAGTCATAATAAGAGCGAAGAACCACCACATGGCAGCGCATAGTCTGGTTGGAAATGCTCTAAACGTTTACAAATAAAATGCTGTTTATTTATTTTTTAATTTAATTTTAATTTTAAGAATAAAATATTTTTACCTTGGCAGAATATCGCTGCCTTGACAAAGAATAGAACCCATTGAAAACCATAAGCAATTAAGTAGCGAGAGAGAATTTTCCAATTCTTCTGGGTGCGGATTGCATGGATGAGGGTTTTGCCATTCGTTAGGTGTAATTCTATAAATGAGGGGAAGTATATTACTTGAACATTTAATTTTTATTAGATAAGTTAATATTAAATAAATTACCTGGCTAAGAAAAACAATACTAGAGATAGGCCTAAATAAGCTGTTGCTGTGAATATCCACACTTGAAAGGAAAGAGGTTGGGTGAACGAAAACAAATTGGTTTTCGGTTCTTCAGGTTTACTGAACAATATGCTGATACCTACAGAAAATATATAAGCATTTCTATAGGGTTCTCTAAAGCATCCTACTTACCCAAATTCATAAAAGGCATAGTGAAATCCACGGCAGACCTTCTTTCATGTGTAATTGTTAGATCACACACACCTAAGTCAGCTCTCTGTGAATTTGTTTTGTGTTAGTGATAGCTTTGGGTATGCTAATTATACATAGAATAATATATTAAATTGTATTATGTGATTTTGAAATTTTTGAATATTTTTCTGCGAAACGTGTTAATGTAGTATAGAAATTTTAAAATAAAGCATCTCAATGAAAAATGTGGACGCAAGATTACTTATATAAATAAATTATATAATATATTATATTTAAATTATATTACCATTTCTTGTACTTCGCCAATAATTCCATTCCATTTGTTTGTCTTCTTGTCGCGTTTTCCATTTCCATCACTTATCAAATTAAATTCATAAGTTATATTCATTTCCTTAGCAATTAATTGTATTAGATCCGCCACGTATCCTTCATACTTGTCATTCCCGACTAGTTTAGCATGACCTTCTTTTAGCATTAAGTACGGTTCTGTCTAACAATGGAAATAACAACCATATTTTAAAATTTGTTCAAATAATAGCTTTAATAGAAAACCTTTTCTAAAAAATACTATTGGTTATTATCGATAGACTTATCGGTAGGGCTTGGAACATGCATTCGTGTGTGAGCTATTAGATTTATTGCTAAGTAAGTTAGAAATCGCTAAAATGAAAAACATGTCAAAAGTTTATGGTGCATATATTTGCATATTTAGTGATTTTGTGTTTTTAAAAATATATTTCTTAACTTTATCATATTTTTAGATGCATATTTGATGATTTATGATAATTAATAATTTAGTAATAAATAAATATGTGTGTGAATTATAAAACTTTTCATCGCCTCACTGGGTATTCATTATTGTATTGTGTTTTTAAAATATTTGTCTAACAGCTTCTATCAAAATACGATTTTACTATGTGTAAAAAAACAAAAATTATGAGTGCATATTTTTAAAGATAATTTGTACTTTTCTAAATACATAAATGAATTTATATTTAGTACTTTTTAAGAGCATTAAGTTCTGAGTCCTAGTTATCAACAACAGTTTGAAGCAAAACAAATAAAAAGTTCTTTTTTCGTATATTGTTGAATCGTTGTGATAACATGCATCAATATACGATATTTTAATAATAATTATCTATGAAAAAGACGTATAGGTATGCGAATAATAACTAAGTATACGCGTTTCTGTGAACGTATACTCGCGTTTCAAGAAAAAAAGTTTTGAGTTTAGGCAGATGAAGTATGTATACGTTCGACTATATCTCTATTTATAATAGATAAGTTGATTAATTAACTATTTATTTTAACGTAATTTAACTTACAATTTTTGATGCAACAATAAATGTTTTGTTTTTGTTTCCTACAAATAAATCACGCAGCATCTCTTGGCTAGTTCTTGTATATGTCATACCTCTCTCCGGATCCCACAAACCTATTTTTTTAAATCCAGTATCAACCAACTCTACCATTTCTAATGTAAAGTACGAACGGTGACCCGTTTTGTTGTTAAAACGCAAAATACCGGACAGACCATCTGTTTCAATCTAAAAGATAGAAACTAAAATTATTATATATCTATATAGATCATAGGTGGTTACCAAAGTTAATAAAAATTATACTTACGACTCTCATGAAATTTATGAGTTTAAAACCATTAGACCATGACGTAAACGGCGAGTTCAAACACTGAAGAGATTCAGTGACGATTTTTTTAGTCATTCCGAGACCCTTCAAAGCTTGGGCGAACACGTGTATTGCATCATATATCAATATGGAATTTATAGTCAATTTATCTGCTTTTAAAGGCTCTATATTCATGTTCATTCTTTGCTGAACAAAATTTAAATCTTTGACGATATTTTCTACCAGCGGATTAGACGGATCGATCAACCGAACAGTCGTTATATTTGTACGTAGATCGTGCACAATACCACTAAAGTCTACTGTATGCGCATCCTATATGATCAAAACATGATTTTGCCGTTTAGATTTAATTACAGCATGAAATATAAACGTACAGATACTATGGGTTAATTCTCACCAACGAAGTAATAATAAAACTGTGATAGTCGTCCAACAAGTTTACTTCTTTCGCTTGTTTGAATACGGTTAATATTAAATCCGCGTCGCAGTCGAGGACGATATGGCCTTCTAAAGATTTTTTTATGTCTTTTAAAATTGGCCTAAAATTAAAGTATCGTCAGAAATTTAAAGGCTCGTAAAACACAAATATGAGTTTTCTTTTTTTAATCAATAAATCGTATAAACTAAGAATAACAAATATATACCAAATAAATAAGGACACACTTCGTATGATGGTTGGACCACTGTTTTAGGTGAAAAGTTGAGAAGGTAGGATATAGATGGGAATTTAATTTATATCTGTACGCAACGATAAATCATTGCTAATGAAAAACGATTTGGAGCGAAATTTTTTTTATACACATATGTAAATTCTTCTGCTTTTCTCAATAATTATGAAAACGGCTTAGAAAATCAAAAATGACCTCCTCAAATAACTACCCAGATAAAATTTAATTTTAGTAAAGATGCTAAACTTTAAAATCGGATCAAGATTTCTAATAGAAAAGTTATTTACAGACAAAAAAGAAGAAAAAAATAAACATCATTGAAAAACCAATACATTCTTCACTATAAATACACAGAATTTCAAAAAAAAAAAAATGATTATTTCAAAACGTCTCGGGACAGGTTAATTTTAGATTCTAAGCGTAGCGAAAAATATATTGGTTTTACAATGCTGTTTACTTTTTTTTATACTCTGACAAAAATTTCTTCCCGAAATCTTGCTTCGATATGTATAAGTGTGGCACCTTTTCTGAAAGAAAATATTGTCTAGATGGTACTTTAAGGAGATCATTTTTTGATTTTCTAAGCGGTTTTCATATTTTCTGAGAAAATCCGGCATAAAACGTAAAAAAAAACAGGAACATTTACAAAAAAAATGCTTTTATTATTTTCAAAATTTGTTTTTTGTTTTAATTCAGTTAAAACTATTTGTAGAGACTTGAAATTTGGATACAAAACTTTATATTTGCTATTTCTATACGTGGCAAAATATTCAAAAATATCTAGCCATTTTTGAGCTATTTATAGATATTTTAATTTTGCGTGTTTTATACGTAATTTTTATTCGGTAAATTATTAGACTAAATAGAAATGCTTGAAAATTTTAAAAGTTGTACTTTATAGTCAAAAAAACATTGAGTAATGCGGTATTTTTTTTTATAAAGGAATTTTAATATCAAATTTTGACGAAAATCGGTTGAATACAAAATATTTGGAACAAATCTAGTAACTGATCTATGCAAATGTTTCAATTTTTTTCGTTTTGAAAATAATATTTATATTGTTGATTTAAGAACAACTGTGGAATCAGAATTGAGTGGACTGACTTCGAAATCATAGCTTTTTAAAATTCTGATATAATGTGGATGTTTAAAACTTAAAATTTACCTAAAGTTATCGCCTTCTGGAAGCTGAAGAATTGAAATGGCCGCCACCTGTTTATCGTTAGGTTTTGATTCTCCAGAGTAATCTTGTATTAAGTCCTGTAATCGTTCAAGACATTCCGGTCGTTGATAGAGCAACGTGAATGACTTCCAATCCATATCGTGAACTATAGCCGTATAACCCTATAAAATAAAACATTCGATTTAAATAAAATTTCATTGCGTTTGTGTTCCTGAATATTATACTATTATACTTTTGCTAATATTGTCGGTTCAGGGTAAGGGTTAAAATAATAATTATAATTTTCAATCGGTGTATTTTCCCAACTTGTTTCAATGCGTGGTACTTCCACTGTTTCGCATAACGACTGCACTATGTTTGACGATTCGAGATGTGATGGACCGAATATTGCACCGATTCCAGACTGCATATTTTCGCATACTGCAAAAAAAAATGTTATTACAATGATTTAAAGCGAACGAACTTCAGTAAAAATATTAGTAAATTATTTTTTTTTATTAAAATATTACGTTTCCAAAGCTCAACAATTTGTAATCGGCAAATGGTTTCTTTTTTTTCTTCTCTTTTTTTTTTATATTCATCTTAAACACATCTCAATAAACAAAATAAATCCATAATAACATAACCAAAGTGAGAGATATAAAACAATGCAGAGTGATTCACTCAACTGCAAAAAATAATTATTTCGAAAAGTATTAACTTTTTTCGAAAACTTAAGAATCAAATAGTTCTAAAATATTACTTAATAATTTTTTTTTGTACCCCTTATTTTTGGGGTGAAATGACTGTTTATTTTTGATTTGCAAATGGCAACCTATTTTGAAAATGCCTTAAATAGATGGAGTATTATTTAAAATAAATTTTGGTGTTGAAATTGTTGATTTCTATCAACCAGTTGACGAGATATTCCACTTTTAAGTTTGGGTTAGAGGAGAGTAGTAGAGTATCATTTGTGTGGTGGTACGACGCGCGGTGTATTAATAATGCACCATAACTTTCTTCCAATCCAAAATTTAAAAAAACAAAAAAAACTTACAAAAAAAATGATGATATAATATTTTAGAACTATTTGATTCTTAAGTTTTCAAAAAAAAAATGTTAATAGTTTCCGAGATAATGAGATTTCCAGTTGAGTGAATCACCTTAAATATAAAACCTTTAATATTATTTAAGAGTAATATAAAAAAAAATATTTCTCCTGTATTCAGATATTATTTGATCATTATTAGTTATATTTTCTTTTTTAAATTTCTACGGTACTTAAAGATTTGAACTTACAAAACGAGAGGTGATACCAACTAGCGATAAGAATTATTTGAATATTTATCATTAGATAATGTAGTATTAAACAAGGTAAAGTTAAAAGTTAAATTAATTTTACCATTTAATTTTTTAATAACCGAATTTATTTATTTCGTATTATTTAAATAATAAATCAATTGATAGGTACTTTCTATACAATATTTAAATATAGCGAAACGATGAAAAAAGCGTGAAGCCCACACGACTCGCGTACCTACTCGGTTCATAGATCATAATCGCCGTTGTTTGCGTTGTATCGTTCTTCCTTTGGCTCGTATATTTGCCGATTATTCAGTAATCGTGTATACTTTTATTATTACCATGATTATTTTTAAATTTAATTTGTCCTTTCACTAAGACAGCTTTTACCAACAGCCGATGGGAAACCATGAGTGAAAATATTTGCCATGATTTATGCTTAAATACCACCCATACGACTTGTAAAGCACAACGATTGACAAATATTTGACGAGTACATGAGTCGTGTGGGACCGGCTTTACACATTCATTACCACGTTCAAGATAATTTCATTTTTGTTAAATTTTATGAATTTTAAAAATTTAAATCATTAGACCTACCAGCTGTGTAGCAAATACACTTGGATTTTGAAGTATGAACTATTCTACTTGTAGTCTATTGAAATTAATTTAAATTATGTTTATATATACTTTGTACCTTACCTTTCAGACTGGTTTTGTAGGTGTCCGTGGAATCGACGATTTGTATTTTGGCTTTTAAAAAGACGTTGGAAAACATCGGGTCGATATTTACTTTTTGGACAGCCAATTCGAACATCTGTTGCTCGAAGCTGTTTTCGTTGTCGAACAATCCAACTGTAAAACCGACGAGAATGAATTAAAATAATTTTTTTTTTGCAAAATACACCTATACTTAAGTATAATATGTGTGATTAACATAACTTACCAATGGTAAGTGGTACATTGTCGTCTTCTTGTCTAGAAGTACGGCATAGGGAAATTAGTACGATAAACATAAACGAAAAACCAAACATGTTTTGTAGTTATTTAATACAAGTGTGTTAGGTACTTGAAACCAATATCACTCGGGTTCGTCTGGTATCTCAAATTTAAATTTAGAAATATTTGTCTGGCTTTTAGCCAAAGTTCGTCGGTACAACAAATGAAGTGTCATAATATTATAAATACAAAAATACATATAACGACGCTAGGTACTTATAATGTTTATTATAATATTCTTACATTTTAGTATTTTACAGTAAGGATCTAGTATATTGTTCTCACGATGACATATTAGTTAATGGGTGCCCCCATTTATATACCAATAGTCTATAGCAGGGATGGGCAACTGGCGGCCCGCGTACCTTTTTTATCTGGCCCGCGCTACATTTTCAAATTACTTCATATAATTTTAGCGCTTATCTGTATTTTATTTTATTTTATTACATTTTTCGATAAAATGTCGACATAAATTCTTATCTTGTTTTAAACCCAAACTAAATTATTAAACGTCCAAATATATATTTATAATGGCGTAGCTAACATACTATTTATTTCATTTAATCGGTTTAGTCATATCCGTACTGACCGTACTGCCGTAGTGTCAAACCGCCGCGACGCGCCGTTAGTACTATTATTTTCGAGTTTTGTAGACAATTTTAAAAATGTCCGCTAAAAAGCGTAAAATCGAAGACGAAAATATAATTTTTAATAGGTTTTGGGAGAATGAATATTTATTTATTATTAATAAATGTTAGTAAATTTGAAGGACCTTTTTTTTTTTTTTGCTTTCTCCTATGCACTGCGGCCCGCTAGTTACATTGAGTTGCCCATCCCTGGTCTATAGGTACAAACAATTATAACAAAACAAACTAACCCTAATCGGTTATCATTATAAAATACTTCTTTTTATACTTCATAGCTGGCTAGGTACACGATAGTATTCGCTCATATTATGGTTGATTGTATTGTAGATAGGTAGACAGTTAGGTATCTATATAATTTTGAATTTTAATTATGTAGGTACCAGTTAGTTATACATTTTGTATAGACTATTTTCGTATTTCTACTACGTATATAGGATTTTAGGCACCTTCCTTTATGTACAAATATTAATAATCCATACATATAGTTTCAGAGGAAATAAATATAATTTATTAATTGTATTTAATAATGTTTAAAGATAACATAATCAATCAATCAAATTAAGGTGTTTGTTTTGGACGCTATTGAGCTATCAGAAAGTAAAACAAAAAACAACGGTTTACTTATATCACTAATAAACTAAACGGTTCTCGTCAGTACATACCTACTTGAGACAGTACTATAGTACTATAGTGAGATAGGTACTAGAGATGAGTAAATAAATGCATATCATCAAATAATGCTCCACTACTCTCCCCTGATCCAAACTTAAAAGTGGAATATCTTGTTAACGGATTGACGGAAACTAAAAATGTCAGCACCGAAATGTATTTTAACTCATACTCCGTCTATTTATCCTTACAATACATTATGTTATTTACAGATTATAATGTTTTGTATTGTCTATAAAACATTATTCTTTTAAAACAAAATATAACCATGAGTGCATGATGTTGCCTACCGGCAACAATGTAAAAAATGACTTTTATCTAAATTAAATTTAAAAAAAAATTTTTTTTTTAAATAAAAGTGAAAATGTCAAAGTATGTAATGTAATGTAAAAGTGTAAATAAAAGTGCTCAATGGACAAAAACATAAGAAAAAAAGAAAATGGGAACGGCCACTGTTGTAGGTGTGAAGTTGGGAAGGTAGGATACATAAGGTTATTTCATTTATATCTGTAAGCAACAATAAACCATTACTTGACGAAAGACGATTCTAAATGCAGTTCGGTAATACATAATTTGTAGTGCCGTAACTCTTTTTTGCGATTTTCGTTTAAATTTGATTTCAAAACGCTTATTAAAAAAAAAAAAATCATCCGATGATTATGGCGATGATGCCGTAAGAAAGTAAATCAAAAAGACAACAAAAAAGGTATCTTGTGATTTTTCGATTAATGGCGTCGAAAATCAAAAAGTGACTACTTCAAAGTACAATCTAAACAACTTGGAGCTTTCATAAAATGTGCTACACGTAAAATCGTAGCAAGTTTACTAGAAAAAAACGTGTCCAAAGATTAAAACAAAGAAAAAAAAATATACAGCATTGTAAAACCAATAGCTCCTTCGCTACGCTCGGAATCTAAAATAAAAGTCATGTATTGTAGGGTTGACATTTTCAATATAGGTTACCCCCCAAAACTTAGAGTGACAAAAAATAATGTAAATGTAAAATTGTAGAGCTGCTTGTTTCTTAAATTTTCTATAAAACAGATTTCGAAAAAATGTTATATTTACGAGATAATGAGAGTTAACGATAAAAGAATCACTCAGTATGTTCATACCAGCTGACCTGGCAATGCTTTGCTATTGCTAGATAATAGTGTAAATAATAATGATAATAATAGTTTTCTCGTTTATGACAATAAAATTAACATCAATATCACCAGGTAACCACCATCTATAAACCAACATATGAAATTTAATTAATGTTGCAAAAATACCAAATACCCTCCTTCCAGCTAGCTGTCCCGTCCAGCTTCGCCCGGGCTGTTTTTTTTTTTATTTTATCCATGTCACCGAGAATACCCACAGTTAAACAAAAATAAATAAATAAATAATATATTCGTACTAAAAATACTTAAACCCCCTATTTTACCCTTTTTGGGGTTAAATTTTCAAAAATCCACTTAACGAATGCTGTCATAAGTTATATGTATGCCAAATTTCAGGCCGATTCTTACAGTGGAGTGGGTTAGGCGATGATGAATCAATCGGTCAGGACATGTTATTATGTATTTATATCTATAATTTAATTTGCTTCTACTATTGTTACAAATATTCCTTTTTAATTGATGACATATTTACCAATATATGCATTTTATACTTATTTAAATTAAATATGTAACATTTTATTTTTATAAATTGTAATAATACCCAAATCTAGGTACTCCATATTTTGAACAATATTTATTTTATTTAATAATAATAAAAAGACATGTACAGTTAAAACCTGTATAATAGTTAATTTAAATAAATACAAATTGTTCAAGTGGTAGGTATTTGAATTTATACTAAATGCATATGGAATAGATCACAGATATCATCCCTTTTGTTTGCTCCTTAATGGTTAATTGCAACCACTTTCCCTCCAACTTGTTCATAATCATTTATTGATGGAACTTTATGTAGTTCAGGAAACTTGCGACTTGCGGGTGAGCGTTTAACACTGGGTTCCAGGTAAACTTATAACCAAAGTCAGAAATGATGAACACAATTTTTAAAAATATAGTGAATTTAATGTGATCACACTGGTTCGGGACATTTTGATTCTATTAACCGATTCCATGACATTTTTTTTTTTTTTTTTAATGATTCTATATTTATACGTAAATTTAAAATAAAGAAGCAGAGAAAATCTACTAATTTCATTTTCATATTAACCTGAAATTAAAATCATTATTAAATTAGTATACATATAATTAAAATGAAATACATAATAATGTATGTATATTGTACCTGTAACTTTTGGAACATACAATTATAATAAAAACATACAAGAAATGCAAGCATAAGTATTATACCTATTATTTAGAATTATACTGGATTATACAGAATTATAATTTTTGATTGTTACAAATCAGGATTTGCAAACATTTTTTTCATTTTTAAATAGATTTAAAAAAAAAACTAAATCAAAAATAATGAAATCAGTAATGCTTTTCAGTATTTTCCCCAATTATTAAGAAAATTACATAAGAAATCAAAAACATTTCCTTTTTAGAAAAAATAATATATTTGCACTCCACTTAAAATCTAAAATCAAAAAATATGTAGTATTAATTTAGTTTTAAGTAGTTCAATAATGTGTAATATCATATTTTTTAAGTCATCTATAATAGTTATTTGACAATAACAATGTTTAAAAAGTAACTCTATACTTAGTTAATTGTCAACTATTAATTAAACACTAAGACATAACTTTAAAGAAATCATTTTTAAAAAAAGAATAAAATAGTAATACTGTGTTTAAGTATTAAATGAAAATTATAAGTTCTATTAAAAAAGGTTTTTATTAAAAATATAAATATATAACACTACTATAGGTAGTTTCTTAATATTAAGAATATTCTAAATAAAATTAACATTGCAATATTAAATAACTTAATTCAATTTAAAATAAAAAACATTGGTTTATATCAAATAAACATCAAAATGCCAGGCATCAATATTTTGATGCCTGCCATCATTTCTCTTTTTTTTGTTATATTATTCTTCTATCTAAATAATAATGGGCGTTAACTAAACCTAAGTGGATATTTTTCAGGGTAGGTGTCAACAAAAGAAAAAAAAAAATTGATTGGAAAGAAAAGAAGAATATCTAAAAACAAATAAATTAACAAACCAAACAGAGATTTATTTTGTTTTCATGTTTTTCTGAAATGGTTTAACACTTCCTGCATCAAAAACACAGACTCCTTAATATCTGCTTTTGTCTTAAGACCTGCAATAAATACATTTTTTAATTAACTATACAGTAAAATATTAAATTAATATTTGAATTTTAGCATAAGGTGCATTAACTCTAAATATCAGTACAAACTCAACGTGAAAAAATAATTATGTGTAGTAGTTACATCATTGCTTTTGATACCTACATTAATACTCGGAAAACTAAGATATTGTTAAAAATAATAAAATATTACATATTGCATTATATTTAAAATATTTAATTTTTATTATTCATGGATGGTTTGAGAAAAATTTATATTTTTAGGGAGGCATTTAAAAAAATTAAAAAAAAAAAACTGACAGGAATTTAATGTATATCTGTAATCAACAATAAACCATTGCTAACGGGAAAAAAACGATTCTGAGCGGAGTTCAGTTGATAGTGTTGCTTTGTCAACAATATATTATATTATGTCATATTATGGTAAAATTATTACAACAATGTGAGTTTCCATGACAACAATGATTGTTGAAAAAGATTTAAAATAATAAAACATAATAATAATAAAAAATAAATAAAAACGGTTGCCGATGACAACCCTATTTTTAATCTTTCAATCTTTTTAACCTAAAGAACCAGGATTTCATCATTATCTTGAATATGAAAGAGAATTTCAAAAAATGACTCTAAAATACCACCCAGAGAACATTTCTTTTCAGAAACGGTGCTATATTCAATAATCAGAGTATGCTTTCAAGTAGAAAAAGTGTTCACATAAAAAAAAAATAATTATCATTGTAAAACCACTAAATTCCTCACTTCACTCAGAATCTAAAAAATATACTGATCAATGCTCATGGTAAGATAATTGTTGTAGGTGAAAAGTTGAATAGGTAGGATATGTATGGGGGAAATTTAATTTATATTTATGAGTAACAATGAATTATAGTTAACGAAAATGAAACTGAGCAGTTGTAAAATCAAGCAAAAACAGCAGAAATTATATTAATATCATATTATATCATATATCTACTTAAATTGAAGAATGTATTCATTTCTAGCAACAAAATAAATTACAATCATCCAAATAAAACTAAACAAAATAGACAATTTTAAACGGTTATTAATAGTTAATGATTTTTAAATTGTGTAACATCTAGAATGGGCTAATATATGTATTATTTTGTTTAATTTTAGCAATTGGGCCAAACAAAATTGCCAACTGGCCCAAATATTTGTTGTATATATCAGTGGACACAACACATTTAACCTCCTTATGATAGTTTGTCAGGCAAATCAAATTATCTTAAATAGTAATTGTTTTTCTTCCCATTATTGAAGACATATGCACAATACATCATAGGTAATAAAACATATTTTAAATAATATTTTTAAAAATAAAAAAGAACAATTTTAAGTATAAAATCAGTTTTATAATAACCGGGCTCCAGTCCACAGGGAATGTCTGAACTTTTTGCTTTGCCTGTACCATATGTACATTATGTTTATATCATAAAAATAAAATATTATTTTAAAAAGTATTTTATAAAAAAACAGTACCTGTTAATACTATTTTTCCATTTACAAACATCAAAAACACGGCTCGTGGTCTGACCATCCGATAAATTAAGGCAGGAAATACTTCTGGCTCAAAACTATATAAATAAACATTCTACATTAAATAAATTGTTATTTCAATGTAATTAAAGTTAAATTATGTATTATATGTATTATTCTTATTTCTAAATCATGTTAATTATGTGTAAATAACACACATGTATTTTGTAAACATTTTAAGATTAGAACGAGAAACATACTAAATAGATTGATGGTTAAAACCAAACTGACTGTTAGTATTACAGAACAATAATACCAAAATTAATACTTAAAAGTTTTTATTTATTAATCATATTTAATATCAATTAAATGTAAAGTATAAATACATTTTTAGAAGGAATTGTAAACCAAAAACTAATTAAATATTTATACCTGGTAAATTGTGAATGGGCAGTATTCAATTCTTCTAACATTATAGGAAAACCAACATCCCATGTGCATACAATATTATGTACAGTATAGCCACTGAATTTTACCTACAGAAATGTTTAAAAATTAATTGCTGAATTAATTTATAAATTAAACTACACTAACGTCGTGCCCAAGTCTTTCTAAAATTTTTGCAACTTTTCGACAACCTAAATTTCCTGTTCGGTCATCTTTAGCGCCTTGCATTATCATTTTTCCAGATGGAAATAAAAGGCTTGTAACATTAGGTTGCCGTAGACGCATTATCAATCCATTGAATCGCCGTGGATTATATTCAGAGTTACTAGTCCATAAAACAATTCTGACGAGGTCCAATGTACATCCCATATTTGCACCGCATACAATGTTTCTATGAGATAAAATTTAATTAACATCATAATTAAATTTGATTGACCTTTAGAAGACATATTGTAATTACTCACTGAACTTGAATAGATTGACCACCTTTATTACACCGAATGAATTGAGGTACATGCATAATAATAGTATTTTGTGGATTTTCATCATTATGGTCTACTTTTGGTTTTTTTTTTAAAGGTTCAAAGTCATCATTATCAAGTGCATCAAAAAAATGTTTGGTTTCCAACTCTCCTAATAAATCTGGAGCTAAAACTACCTCTTCAGCTTCATCTAATTTTTTTACAATTGATACATTTGGATCTATTAAATGTTCTTCTTTTTCTTCCTTTTGACTATTAATAGGGCCTAGGACAACTTCTTCTTGAATATTATCAGTGATGTTACCAAGTACTTCCTCTTGTATATTACCCAAAGCTTCTTCTTCATCAACATTTTGTTCCTCATATTCATCGAAATCATCTTTGTCATAAAGAGTTTTTTTGAGCATAGCATGTAAACTTTGGGCACCTACATCACTTTGGTCAGAATCATAAAAGTCATCATCACTTAAATCCATTGTAAACTATATCTAATATCAGTAAACACAAAAAAAAATAATAATAATTAAATGGATCAAATCAAATTGTTTTAATATTGTAAAATAGTAGACATTTAATTAATACTGATTTTATAACCAAAGATTTACACTAAATTCAGAAAGTTTTTTTTTTTTTATAAACAGTTCAATTTATAATATTTATTCTAAATCACAAATAAACGTTTTTGACAAACTATTCAATTGTTTATATATCTGGCTAAAGATAAAATTTAATTTTTCTCCAATAAAAAGTTTGGTAGGTACAAAAAACTAATATTTTTAACTATATATTATGTAAATTTTAAATGAAAATTTAAATTAGGTATTTTGAATGTAAAAATTGATGGGTTGGTAGGTATTAGAAAATTGTATATTTAAGGTATTTAGTTGATACTCTATATATTAAATAATATTATTTGTAATATTTGAAAAGGTTTAACTAAGGCCATAAAAACCTTTGTTTCTATAAAATACTTACATAAAAAGAAAATTTAACTACAGGTTTTATTAAAAACGTTTGTCAGTAACAAATTAAACTAGTGATCAATAATTAAAAAGGTAAACAGGGAAAAACATAAAAAAAAAAAAAAAAGGAAAAGATTTACAATCTTGTAACTATCATAATAATTATAAGCAATAATCATGTATTCACGTGTAGCCACAAATCATAAATGTAAATTTGTAGATAATATTCTTTAACAAAATACCCATTGATAACACACAATCACACAATATATGACTCATAGATAATACAACTTTTATTATCTATATGATATGACCACAACATGGTCTTGGACATGATTATGGATATAGACTATAGGTATATCTATAATCGTGGTCTTAGAAGAATGTTTGGATCATGGACCATAGATAAAAAAAAACGTGGACGACAGTAAATTAAAGATAGCCCATAGATAACAAGACCATAATTTTTTCGATAACAATTATTATTGTTATTATTCGCATAGAACAGTAAAAATAATATTTTAAATTACAATAAAAGTATAGAGCGTAATAAAACAAATAATTCATATCTAAATTAAAATTTTGGATTTAATACATAAGTATCTAATAAACGTAATATTGTATTATGTTTATTTATTATAAAAATTATAAAATAAAATTTCTTAAACACAATGTTGAATCTAGACAATTAATTATTTAATTAATTATTAATTTACTAGCATTTAACAGGGGTGCACACAAAATATATAGGTATATAATAATATACACCTGGATTGAATACTGCTTAAACAGGTTAGCATTTAAATAGTTGCTGGATTTCTATTTTTTTTTTTTTTCAAACGAGTAGACCCACAGTGAGTAGGTACTATTGTATTTAGTTGTCGAATCAAATACAGTAATCATGAATCTTATGATCTTTCATTTATTGATTAACATTTTTATTAAAATTAATTTGCGCAGATTTTTTGTTATTACCTACTGGTAATAACCATTGGTCGAAATATACCAGGCAGTAAAAAAAAAAAAAAAAAACTGTTTATATCACTAATAAAATAAACGGTTTTTATCATGAACTCATTAGAATTACATTTGGAATTAATCTTTGAAATTGCAATGGCCCATAAGCGATCCGCTTTAGATAAATTACTAAAATGGCTCTAACTGGACCATTTTTAAAATGTTACCTTCTGTGTGTTATGTTCCATATTTGGTTGTGCTGCGAACAATAAACACGTGCCCTTTTTCGATAGAATGCATTTCCACAGACCTTTTTTTCAAAGTGGAACAATTTTGCGTTATTTAGGGACAGCGGGACACAGAGCTCAAAAGTGGGACTATCCCGCCGAAAGTAAGACGTATGGTCACGTCAAGTCTATAGAGTATAACCACGATTATTACGAACTAAGGTATATCGGTTTGGGCTTTTAAAATTTGTTCCACAAAATATTTGTTCTAATGGCCATTGGTTCAGAAACCAGTGGCGTATTTTCAAATTTTTCTTGGTGGGGAGAGTCCATAGTTTAAATATAACTTATTTAAACTATGGTAGCTTATTACAGTTACGTCCTAGATATTCTGTATAGGGGATTTAATTAAATGTACTCATTATACACGTATGTAATATTATGTACGATATATATTTCGCTATATAATAAAATATAATTTTATAAAATAAATTCCAAAAAAACTTTTCGTTCATCATTCATCCTAAGCACATAACTATTGCTATTTTGCGCTTGGAATACATTCCAGAACAATGGAAACGGGCACAAGTAGTTATGTTGTTCAACCCGGGAAAACCATCAGAAGATGTCATATCATACCGGTCAATATCACACTTTCCAAGTTTGTCTAAACTCTTAGAGAAACTTTTACTTAAACGTTTAAAACCAATCATAGAAGAAAAACATTTTATATCGGACAATCAGATTGGATTCCACAGTAAATATTCGACAATCGATCAAGTCCATTGCTTCACTAACATTATAAGTAAAGCTCTTGAAGAAAAAGATTACTGCTGTGGAGTGTTCCTTGACGTAGTTCAGGCTTTTGTCAAAATCTGGTACAAGGATTTCCTCATCAAATTGCGTAATCAACTGCCACATACTTGGTGTGCACTTTTTGAATTATTTTTAACTGATCATCAATTTCGAGTTATGCATGAAGAATTCATATTTACACTAACAGAGAAAGTCGTTTTTTGATATCTAAAGATAATTTCATAATCTGATAGAAAAATCAAATTTGAAATAGTAAAAATTACTAATTTATTAAACATAAATGTATATATTTTCGGACATTACAAGCACACATTTAATAAATATATTAATAAGTACATCATAACTAATTTTCTAATTTTTTTATATATATATATTTCGTTAGATTTAAAATGTTATGAATTTTTATAAAAAAAAAAAAAAAAAAAAGGTATATTTATTTATACTCTTTATATTTACTAGATAATTACTAATGTCTACTTAAATACGTTCTCATTCTCTTTGATCTTAAATTTACACCATTCAGTTGGGCCAAATAGACCGAGCTTGTTGTTCTCCTCTAAATAAATAAAACAATATTAAATTAAATATGGTAGTATTAATTGTTTTTAAATGTTTAATAGCATACATAAAAACTAAATGGGTAAAATAGGCTAGCAGTAAAATAACCGAAATAACCAATAAAGCCGTTTTGATTTTGGAGGGCTGGCCATGTTTCCCTTGATTTCGTCACTTGTATAGGTTTTTTTTTAGGTTTGTTAAAGTGTATACTGTATAGGTTGTACAGGTTTTAGTTAAATAAATTCATTGTACTTATAAATGGTGATCAAGATTATGACCTTGGAAAGTATTAACTCTTTCACACTTTTAAATTCCGAGCGTAGCGAGAATTATTGATTTACTAAGATTATTTCTTTTTTTTTTCTTTGTTTTAGTCTGTGGACACGTTTTTTCCTAGTAAACTTGCTCCGATTTTTACGTGTAGTACATTTCCTGAAAGCTCAAGTTGTTTAGATTGTACTATAAAACGGTTATTTTTTGATTTTTGACGCCATTTTTTAAATAAATATACTGAAATAGGAAAAAACTTAGGAAAACGTACAATTTCATGATTTCATTATTTTACAAAAACACGGACGACGTTTTCTACTAGAAAAAATTATTTAATTTTCGATCCACTTTAGAGCTTTTAAGAAATTTTAATTTTTGCTGTAATTCGGTTAGAGTACATGCAGTCTTAAAACTTGGTAATAATACTTATATTGGACTTACTTAGACGTGGTAAAATTTCCAAAATCATTGGACGACTTTTTTTTTTTTTTCAATAAGCGTTTTGAAATCAAATTTAAACGAAAATCGCAAAAAAAATGACGACACTTTAAATTATGTAATACCGAAGTGCTCTCGAAATCGTCTTTCGTCAAGCAATGGTTTATTGTTGTAATTTAATGAAATAACCTTATGTATCCTACCTTCCCAACTTTTTACCTATAACAGTGGCCGCTCCCATCCCTAGTACATATTACATTTTTTTCAAATTTCGGAAATGATGCTATACAAAAGGATTTAATATTTTATAAATATAAACCAATTATGAAATGTATACTTTTATTTATATTTATAAATTTGGTGTTTCTATTTACCCACAGGTGAGATGAAAAAACAGTCATATTATATTTTTCATTGAATTTAGTATTAGTCCATTTCTAGTAGAAATTCTAGTAGATTTCTAATAGAAATATATTATTATGCATATATTTTTTTAAATTTGGTTAAATTATTAAATTACAGTTTTTTATTTTATTTTATATGTTAATTAGAAGGTACCCGTGTGTTCTTTCTACGCCTACTATTTAAATTCAGTAGTAGTATATTTTTGGTACTAGTATTACGATTTATAGTAATAAGTAATATTTAGTTATAATTTTTGTATTCTTGCAACGAATTAAATTTGTTGTGCCGTACTTTAACATATTGAATGGTGGTGACTAAATTATTTTTATTGATTTTTTGATAACATTTGCAGCGTAAAATAGGTATGTATGTACGTTTATATTCACCCTAAATGTAAAGTTTTTGATTGAAAAAAATTATAAATATTATTGCGTATTCATATTTTATACGCAACTTTAAAGAACAATAGAATATTATCAAATCACGATATAAGTATAAATGATAATGAATTCGATCGAAATTTATGGCAATTCTTAGTAAACCTTATACATTTTCTTATTGTTGTAAGATGCCTAAGATGCCTAATATGTAAGAATGCATTTAAGCCAGCCAGCCTCTCCCTCAATTTACGTACTAAAATATAAGCAAATAATGTAAACTATTCAGCATTGAAACCTTAAAAATTATAATCTTTGGACATTTGCGCTACTAACACAAATAAGTTGTTTACTATAGTAATTAATTTTACTACACAATCAAGGTACTTGTAAAATAGTCTCAAGTAAAAGCGTTTTATTGGCTAAATAGGTTTAGAAATAGTTTACTTATATTATTTTGTACAATTTTAGTTTATAATAATTAGGTATATCTATAAGAACGAGTTCCGTGAATAAGGTTTACAAGCGGCCCGGGTTATTCATTTCATGAAAACATCGATTTTTGAAAGTGTATGAAATTTATTATACCTGCGCGTTATTCTTATTTGAATAAAACCTACCATTAAGAGAATAATTGTTTTCAAGATATACGCAGTATTGCTTTACAAGTCCTATAAAATAAAAATATATTTGATTAAGGTACATTATATTTTGATTCAGCATTATTTAATAATTTTCAGTAATAAAAAACTTTACATTTAAACTATTAATGTAGTTAATGTATGCAGCCTTACCATTTTCTTCTATTCTATCACAATCAAGTTCTAGAAAATTGAAATACAAATAATAATTTGAACAACTTGGTAACATACAACGATTTCATTTTATTTCTATTAATAGCCATTTAGTTTGATTTTTATATTTATATATAGTGTACAATATACAGTGTTCCTTTAAAAAAAAAAATCGTTTCCATTCCTCTTTCTTTAAGAGTTCCTTTTTAAAAATAACTAGTACCAAAATACCTAGTAATACCTTTCATTAATACCTACTCAATAAAAAATCGAAACTAATTTTTACATTCTTCATTTGAAATTATCAATAATTAATTTGCTTTGGAAATATAATGTATAAAATAATATGTATACCATGTATGCCATATTATGACAGTGATGTCAATACTAAATGGTTTCTATGAAATATTAATATTATAGTCACGATTGTGGGTAATTTTAATTTACGATAAATTAACGTTTCGTCCGCGTCAACAAATTAATTTACCCGGTTACAACAGGTGGGATTTATTCTACGGGCGCACTTAATAACTTAATAAGAGTGAATATTATTATAAAAGATAGTTTATTTAATTTATTTGAAAGTTAATGTAATGTATCAGTGAGTGAGTGTAGTGAGTGTGAAAACAAATAGTAGGTATTTAAAGAAAAATATTTTAGTTATACAAATTGTTATAACGTAAGAAATCGAAAAGAAAATGTGTACATTATATTCATAATTTTTATCACTTACTCCATGTATTTACTATCACCATGTAATAATTAGACGCACCATCTAAGTCAGCTGGATGAAAAATTATTTTAGTTTCTCTGGTATTATAATATGTAACATAATGAATAATATACTATGTTAGTTCCCATGTCATTTACTCCTATTTTCCCGATAAATGAATTGGTTTTATTAGGTATTAAAAATCTATCTTCGTATCATTATAGTTATTATTATTATTAAAATTTGTTTTATTTATGCCTTTTAAGGCCAGTTTTCAAATTGCTTTTAATTAGCAGTTAGTAGAAAAACTTCCACTTCCAACAATCTCCCAGTTACATCTCTCATACAGATTTTATTTACCTAAATTTTGTGAAATTACAATATCAATGAAAAACTTTGCACTATTTTTTTTATTAGATCATTTACGATATAATTTTAATAGAAACAATTTTAGGAAACAAAATGCGTTTCAGCAAGATAGTTTTATATTTTGTTAACATAACCCAACATTTCTTCAGTATGTTCCTTGAGTATACTGAATACAACTTTAATATTGATAAATATTAATTTGTTATTTTAAAATGCTAATATAAGTCAACTTATACAACTTTGCAGTAATTAATAACCGTAATAACGAAAACCGACCAAAAATCATACCAAAAATTAAAATTGGTGTATTTTAGAAAATAAATGACATTAAATCTTACCATAATATCCACCTGTAGTTAAGCATTCTGTTATAATATTAAGTTGAACGTTGTATTAAATTTTTCATGTAATATACATTTATCGAAATATTTTTGTTTTTTACAAGGATCTAAATAATTAAAACTGACACAGATTATTTTTTCCAATATTGTGGATTTCTGCAATATTTTTTTGCTAGGTACCTATAATTTATATCTTCGTTCTCAAGAAGAAGGACATTAATATTTATAATTTTTTATTTTCAATAATTTTCACGTGCAATTTTTGTCCATACATTTCAATAATTGGATCGTACTTTTTTTAAAAAAAAGTTACAGTAAAAAATAATTTATAAATGGATACATATACTCGTACTTATAGGATATTTATATAATATATCTTACCCACACAACCTAGAATAATAAAATAATAATAAAAAATAATAAAATATCCTCCCTATACGTATTAAAATACTGTAGTTGATAAACCAAACATACATCACAAATTATATATTTAGGGTAGTTGCATATTAAGTATAAAAACGAATAAATATATACAGTTTTTATAGAGTGTTTTAATTTGAACACATCTAAAAAAAGCTTATATAAGTGTTTTGTGAAAATGTCAGGTTTCTATGATTATTTTTAATCTAATATCCAAAATATAAAACCGAAAATAATGAAACAATTACCATACATTTTTAGGTTTCTAAAAAAAAACTAGAGAATGGATCTTCTAATGCACTAAATTCATAACATTTTATTTTCAGAAAAGATGCAATATTCGATAATAAGAAGAGGAATTTTGGTAGACAAATTATTAATAGACTGAAAAAAAAACATATGGCAAACTCAGTACATTCTTCACAGTGCTTCTTCTCAGAATTAAAAGATATATAAATAAATAAATGAAATAAATTATGCTTACACCAAGCCTTTGAACCCATTAAAAGTCGCTCATCTGAAAGGTATATATTTTTTCTTTCATATTTTTGTATTTAAGTAATAAAAAAATGTCCGAACAAAATTTAAAATTAGTAAAAATTAGGACAGGACAAAAATAAATAAAAATTGAAAATTATATATTTACATATATATATATAGGACTTTACAAGGAATATATTCGTATATTATATATACCGGGTGATTCTTTTATCGTTAAACACTCATTATACCGGAATGTATTAACTTTTTCGGAATACTTTATAGAACATTTAAAAAACAAGTAGCTCTACAATTTTATATTTACATTATTTTTTGGGGTGAAACGGCTATCTACTTTTGATTTTCAAATAGTAACCTATATTAAAAATCACATATATAGACGGAGTATTAGTTAAAATATATTTTCGTATTGAAATGTTTAATTTCCGTCAATCCGTTGACGAGATATTTCACCACTTTTAAGTTTGGGTCGGGGGAGAGTAGTGGAACATCATTTATGTGACGGTACGGCGCGCGGAGTTTTAAAAATGCACCACTACTCTCCTCCGACCAAAAGTTAAAAGTGAAATATTCGGTCAATGGATTGATGGAAATTAAAAATGTCCACACTAAAATGTATTCTAACTAATACTCCATATATTTAATTCATTTTCAACATAGGTTGCTATTTGAAAATCAAAATTAGGTAATCGTTTCACCCTCCAAAATAAGTGTGACAAAAAAAAAGTTAATATTTACAATTTCAGTAATATTTGTTTTTTAAGTTTTCAAACAAAATAAATTTCAAAAATAATCAATACTTTTCGCCGCAATTGTGGTTATGGAATTTCTTTAGTAATAATAATTTCAATTCAATAATATTTCAATTAAAAATAGTAATATAACCGATGTATTTGTCGGCAAAATGGGAGTTAGTGACGTGGGAAGACACGGTCCTACTCACAGTAACATCTCTAGAGATAATAAAGATAATCAAATTCTGGTTTTTTTTATATTACTCATTGGAATAAGGACTAAAAGTATATATTTCAATCATTTTTTTTTTGTTTTCACCTTGTGGCGAATAGGAATTTTTTTTTTAAAAGCTTTATTTGAAAAATTACTATCTATACAGAATGTACAATAAGTTATATTAATAATTTACAGACAGTTGACATTTATATAAACATGAAGAGGAAATCACACATATGTGACACTTTGTAATATTTTTAAGTTATTAGTTTTCAATTCTCAGCATCAGTTTCTTTTGAGGCATCTGTTAGGGTTTCCAGGAAGTGTTAGTGAAGCTAATTCATTGATTAGTTAGTTTGGAATATATAGTAGTTTGGCGTGAAAGCGTTTATAATAGGTAGCAGTAGTTTCGTTTATGGAAGGTAATTTAAGGTCAGAATTTAGGGTCTTGTTTAAGACGAACCAAGGTGCAACTTATGATTAACCGTAGACAAATGTTTTGGAATGTTTGTATAGTTCTTTTATTTGAGTTATTTGCGGAGCCCAAGATTAGTATACCATATGTCTATATTGGTTGAAGGGATCATCAATTAAATATTTAAGGCCACCAAAAATATAAAATATTGGATTGCCATGTATAAAATATATATTTAAGGGTAGCTTAACAAATTAAATATTCATTTAAGGGGGTTGCGACAGTAAAAAGGTTAAGAAACACTGTCATAGAATGGCCTACTCATTAGTGCAGTTATATATTAATATTTCAACTGGATATAAAAATTTAAAACGTTATTATCACTGAGTTGGCTACTAGTTTCTACTTTTATGAATAGAGTATAATAATTAACGAATAATAATTAATAATACATACAATTTTTCTCTGAATTTTCAAGTGCATCGTATAGATATTTGATATACATCGATAAAAAAACTGTAAACAAATAATATAGTAGTATACTAGTAGGATTAGTAGTAGATAGTAGGGTTAACTATATGGTAAATTGTTACTATTAAATTATCCTTTAAGCAGTCACGTGCATTTTTTTAACGTCCATAGTCGCGTGAGGATCTATCAGATCCCATTTATAAAAACGCGTGTAATATATTTTGGAGGCGATGAAATTTTGTCATAAGATGTGAAAATCGTATATAATATACTATGCTAGGGTGGCTTAAATTATAAGGGTAACTATAAATATAAGTATTTGCTTGGGGTGGCAGAATATTTCACACCGGTTCTGATAGAATGCAGGTTGTAATAGGTAAGTACTTACCTACATGTTCTTTCTCAGCTTGTTCATACACTATGCGATAAAAACGATAAATAAATTATGATAATAACGTGTACCTAAATTGATGTACACGTTCCATGTGGGAAAGCGGAGGGCTGAACATATTTTAAATATCATTTCATGTAATATTCAGCAGGCCAATTTTCAACCTTACAAGAACATAATCGTATGGTGCTACGAGTTAAGCGAACGCCGGCCTCAAACTTCTACCGGTAGAAAGACCAGGTGGGTGATTCCTATAGGTTTATGACATTGTTTTTTATGGAGTATAAAAATTCACCTTTAGCCGGGTCTACACTAGATCAACATAAAGCAACTTTTTCAGTTGCAACATGTTTCTGATTTAAAATTGTTAAATATTTCCAAATGTTGTCAGCAACAAAAGTTCCTATTTGTTTCGTGTATAAGTAAAAATTGAAACATGGGGAAATATGTTTCTCAACAAGTTTATCAGTATGGACAGAATGTTTCAGCCACGTGTTTCTAGTACCTATATAGTTTTTGTACTTAGTACTATCATATTAAACTATGTTGGTAATTCTTTTTTATCAATTTATTAATTTAATTAATTAGTTAATTAATAATATCAATATATATACATAATTAATAAATACTTTTAATCGTAGAAATCTAAATAAAGTTAAAGAAATTCTCTACAATGACAAAATTTCAAAGTTACTTTATCGTGTGTTTAACCCGAAAATTATTTAATTCCAGTACCTACTGATTATATTAAAATGTTTCATTTGTGTGGACAGTTTGTTTGAAATTGAAAATCAAAAGTAAGTAGTGGTTTTACATCCAAAAATTAGGGTAGCAAAAAATAACATAGATATAAAATATTAGAGTAACTTGTTTCTTAAATTTTCTAAAAACCAAATTCCTGAAAAATTTAATGCTTTCTGAAATAATCAAGAGGATTCCAATGATACCTAAAGGTAAGTTCTACAAGAGTCTGGCTTCATGGTTCAGAATGTTGGGCGGTAGATAGACAAATAGAATAGAAAATGACTATAGCAAAAATGATAAATTTTAGATGGATGGGTAGTGTGACGAGATAAGATAGGAAGAGAAGATGGTAGGTAATGAGTACATAAGAAGTAGGTTAGGTGAGGATTCAAGAAAATAGATTGAGATGGTTTGGGAATGTCATAAGGAGAAAGAAATCAGCAGTAGTAAGGATTACAATAAAAATAATCATAGGAGAAAAGAGGGGGCTTCCTCTGAAGACCGAAAAAGAGGTAGTTGGATGTAATTGGAAATTGAGGATGACGGGTGTATGCGAGGACGATGTACGGAATAGGGTCAAGTGGAAGTTTAAGATGGGAGTGGCTGACTAGGGATTTGAAAAATTCAAGAATTTTAAATTATTTTCCTGAAAAAATTGGAATTTGTGACATATTACATTTGGCCTCAACACCATTTTCTTTACTATACAATTTACTGATATACTAACATACTTACTATGATATAATAACGCCACAGCAGCATTTTCTATACCACGATTATCTATAGAAAAAAAAAATTTCTATTAAAGTATGTTTTACTTGCAATAATGATAAACAGTAAATATAATAATATATTTTATTTCTACAATTTATATTCGCAAGCTATATCAGTAGATCGTTTGTTGAAAAAAATGAGTGAATGATTATTTTATAATCTATATATATATATACGTATATTATTTTCGTACTACATATCAGGTTACTTACATTTAAATCCGGCCTCATTTAATGTCTCTGTTTAAACAGTTTATATAAAATTATAAACCATTAAAAATACTTCATATGTTGACATAATTTGCAGAACATAATATATGAAACCTATAGCTTATGAATTTGGTTAAATACATTTATACATTTCATTATTAAATAATTCAATACATTATGGTTTCAGTTTTTTAAAATATATTTGCTATAATATATTACAACTGAAAATATTTTTTCTTTATGTTTAGAGTGCGGGGGTTAATAATCAGGATGTCTATATGTTTGTTATATTATAGGTAATGTAACAAAATTAAAATACAATATAAAAATGATAATAAACGTACATAGGTTACGAATTTAAAAAGTATCTTAATTCAATTCAATTAAATCTTAACTCATGATATAGTTGAGAGGCGACAATATAAAACGTGCAATTGTCATTTTTTACATTTTATGGAAACAGTGATTTTCTGTTGTAGCTTAATAGAAAGTCATAGTAAAAATATGAAATATTCTAAAATAAAAAAAAAAAAAAAACGAAAACTATAACTATAATATTTATTTATACCTAAATTCAAGTATAGATGCATTAAATAATGATTTTGTGAATTAAATCGCTCCCAAATGTACTATTTCAACCACTTCATTCGTTTTGACATAATTCACCACAATGTATTATTTCCAACCAAATATGTTAATACATTAACTTATTTACTATTATCAATCAAATTATCACTTATTACCATCTATTGTAGGTAGTTATAATACAACTATTATTTATTTATTTATTTATTTATTTATTATATATATTACAGACCAAGTCCAATCACAAATAAAATACAGTACAAGTATTGATTTAACCTATAATTAGGCGATAAGTTGAACAAAAAAAAAAAAATAACAATGAATATAGAAAAGTTAACAGAAAATAATTGATTTACCTAGGTTTTGAAAAAAAAAAAATTAGAAAAAAAAATTCTGATTGTGATTTTTTATTGCGTAACGTGTTCTATAGAAAATAAATTGTTTGTACGTTAATTTTCTAGAAATTAGTACAACTCTTACTAAAAAACTATTGATCGAATATGAATGTATGTCGCATTCAATTTTTTTAGAATAATGTCTTTTACAAAATGACTATATTGAAAATTTGTATAAATGATAAAATAAGAAGTTTTTTTTCAATAATTAAGGGAAGAAAATAAAAATTTGTCCTCACACGAAACTAGATTGAAAAAAAAATGTAAAAAGGAATTAATATTGACAGAATCATTAGCATACTATGGGACACCGCAGTATTTATTTATATTTAAGGTTTAATAATTACTGTGTGAAAAATCAAATAATAATAGAATATACGTAATATTTTATTACATATTGTAATTTATAAATATCTTAAATATGTACCTACAAATTTACTAAAAATTTACAAATCTAATTAATTGTAAGAATATTAGCTGAAGTCTTAAAATAAAAAAAGTAAACAAAGATTAGAAAAAAAAATGTACAAATAAAATTTAGAAGATTATTTGTTAAAAGTCATACCTAGTAATATAACTATTTTACTGACATTTTTTATTATACTAATATAAAATAAGACACGAACAAAATTGTTCTAAATCACATAATTTGAAAGTAAGCCACTCTACGTTTTGCAGAAATCATGAAGCTTTCTGTTAAATTTTACTCGGGAAATAGTATATTTTGGTAAAGTCTGACGACGCCATTCAATTTCCCGTCATTTTTACTATTAGAATCTATGTAAAACTTAATTTTGATAATTTTTGCAATATTGGGTTTGAAATGTCGCCCCTCAGTTAAATATTATAGTCATATTAAAAATTAGGCGAATACCTAATTAACCATTAAATTTAAACAGAGGATTAAGTGTAGCTGGATGTGATTAAGAATAATATGAGTATAGCTGATGTAGGCGAGGGAGGAGATCGAGTCAAATGGAAGTTTAAAACGAGAGTGGTTGACCTCAATTAGTTACGAAGAAGACGAAGTAGTAGAAGAATAAGAATAATAAGAAGAAAAAGAAGAAGAAAAAGAAGAATAATAATTAATCATTAAATTTTGTTCAACTTCTTAGGTTTCAGTATACCTGAGTACCTTTTGAAGATTATGTTAAAGAGTACATCTTTTAAATGCAGTTTGAGGCAGGGCACTTTTCCTTGGATTCGAGCCACTTTAACTTCTGTCTCAGCAAGATTACGTTTACATAATAACATAATAGGTAGGTAACGATAAATTCTTACAAGACATTGAAGTCTTTTATTACAAAATTATCATTATAAAATATTTTTAAGTGCATGTATATCATCTTACCTGAACAGCTCACTAAAATTTAAATAGAAGTTAATTAAAACCAGCGACACGAACCTAAGAATCATTGGGAGCGCTTCCCCCATTAATTTAGTGTGGGGGTGGGTAGGTAATTTTGGTCGGTGGTTATAATCAGACTTAATAATAATTTATAGTCTTGTAGATACAAGGAGGTAAAAACCTTTTGTTATATAGAATGCACTTATTTAGCGTTATCATAGCCAGGGGTTTGCAATTTCAGTTATAATATTAAGGGCGCTGAAGCCCCTAAGAAAAAAAAACCGGGTTCATACAAACAAGAAATCTATAAAATATAATAGGTGCTACTCGCTCTCTTTTATTGTACTACAACTATTAACACTATTGGTTGAAGAAATAAATTAAAATATGTAGAATAGTTGATTAGTCGTTGGTTCATAGAAAATCCAAATGATTTCTAGTAAGTACCATAGAATCTTCGTCATTTTGTGACAAATACTTAATTTACTCACCTACATAATAATACCTAAGTTAAATTACTTATAGTGTTTGATCGTTCTGAAGAAGTTTCTTACTCTCCGTTTACTATGATCATTCTCCGAGTTTTGTAGTATATTGTTTATGAACTTCCTTTTTTCTCACTATAAGTCTTTCCTGCAATTTTTCACTCTGCTACAAATAGTTCTTGACTGATTCTTGTTCCAAGTTTGAGGTATCTTTCTCTGGCACTACATCGTTTCTTTATTGTTCTTCGGCAGTTATCATTATACCAACTATTTTTGACATTTTTAAGTGCTCCCACATATTCTTCAGCCGCCTTTAAAACAATGCTTCTAATTGTCTCCCAGCCTATGTTTATGTCTTTTATACTTACATTCTCAATCCTTTTGTTAACCGTTTCATTGTAGCGTTTCCTAACCTCGGCATATTTCAATCTTTTCAACCTTTCAATGTTAATCCTTATTTATTCGTGGGGATTATATTCACTTTCTCTGGGGACTTAAGTTTCAATTTAAATTTTGCAATCATAAGAAAATAAAAAAGGCCACATAGACTATTACTAGTCGTAGTGGCTATCGCAGTGCATCTTGCGACGCACTAAGTGATGGGCGTGCTTCTTTCTCTACGTCTACATAGGGCGTTCCCACTGTTCCTAGTTATTCTAAGTGATAAAAAAAAGAAAAGTTGAGCGTAATGTAGTAGTTTTTTTTATAAGCGTTTTAGATCATGTTCAACGAAAATTTGCAGAGTTTCGTATTTCATAAGAAATTCATTATCATTAAGGACAGACATAAATTAAATTAATCTACGTATCTGTATATCCCAACTCCCTACATAAAATCCTAAAATAGTGGCACACACTCATGAACTAATATTTGGAAGAGTATTTACGAACTGTATTAGTATAAATAATTAGTTTATTATATTATGTAATCATTAATAAATACATTTCACGTCATCATCTTTATCTTCTTTTCTTGGTGATAATAGGTTTTGAAAGTTTGAGGTACCCCTGTGAACTATAAAGACACATAATATAAAATATTTGCAAAATTAAATATTTTTACTAATTTTTTCAAATTAGACCAAATTCATAATAATTATAATAGTGTCACATAATAATGTCCTTAGTATATAAACATGTACTCATGGTATTTAACAGATTTCGTTTTAACAATAATAAATTAATGTTATGCCTACTTGTGTCTTCTTCGGAATTTGGTAAAGATGGATTAGACCTGTGAACTATAAGGATATATAAATTTATAATATTAAACATTAAAAATATAATATTTTTAATATTTTTACCAATAGTGTTTTAGATTCTGAATAAAGCGAGAAATTTATTGGTTTTAATAAAATTTGCTTTTTTTGTCTTAACAAATATTCTACTAGAAATGTAATTTCAGTCATTATGCGTTGAATCTTTACTAAAAAAAAATTATGTCTTATATGTGTCCTAAAAAGTTAGTTTTTTAATTGTTCTTATAGTTTTTTTAATAGTTGTGAAAATCATAAGAAAACCTCGGAATAACGGTATTATTTACAAAATAATAGTTCCGGTTATTTTCTATCTTTTATCTTTTTTTTTTTTATTTAGTTTAAAAAAAACGCAGGACATAAAGTTGAGAAAGAATATTTATATTGGCCTTTTCTAAACATGGTAAAACCTCTAAAGTATTATATCAGTTATTTTTAATTTTTATTGGATTTTATAAGGATTGTTTTGGCTAAGAAGAAATGATTGATAATTTAACACAAGTTTTATTAAAATTAAATTAAATTAAATATTTAATACTGTACTTCGTGGTGAACAAATTTTGATCATTGTTTAATAGTTTTTATATAAGCATTTAAGTACAAATATAAAGGGAAATCGTAAAATTGACGGAATTTTAAAAGATATTCAATTCAGGAATTGACAAAACGTTACTGTTTCGTTTTGGTTTTTCGGAAAAAATGAATCATGGTTTCGGTTTTAATCACAAATTTTAAGAATATAAATTTAAGTTTGCGGTTAGTACCAGTTGTAACCAAAATCGAAAAATGACCTCCTTAAAGTAACAACTCAAGAAAATTTCTTTTTAGAAAAGGGTCTACTCTGATGTATACGATACATCAAAGTAAGCTTACTTGTAGAATTTTTTTATACAGTTTAAAAAAATAAAAAATAAACATCTTTGTAAAACCAATACATTTCTCGCTACACTCAGAATCTAAAATCAACAAGCTATCACTATTTATAAAACAACCAGTAAATTATTATAATCAATTTTGGCGCAACAAAATATATTTAGGTAGGTTGTAATAATAATTAATAATTACAATATTAATTATAAGATGAGCCAATGAATGTTCACATTCCTTAAAAATATAATACGAATTATATATATACATTTATTTAGGTATTTTAACGTTACGAGTACGAAAAATTGCACACACTAACCATTGTAATTACTTCAATAAGTGCTTATGTCATTAAATTGTTCTCAAACAATATTTCTTCACCCCGTGTATACAAATAGTGTACGCATATGAGCGTTAAATAGATTAGGAATATCAATAATATAGTCTTTGGGAACCGTTTTTTTCAGTTTGTGAAAAAATATTTAAATTGTTTAACTTTTTATATAAATAAATAATTTTGTCGTATACTATCAAACCGTTCTAGACCAAATCTATAATAATTATAGCGGTGTCATAATAATAAGGTTCTTTGTATATAAAAATGTACTCATTGCATTTAACAGGTTTCATTATATCAATAATAAATAAATTGTATGCTTACTATTTGTACTTGTATTTTCTTCGGATGACGATGAGTTTGATAAAGATGAGTTAAAGCTTTGAACTATAAAGATGTAAATATTTATAACAATAAACATTAAAAAAATGCAATACATTTAGTATTTTTACTAATAGTGTTTTATATTCTAAGTGAATCGAGAAATATATTGGCTTTACTGGAATGTGCTTTTTCTGTCTGAACAACTATTCTACTAGAAATGTAAATCCAGTCATTATGTGTTATTTTTTTTTTTTTGTCTTTATAAATTGTGTTTAGCGTATGTTTTTATATGTTCTTATAGATTTCCTATAGTTGTGAAAATCATACGAAAATCTCGGAAAAACCGTAAAATTTATAAAATAATGGTATCTGTTATTTTTTGTTTTGTTATTTTTTTTTTTTTTTTTTTATTAAAATTTAATTTAAAATAATCGTAGAGTCATGAAATAGGGTTTATGTCATCAATAACATCATAATGCATATTATTATGTCTACTATTTCTGCTTATTTCTTTTCGGGATGTCATTGAGTTTGATGAGACTTTTTCTGATCTATGAACAGTATAAAACAAAGGTTCCCAAACTGGGTTACCCAAAGCACCACCCATTTTGGAAATAATATAAATTTTATCGCCCCACAATAATATCAATGACCCATTTTTTTTTTGTAGTTTATTTTTCATTTCTTGACGATTTATGAAGTTTGTTCAGTCACATCCTGTCATTTGCAAGTATAAATCCAATTTACTGGTACAAATTTTGTTCAATGGAAAAAAAAGGGCCGTAATATTTTTTAAATAATACATAAATTTCGTACATTTTTCCATTTATTGGGAAAACTCTAAATATAAAAAATCAAAAAATGACCTCCATAAAGTATCCTCCCAGTCCGATTTTCTTTCAGAAATAGTGATACACTTGTAAAACGAAGTAAGATTTCAGTTAGAAAAGTTGTTCACGGATGGAAAAAAAAAATAAATATCATTGTAAAACATTTCTCATTCCACTCAAATTCTAAAAAATGTAATATTTAAAAATATGATGCGACCAACAAAAAATATAATCACGACCCATACTTTGGGAACCTCTGGTATAGAAGAAGAATATTTTAAAATTTGAAAAATTAAATATTTTTTTCTAATTACAGATATTTATTTTTAAATCATCTTTTGTACATAATATTATTTTGAAATACATTATATATGTTAAAATTATTTTAGAAGTACAAAATATTCACAGTAGGTATTGATGTTTAATTTGTTCGTTTGTATTATTATTAATTAATAAATGTTAAACCTACTTGAACTTATTTTGCGTGACGACGAGTGTGACAAGATTGAATACTCCCTGTGAACTATATAAAGACGGATCAATAATGAATATGTGTAATAAATTGGTAAAATAAATTAATAGGACTCGTATTCATATTTTGAAATGTATTACCGTATAAAAATATCGTTACATTTTTATTAAAATAACTTGAAATTTATATACATTTCAAATCTAGTATAATACAATTTATATGTAATATATATGTTATATATGTAATCATAACAATTTGAATTCGTTCAATAAATATTTTAAAAATCAAACTTACTTCACTGATTTAATTAGGAATCAATGCAAGAATTTTATTTTTTTGCAAAATATTCTGATAGAGTAATGCTTTATGTTGGTTTTTGTTCCAATTTAAACAATTCTAAATATCGATATTTTAATTTATAGAGCAAGATATAATCGTTCTTAAACTGTGATATTTTGCATAATAACATCTTTTTTAAAAATAAGCGATAATTTATAATAACATGTATAAAATATATATTTATTATTTTAGATTCTGAGCAGAGCTAGAAATATATTTGTTTTACAATGATGTTAATTTTTTTTTATGTGAACACTTTTTCTACTAGAGAGCTTTCTTCGATTATTAAGTATAACTCCTTTTCTAAAAGGAAATGTTCTCTGGGTGGTATTTTAGATAAGTCAATGTTTGAAATTCTCATTAATATTCGATATAATGAAGAAAATCTGGTTTTTTAAGTTAAAAAATATTAAAAGATTAAAATTAATGTTATCATTGGCAACTGTTTTTATTTATTTTTTGTTATTATTAAGTTTTTATTATTTTAATCTTTTTTAAACAATCATTGTTATCATGAAAACGCACATTGTCAAAGTAATACTATTGACCGAGCTATATTAAAATAAAATAAATTTCGACTTCGATTCATTATTTTAACTATTATTTTTATATTATATTATATTTTTTTATTTTACACTTAAGTATCACTATCAACTGAACTCCGCTCAGAATCGTTTTTTTGTTAGCAATGGTTTATCGTGGCTTACATTAAATTTCTTTCTATATCCTACTTTCGCAACTTCTCACCTACAACAGTGGCTGCACTCATGTGCGAAGTATGTCCATCTTTTTTTAATATATATTATTTATTAACAAATTAATACAATAAGTAAATAATATATAAAAGGTCAATGGGGATCTATAACTTATACGTATATACTACGCCCTAAGTATAAATAATACAATTTTTTTTTAATAATTACATATTATTTCAGGTTGAATTGTTTCAGTATTTTCATTTTCTAAACAGAAAATATTATGCATTAATATTATGTATAAGCAAATACAAATTTAAAAAAACAATGTTTTAAACTATACTAAAAGGTACATTATAATGGAAAATATTATACCTTGTTAATATCGAAATTAAATATGAGTATACCAAGTATAGTGAATGATAACATACAAACTGTTCACGGAATATTTATAGTGGATAATATATGAATAAACTTTTAATGAGGCATTTTTTGATAATGAAAAATTTTTCAGAATAGCCACTTGCAGTAAAAAATATTTTCTATACTTTTTGAAAACGGAAAACGTGATTATTGATTATTGTATTGTCATCAAAAATATGAGGGTATGAAAAATATAAAGTTGATCTAACTGGAAAGTGGTTAAAAATCGAAAGTTTTGAACTTCTATTCCTTACCCATGAGCATTTGAAATTTAAAACAAAAAACAAAACAAATCCATAATCAAGTGACACTAAGTTATGTATCACTCAAAATTATTATTTAATATTATATAAAAGCCTATATTATGAACTTTATATTCTTTATAGCAGACACGTCGCCAAGATTTTTTTTTGAGGGGAGGGTCTAAACATAAAATTTAATGTAACCAATAATATGATATTTTGGTAAGGAGTTTAAATTTTGGAAAAGGGGTCCAGACCACATGACAACCCCCTCTAGCTATATGCCTGCTTTATAGGTACTTGAACTGTAGTTTATAATTAAATCTATTACTATATACTATATTATATTAATATAGATTCTTAGAATGTACTTTCATTGGCTTGACACCAAACTTCTGAATTTGCAATGACTGTTACAAAAAACAAAATTAATTAATTTAAACTTTCCGTCCCTACCAAGAAAAAAATACTAATTTAACAGCTAAGTTACAATAAATTATATTATTTGTTTCAATGGTTTGATTTTATTAAATAGTATTAAAACAAGACTTACGTCCTAAATTGGTACCATCGTTAGTATCATTAATAATATCATTGTTACTCAAGAAATTAACAAGTTCGACATCATCGTCTATTTCGCCTAAATCACCAAACGAACCTGCAATAATTAAAACAAATGTTACTATGTGTATACCATTTTACCGCCACTGTCCCCACGACAGTGAGTGAGAACTTTAAATCAGCCATCTCGGAATTTAATACAAAAAGTGATTTTCAAGGAAATACAACCGTAATAAATACCTATAATAATAACAATAGTAGTAACCGTTTTATAACAGTATTTTCAGAGGAAATTATGGAAAACACGGCAAATAATTTGGTGACGTTTAATTCAAAATATGTATTACGCACTTTGCCCACATAGAGGCGCTCCGTGTAACTACTTGTGACTATTTCTTTTCTACTAAATCTATTAATGTATATATTTTTTTTTAATTTCAGAGGTGGAATCTATATATTTGTGTCAAATGTTTGTACCTACATATTATATATTATTAATTAGTTAAAACACGTTTTGACATACTTTGAGATTCTTCGAGCACATCGTCGGTTTCAATTTCGTATTCCTGATTACCTATAAAAAAAAACGTGTTCATCGTGTCACGATCATAAACAATATTATTATTAAACATTGTTCGATGTTTATATTTTCATAGTTTAAAAATACAAATAAAACAGACCTGAGCCTTCGACTTTTAGAGATAATGATGCGATTAATATAAGTGACAGTTTTCCGTGCTACTCGACTTAGTTCACCTTTATTTTAATATTTTATAGTTGGAGCTACATATTTGCTGCTACGATATAAGGTGATAACATTATTTATATAAAATTACGTGTAGTTATCCATTGGTCTATTTAAGAGATTTCTACATTAGACGTGCCGTTGTTAGGTTTAGATTAAAACAATATATTACTCTAGGCAAGATTTTCAAGATACACCCTGTTCCTAATGTTCATTTACGAGCTTATATAAATTTAATATTTATACACTTTAACTCTTTATTTACACAAATATCAAATATGTATTTATTCATATATATATATATATATATATTTTGAACTGTAAATAATTAATGCAATTTATTAAAATATATAAGATAATAGAAGGTACCGTAAATATTGTATTATAGTTTTGAATATAGGTAGTTACGAGTATCTAAGTGGTTCAGCTATCTCAGTCATCCCATATTATAATAAGTCTGTAACTGATTTGAGTTTTATGTCTAGCCCCACTTTATGTTTTAATATCCATATCCAACGTATTAGTTGTAAGCCCTTTAAACCCTAGACTTTATTTAACGTACTTCGGCTGAGTTTAAGTTAGCAGTTCCATTAAATTTCTCAGCCAAATTCTTGAGTATAATTCAATAGTTTGAGACCCTTATACTGCAAGCAAATCCAATGAAAATTGTTGTACTTCACTAGTTGGACTCTAAAAATTGTTCTTTCATGACCAAATACTCTTCCTTAAATACCTTGGCCTCGAGACTTTGGCTAACCGAAGACATGCTAACCTAAATATTTAGCTTACAGTTATAACTGGACATATAGATTTTCCCAACCTACTTTCCAAAATAACTTTTAAGATGCCTCCTCGTTCTTCACGCCGTTCTACTCTATTTTATATTAGTTCGTCCATTATAAATTATGTTCGAAATGAGCCCTTGCACCGGTGTATGTCCCTTGACAACGCGGTGCTTATATGCTCTTCTTTTATATATTAATAATTATTATATTGTTAAATTGTCATTTTTATGTATATTTAATTGTTGTTATTTTAAATACGAAAATCCGGATTTCGAATTTCAGACGAAAAATTCCGAAAACACTGATTTTTTTCAATATAGACTTCGGAATACGAGAATTTTCATTTTAAATTTTAAAATTTATAATTATAGTTAGTTTTTTTTAACTATATGAAAAATGCATAAAAAAAATCTAAAATTAAAGTTTCAAAATTAAAATCCTAATTTTATAAGTACATTTTTGAATTTCAGATTCCAAAAATCCGGATTATAAATTTTCGGAAAATCTAAATTCCCCTACCCCCTGCTGTTAATACCATCGGACGTTGTTCATAACCACATACTTTCTATAAGTAATTTTCGCTCATTTTTTTTTATTGTTCAGTAGATGTTCTTAAAGGGTCGACCGCTGAAAACCACACACTTTTGATCGACAATTTAAAATTTTGCGATCGTACGAATAATAATACATACATTTATCTCAAATCAGATTATCGTTTAAATCCACACTCCAGTTAATCAAAATCGCAAGTTGATAAAAATAAAACTTTTGGGATTGTCCGAAGATTTCTATACTACAAGTTTCTCCAAATAAGATACGTTATCAAATATTCAGAATCAATATTTTAATTATTGTACATAATAATAATTCAGTGACGAACTAGTGACAGGTTAACCATTGTCAAAATGTGTGTGGTTATGATAATCCCCGAATAATAATATATGTCGAATTGAGTTTAAGTCTGTTTGTAATTAAAATAATTTGATAATCGATCATGTGGGTCATATCACACGATAACTTCTTATCAGAGAGGTTACTAAGTTCTATATGTCTTTGTGTGGTTCGTCTGTCACCGTCTCGCTTCATGTACGTAATAAACAATAGCTCGTGTATTTACAATATTATGGTTGTATTATTTTATTCGATGCCATCCTAACATACCAAACTTTTTCTAATTTATTTTTATATATTAATTTGTTATAGTTAGTTTTGACATACTTTCTATTTCTTTAAACTCCTCGTCCGAATAATTTTTGACTTCCAGAAAATCTACAGCGACAAAAAAAAAAGTCACTTTTATCAATAATGTAATAATTAAAATACAGTTCGTTGATTTTATTTACTTAGTTCACAAAAAAAAAAAAAAATACGCTTAAACCTTAAATATGTTAAATTTGTGTTATAAAAGGAGAAATTAACAGACTGATTTGTTAACACATAGCCTAGCCCACTGGGGTTAGAGAATTGAAATCTGAACAGTAAATATCTTTTATAACATGAACATCCTTATTAGATAATAAGGAAGGATTTTTGAAATTTTCACTCTTAAAGGCACCCATATAATACCATTAAACCGTCGTGTTTAAAATTAAGATTTGACAGGTACAAAAAAACTATTTTTTTTATTAAACCATCCTAAAATTTTTATTTAACGATCAAAGATCTTTGACAATGCATTTCAAAAGTGTACATGAATACTTATAGTGACTAATATACAAAAATATCTAGGTACACGTTACAAATCGCTGAACAAATAAAATAAAATAAAGAATTCTAACAGGAAAAAAAAACATGTGTGAAGTCCTTAGTTTAAGAATCTTATACTAAGTCATATGGGTCTTAGGTGTTTGAGACGTCTTATGTCATGAAAGTATTGCCGATTAGCTAAATTGGCACAAAATACCAAGTAAGATTTGACAACGTACTATCCGAGGAATTCCAAGTGGTAACATGCCCAAAGCAAGGTGACGCTCTTTCACCACTACTGTTCAATATTGTACTGGAAAAAATTGTACGGAGTATACAAAGAAATAAATATGGTTTTGACGTCGGCAGAATGAAGATTGATATTTTAGGTTTTGCTGATGGCTTAAATATAGTTGGTGACGACGGAGAGAGTGTGGCATAGAGCACCGCAGCTCTCATTAATGAAGTCAAAACCATTGGTTTGAATCATAATAAAACCAAAGTAATGGAGTTTTTGAATTGAATAGCCAAATCATTAAGGCAGACTAGGTATTATTTTCGTTAACTAAATATTTAGAAATTAAACTGTTTTCCAGAAGAACCAAAGTACATCTCTACACGGCAATAATTAGACCAACATTAACATATGGATGTGAGGTATGACCTTTTTACTAGCAAAATGGAATAAAAACTTATGTCATTTGAAAACAAAATACTGAGAATCATCTGCAGCCTAGTACACGACTACGAACTCGAATTCTGGCGCAGAAGGAATAAAAGATCTGAGATTTGACAGGGGTTCCAAGGATAATCAACTTTCTGAAAAGACAAAGAATAAAATAGTTTGGGTACGTAATGAGAAGGCTTGACTCAGAGTACTTTAAAGCGGCAGTCGAGTGGAAACCCATAGGGAAGAGACCAATAGGACGTCCAAAGAAGTCATGGATAGATGAAATAAAGCAGGACTTAGAGAAACTAGGGATACCAGATTGGGAAGAAAAAGTAAAAAATAGAGAAGAGTGGAAGGTAGTGTCGGTGGCGGCAAAATCCTTGAAGACTTGTGATGCCAATGAAGAAGAAGAAGAATCGGATTTTCCTAGTGAGCCCTTGATCGTACTTAATTATGAGGTCTTTGCTCTTTGGTCTGAGGACCTCACCCCAAACATCAAAATTATTCGAAAAACTACTTTTAAAACTTTTTTACTCTATATAGCTATAGGTAACTATTATAACTAGTTATGCCATACTTTCTGTTTCTTCAATAATTTTTTGGTATTCCGGACCACCTACATAATAAAAGTTTCAAAAAAATGTCATAATCTTAATAAAGTTTATTAATAATATTTAAGAGTACGCTACACATGCATTTGTTATTTCCGCCTTACAAATACGCAATATAATAAAAACATGCTTACGCAGACTACACAGAACTTACTTAGATTAGTTTTAGAGTAAAAGCACCTGTTATAAAACTAATAGAGAACAATACTCCATAGAGTAACACGTTGCGTTTTTTTGAAAAAAAAAATGTTTTCAAAAGTTTTAGTAAATTAAAAAAATCGTTATTTATAAATGGTAAATATTCTGAGAAAATGGAAAAACAACAATATATTTGGAATATTATTTTCTATTAATTTTATAATAAGTGTTTTTATTCTAAAGTCAAAATTAAATGAGTTCTGGAGGTTTTGTAGTCAGCATAAACGTGTTTTAACTACCAGGTGATCCATTTAAGTGAGTACATTGGTTATCTCGGAAAGTGTTAACTTTTTTCGATATTTGTTTTCTAGAAAATTTTAGAAATAAGCAGCTCTGAAATTTTACATATATATATGTTATTTTTTGGCACCCTAATTTTTGGGGGTAAAAGTATAATCTACTTATGATTTTTAAATGACAACTTATATTAAAAATTTCATATATAGATGGAGTAGTAGTTAAATACATATTGGTGTTTAAATTTTTAATTTTCATCAATCCGTTGACACGATATTCTACTTTTAATTTTTGGTCGGGGGAGAGTAGAGGAGTATCATTTGTGTGGCGTGCAGCGTATTAATAATGCTCTACTACCACTTAACTCTATACATAGAACACGCATTAGGCCGCTAAACGTAAAATTAATTAATTAATACATGTATTAGTATTTTTTTTTTTTATATCACACTACTTCCTTTTCTATTTTTTAAATATGTTATTAAAATTATATAATATTATTATGTATATTATATTTTAAAATTTGGTCACCAAGATTTTTCTAAAAATGTACCCATAGCAGTTTTCAGTCGCCTCATCGACAAACACTTGTTCATGAACATTGATTTTCACGTTTTTGACTATGAAGAAAATCATATTACAATAATGATAAAAGTTATATCCCTATGTCTTATCAGAATTAGAAATTTCCATGAAATAAAAAAAAATATTATTTCATAATAGGAAAATTAAGCAAAAGATCTTGACACAGTTAGTTATACAGCTATACTTCAAAACGTTTAAACTTTAAAGTAATAATTCTTATTGTTTTAAAATTTTTTTTTTATCAATACCTATTTACTATCATCCTATCGGCTATCTCTAATTTCCACCTAATGTTATTCTCTGATATAATCACAGATTATTCGGTTTATTCATTATGTTTTTTATAGAGTAAATCACCATCGGAATCAAAATGACGGCCGCCTATCGAAGGACACTTTTCAATACACAAAGCATATGCAATACGCGTTCCATGTATAGAATTCAGTGACTACTACTCTCCTCCAACCTAAATTTCAAAGTAGAATATCTCGTTAACGGCTTGACAGAAATCAAAAATTTCAGCTCTAAAATTTATTTTGATAACACTCCATCTATTTATGGACTTTTAAATATAGATTGCCATATGAATATTAAAAGTAGATAGTAGTTTTATCCCCAAAAATAAGGGTGACACAAAGTAACATATAATATTGTAAAGCAGCTTGTTTTTCAAATTTTATAGAAAACAAATTCTGAAAAAAGTTAATACTTTCCGAGATAATGAGTGTACCCACTTAAATGGATCACCCGGTCTATTGTGGGTTTGTAAAACGGAAACAACAAATCCATGTGTAGCGTCCTCTTAGCATAATATTATTATTATTTGTATTTATATAATTCACAAATACGAATAAAACATGGTCACTTAATTTAAACATAATTTATTATTATACTTCGATTTTGAGCATAATTGATACCAATTAAGAAAATGTATCTAATATTTTTTTAATATGCATATGTGATAGCCTCACATATGCAATCGCTCAATCAGAAAAAAAAATGAGTAGCTATTTTAATATTTTTACTAATTTCAAAAGTGCGAAAATACAAATATTATAAAATTCATCTTGACTTACCTAAGTCATTATGCAATGCTTTAATTACAAAAAATAAAATTACTTTTAGCTAATAATAATAAATACAATATTATTTATATATTTACATAATATTATTTACAATGGAAGTAATAAAAAATTAATGTATACCTAAATGTACCACAAAAATTTATTTTAACTACTACTCCATTTATTTATGGAATTTTTAATATAGGTTGCCATTTGAAAATCAAAAGTAGGTAGTCGTTTCACCCCTAAAAATTAGGATGACAAAAGAGAATGTAATTGTTAAATTTTAAAACAGATTGTTTTTTAAATGTTATTTAAAACAAATTGCGAAAAAAGTTAATAATTTCCGAGATAATGAGTATCTTACGATAAATAGATCACTCCGTATAGATTAAATTCCGGTTTGTAATCTACTTTCCCAACTTCCCACCTACAACAGTAGCTGCATCCACGTGCAAAATATGTCCGTTTTTATACTATTCAAATTGCTATGCTCCTATAACCATTTTAACCCACTAATATATACTCTCTTTTCTATTTTAATTTCTGACAGTTAAAAACGTACTTAATTTGTCACGTTATCTACTTGCTTTATCAACTAAATTTTAACGTTTGAAGTAGAGTCAGTGGATGTTATCCTTCATCATGCCACCACTTCATTGTACATTTTATTAATTGTGTTCTTTTTTGTACACAAATTGTAAATTTAATGTTTTTATTTATTTTTTTCAAATGTATTTATCAAATATATTTTATTATACATACCAGTTGTTTCAGAAAAAATGATCGATTTTAAATACAAACAGTATTTATTTCCAGTAACTAAAAATGAAAATATATTTTTTATTTTTAGTATACTTTTGATCCGGTGTTGCATTCTATGTTAATTTAATACGTTTATTCAATACATTAATAATTATTATGTTGAATATGATCATTAATTAATGATTAATTAATTTCATGGTAATGGTTGCATACATTTGAAATATACAGGTTCCATGGTATATTAATATCATAACATAATTACATAACCTCAATAAGTATAACCGGCAGCGTTCGTGAGCAAATAGTGAACTAAATCTGACTCAGTAAGCGACCGTCGGTCTAGACAGGAGAGTGATAATCGTCGGACCTGTTTTTTTAACACCGTGTCTATAACCGTGCATTAATCTAACACTTTTTTGGTTATCAGTTGACTTATCTGTATTTTTTTTCCAGTAGGCCTAACTTCTGGCACTCATGACTTTCGAGTAAACTGTTTTTTTCGCATTAAAGATACAATACATCAATACAAATTATTTAAAACCAATATCGTAATTTCGGAAAAAAAGTGACTTATCTGGTTTTTTCCATATACCCTTCATTTATTAACAAAAAAACAATAACTTACCACCCCATATTTCAACACTACATGCGTTTTTATCTAGGAAAAAAAAACAAAATACAAATATTTACTATTTTATCGGAAATTTTGCGATCTTCCGATAAAATAAGATCTTATAGTTTAAAACTGATAAATTCGGGAAATAATAAAAATGTATATATAATATACATGTATACAAATACTAAAAATAAAAAACCTGTAAATAACTTATAAAGAATATAATTTTGAAGAAAGATATGAATAAGACGGACATATTTCGCGCGATGGGTCAGGTATTGTTGTAGGTGAGAAATTGAGAAGGTGCGATTTAGAAGAAAATTTAATGTATATCTGTACGCAACAATTAAATATTGCTAACAAAAAACGATTCTATGCGGATTTCGGTTATATTTCGTTATATTTTTAAAGTCTGTAATATTTACGATTTTCATCAAAATTTGATATTAAAATTCTTATAAAAAAAATCTATATTACACTTAATTTTTTTTTTTTTTTTACGACAAAGTACAACGTATAATAAAGAAATCTCATGTTAAATGTTCAAGCATTTCTGTTTGGTTAAATAATTTTATCCACAGAGCACCTATCAAATAACAATTACGTAAAAACTCACAAAATTAAAATGTTTATAAATAACTTAAATAACTAAAAAATGACTAAAATATTTTGAAAATTTGACCACGTTTAGAAAGGGAAAATAAATAAGTTTTCTGTCAAAATTTCAAGTCTTCAAGAATATTTTTAACTAAATCACAACAAAAAAACAAAATTGAAAATAATTAATTAAATAAATAAAGATTTTTCCTACGTTTTTCTCGGTTTTCCCGTTTATTCTAAAAACTTTTTGGAAAATCAAACAAATGACTTCAAGTACCACCCAGATAAAGTTTTCTTTCAGAAATGATGCTATACTTAAAAATCGGAGAAGATTCGTGGTAAAAAGGTTGTTGATGGATTAAAAAAAAAGTAAACAATATCTTAGTAAAACCAATACATTTCTCATTCTGCTCTTATCACTCCCAAAAAAATGAATATTTTTTTTATATTAAACAAATTAATTTAATTTTCATATTCATAATTTTTAGTCTTAAAAAATTTTAGCTGATCACTTCACAATTGTTTTTTATCTTACCGGGATTTTTAAAATCATTAACAAAATTGATTATTTCGTGCTCTTCAACTAAAAAATAAAGTAAATGATTATTAAAATTAAAACTGTTTTAAACAATTTTTTTCAAATTTAAACTATAAAAAAATAGTTTTCAATCAAATAATACATTTCCTAAAATCTTATTTTATAAATCATAATTTAATGGATATTGAGTTAATTTTACTTACTGAATTTTTGAAATATTACAACATAATTATCAAAACCATATCTTCTATCTATAACGAATATAATATAATTTAAAAAATTACATTATCAATAAAATTAAAAATCACGAGTATGTACATTGTATTATAACCTTTATCAGTGAAGAAGGGATAGAGAGAGGGTCAGGGTTATACTTTAACCCCTCTGTAATTTCCCCTAAAATATGAGATTGCATTATTTTTTTTTAAAAGATAGACGTTTCATTGTTATTTTGAATACGAGAAGTAGGTACACCATGCTGCGATTATATTTAGTAATTATTCTCATCCCAAGGACATGTCTCGAAATTTATTTTAAATTCATTACTCCCTTAATATGAATCCTAGTTGCACCATTGCTACACCAGGCGCGGATCCAGTCTACATTATGGGGAGGGACGGATTATAAATAAGTATACATATTTAGATACCTACTGGTAAATACGAGTATACATATATAATATATATATGCAATAGTACATAATGCTATTTCGTAAATACTATTTTTCATAAACTGCATTGAATTTCTTAAAATTCAGTTATTTCGATTAAATTTTTAAATATACCTTTTTAAAATACCGTCGGTTGTCGAGTATCGAACAATTAACACAATAATTTTACTATTAAACAGGTAATAATAAACTGGTAAGTAAAAAACTTAGATGTATTTCATTTATATTATTTCAAATGAGCAGAAGTACTAGGAGTAAGTGAATGATTATTAATTCGTTATTAGATTAAAGCATGCTAGTATTCCCACCTAATAGGTGTAAGTATTAAAATACATCTAATCCATGCAATATAATACCTATGTAGGTATGTAATATGGCCTATGCTTAGGGCCGGATTAAGGGGTGCAAGGTGACCAGAGCTCAGAAGCTCTCAAAAAATAATTACCCCCACTATTTAGAAATAAGTTTCTTCAAAAATTAAAATACCTAAACGTTATGATTTAAATTATTTTATCAGAGTCTCTTTTTGATTTGAATGTATTTACATATCTCTAAACCCGTCTGGCCTATGCTATATTTACTGTATAATATATAATAATAATATAATGAGGTATAATATGCATCCCAGCTGTCATGATTGAGTAACATTGTATAATAATTAGGAAAACAAAAAAAAAAAAGGAAAGAGAATATGTCATTTTTTTGATAATTTGGGTTTAAACATTAATTTTATATTATTTTTTACGTCGCATCGTTTGATGGCACTGTAATCCACCTATCTGTTACTGTTATCATGGTATTTAAACGCACATTTTGGTATAAGTCGATAAGGTAGTTTGTGCGAAAGGGGATAAGTAAAAAATATCAATGAATTGACGAAACTGACTTATTCCTTTTCTCACCAATATATATATTCTCCTATATAGCATATAATATATTATACTTGAATACACTAATACCTATAGATTATAAGTACTTACACTTTAATCCAAATTCTTCTAGATGGTCTATTAAGGAATTTAAAATTAAATTTATTAAACTATGCATTTTTAATATTAGTTTTTTATTATTGACCTGTTTATAAATTAACAAAATTCTCCACTGTTAAGGTTTTATATAACTAACTTCCTCAAAAAACATTCAATTTGAAGATTCTTGTTAGATAGAGCACTCTTTGCTTAAATGTATAGATGTGATATACAATATCTACTCTTTTTCAATTTCGATTTATCATGATTTATACGCAAACAAATATCTGTATTAATTATTTTCTATTATTATTTACTTTTTATTTCGTTTTATAATTTGCAATAATGTAAGAGTCTTGGTCGTGCAGACTTAATCTCAGTTAGCTTTTGAATCAAGATTTTGTTAGTACCAGTATACTGTCTTTTTCTTAATCTTGTTGTAAGACCAAGATTGCAAGACTCATAACATTTTGCCTATCACTAAACATTAACTTAATTTAAATATGTTATTAAATACAAAATGGAATGTAAAACTATTGATAATAATTTATGACAATAATGTATGTAGTAAATTATGTATAATATTAAAATATTATTAAAACATCATAAAAATTTAACTTCTTTTGTAGGCCAAAAAAAATCGATCACGGACTACGAGCTGTCGACCCCTGTTCTGTTTGATAGATAATATTATAGTTTATAAAAACGTAATATTATTTTACTTACTCATACATTTTTCATGTACAGGATCGTCTACAGGACCTACGCTGCTATCTAAATAATAGATATAGGTACTTATAAAATTTAAAACAGACGATTTTACGTAGTAAAATAAATGTAGAACAATTATAAATTATTAAAAATTGGGAGAACCCGAGAAAAACGTCGGAAACCGGAATATTTACGAAATAACGGTATAAATTTGGTTGTCGTAAAGTGGAAACCACATATACGAGTACAATAAACAACCACAATGTAAACTGAATTTAGGTTCTGAACATAGTGAGAAATATAATGGTTTTACTCGTATATTTTTTTTTTTTTAAAGTCTGTGAACAAATTTCTACGAGAAATATTTTTTGGATTTTTCAGTATGGTATCTTTTCTGAAAGAAAAATTGTTTCTAGTTTGTGTATTTGGAAGATTTTTCTTTACTGTTTTCATAATACTTCGAGAAAACTGGGAATAAAGTAATAAAAGAATAATATATAAGGATAATTCATGGCAATAACAGTTTCATTATTTTCAATTTTGTTTTCTTTTTTTTCTTTTAGTTGTAATAAAAAAAAAAAAATAGGAGGTCCGCCAAATATTCAAATTCCTGGAAAGGTTCCGTGATTAAAATAAGTTGGGAAACACTGAATTATATTAAATCATTACTACGTTGAATAAATACTATTCATAGTTATTAATCGACTTACGATATGCATATTATTTCTTTATTTCCCCCCCCCCCTTTGAATACCGAACAAAATTTGATCGCCCGAGGGTGTCCGATATTTCGATGTTTCACTGTATATATATATATATAGGTTGAAATGTCTAGATTAATTTAATCATTTAAATAGGTAGTTTGATTCTAGCCTTCTAGGATTATTAAGTCCTCTGAAATTACAACCATTTCTATATAACATAGGTTTTATAATATAATTAATATTTATAGTTTCATATTTGTTTTGAATTTTCTGAAAAATATTAACGTTCTGAATTTGATTTTCTATAATATTATATTTAGAATTCAAATAAATGTACAGGGCCTTTCAAATTTCATGTTACGTACGTGTCATAGTGTAAAATGTTCCACTAGATTCTGCTCTTAAGTCCTAACCACATTTTAAAATGGAATATAAAATGGTTGACGGAAATTAAAAATGTCAATATGTATTTAAACTAAAACTATTTACAGAATTTTTAGTATAGGTTGCCATTTTTAAACAAAAATAATGACAATGTAATAATTTAGAATGTGATTCCAAAATGTTTTTACATAAATCATTTTTTGAAAAATATTAATTTCATGGAAAATTTGACTGTAACATGAGATTTGGAAAACCAAGTATATGGCATTTCATATTATTATTATACTCTTACTTGTGTTAACCTCTTTGAAAGTCATAATAAACATCGAAGTAATCAATATACCTAAACTGCTTTTGGACGTCATAATTGTATTGTTTCAATTATTCCAATAGTATAAATTGTACTGATTCCTAAACGATATAAAATGATACCTAAAATATGTTTTCCATTTTAAGATTTGATGATGCTTAAGTAACTTCAAAACGATTTTGAACTATAATATTGTTTACAGAATGATACGCACACATGCCTTGGGTAATATATTTTATTCCTCTGTGGCCTGAATGTCTGATCAAATAAAGCTAACTAAACTATTGAATAAGCTGCACTTATGGTTCGAGACATATAAACAACACCTAGTACCTAAGAATCGACTAAACATTTTAACAATTTTTAAATTCATTGCTTACAATGAGAGATAAAACAAGGTATATAATATTATTCGGCAAAATGAGATAACTAATATAATTAAAGTTCGTATAGTTCTAATTATAAGGCGGGAAAAGAGGAATTAAGATCCACAATTTTAAAACAATCATATTTTATACAGTTTATTATAACTTTGATGTTCCATACCAGACAATATCGTACATACTAACTGAATACCCCATAAGGAAATTTGATGACGAACCCGAAGATATGTTCGTTCAATGTCTTCCCAGAAGCTATTGAATGGATACAAAATCTCGAAATCAAATTATAGAAGATATCCAAAAAGAGATAAATTGGTTCGCTATTTTAGTAAAAAATTACATATATTAATTAATTAATTACATTTATATAAATCTATGTTCAAAAGAAGGGTGATTCCTATTTGAAAATCAATAATATGTACTTATTTAAGGAATGTGGAGTAGGGATAAAAAATTAAAAATAGTTTTAAAATAAAACTTAAACCATTCCATAAAGATTAGAAAAAGCAGCAATCAAATTAATTTAAAAAACTGAGATAATTGCTGGTTTATGATAAAAAAAATCGCCTGTATATTACATATATTATACACATTGTTTAATACTTCTGGTTTTTGTATATTATTAATTATAACTTATACCTATAAACTATTTATTTAATTGCTAATGATAGAAACTATAAAAAAAAAAATGATAACTGTTGTTTTTTTTTAAAACGAGGAAACGCCTACCGATAATTTATGATATATTACAATTTTTAAACTGCTCTCTTCTTGATTGAACTCCAGATACACCACTAGTATATTAATTATTTACTGAATTATTATAAACATTGTTTTCGAGTATTTTTGTGTTGTCGACAAAATTGTATTCACAACAAAACCAGTAAATAAAAACTAAAATCTCGAAAATTTTAGTTAATTATAATGGCTCAAAAACCATCAAAATGAATTGCAAATCATATCATTACCGTCTAGAAATGGAAAAGAGTATTTGGTAAACATTTCAGGTCTCTACAAACATTTTTTACTGAATTACAAAAAAAATAAAAGAAATCATTGTGGTGTACACTTATATTTTCCCGTTTTTCTGACTTTTTTTCCGGTTTCCCCAAGCTACATCAAATACTTAAATTAAAATAATTAAATAGACTTCATATATTTTCTTAAATGTTAATTGTTTAACGTTGTACCAATTTTCCCAGTTTTTTTAAATTTGCTGAGAAAACTCCGGAGAAAATCGAAAAATAACTTCTTTAAAGTACCTCTCTAGTACTTTTAGACAAATTGCTATCATTATAAGTTAGAGCTTAATTGCTGGTAGAAATATTGTCCACGGAAAAAAAGAAAGGCATAATATTATTAGCTAATATCTACATTTCTTACATTTTCCCATTTTTTTTCGGTTTTTCACATTTCTTAAGAAAACTCCATAGAGAAATTCAAAAAATGGCCTTTTTAAAGTACCTCTCTACACCGTTTCACTTTCAGAAAAAGTGCAACACTTTAAAATTATAGCAAGTCTTCTGGTAGAATAGTTGCGCACAGATAAAAAAAACAAAATAAATAAACATCTTCGAAAAACTATAAGCTTCTTCGCTCCACACAGAATCTAAAATTAAACACACATTGTGTATTCAATATTATTTTGTATTTATTTAAACATTATTGTACAATTTTAACATGTAAACATAATAAAAAAGACAATTTACTTATTTTGAAAATTATAACAATTATTAACAATAGATTGTTTTGTTTTTAATTAATTTCTCAACATGATAAAATATATACTAAATCGAATAAATATTATATTCATTAGGCATAACGAGTAAAGTTTATTTTCCTAAAAAGAACGTAACATGTTCATTGAACTTGCACCAATCTAACGTTCCCATCAGATTTATTTGATTTATTCTACCTAAAAAAAAATTAATTAATTTTGTAATATACTTTTGTAAAATAATTTTGTAAGTTGATCTTTTGTTGTGAAATATAAAAATTTGTTATGTTATGACTAAAACTTAAGTATATAAACTATCTATATTTTAAAATTACAGATACACATCAAACAAATCGTAAATTCATGAATGATATTTATTAGATGTATTGCATTATTTTGTAGGTTAGATACCGTTTATTATTTTGAAATCAATTAAATATTTATGCTATATAAATAGTTGATTAAAACAATTAGGTACATATTGAAACCGACAAATCGTGCCATAAAATAATATAGTATAAAATAAGAATGATCTTTTACTTGATATATCGAGCGTCTCATTCGCGCGAGAAATCTTCTGGATAATAATTTTGTCGAGAACACAAAACAAGTGCGCACCACCAACTCCTTTCGAAAATCTCTCTCAAATAGCTCTGACTTTTTGTAGCTAATCATTCTTGTTCAATTTCGTTGTAAATTTATTTAATAGTTTAATCTTTTTCTTTTCTAAGAATAAAATCTGAATATAATTGTTATCTGAGAGCATGCAGTTTCAAAGTGTTAAATACTTAAATTTGAATATTTTAATTGTGAATGCCATCCAACGAATTCAAAATCACGTAAGGATATGAAACAGGTATACAGGTTCTAACACCGTGGGCAGGTAAAACAATATTGTATTTCTAATTTATTGATTTCATCACCATTTTGGGATTCACGACTTTCGGACTCTGAATCCCTCCAAACATCAGAAGAAAGGTAATAACATAATTATTAAGCTATTTTATTTTTGTATTGCACCACCAACTACCCTATTCTAACCTTCTTTCTTTATGTTATGACAAAGTGCGAACGTAATTAAAAGGTTATTCATTTTATGTGTTATCACAATATTATATTAAGCGTAAATCTATCCCTACCAAATAGTTAATAATTTATAACTCTAGTTTACTGCAAAGTTATTAACGGTGAAAAAAACAATATTTTAATTCACAAGGTATTATTAATTTACATACTGTTAAGAGAGTAGTTGTCTTTGAGATAAAGACAGTAGCTTTGTAACATTTCTTGGATTAAACAAAAACAAAATAGGTATATTATTAATAATGTGATATTGCTGTAATTTATTATAGGTCAAGGCTGCTCAATTTATATTAGAAGTGGGCAATAATTTCAATTACATTTTGCTGGAGAGCCATCTTATAAACAAGACTTGCTTACACTTATGATTCTTCTATACATAAATAGTTAAATAGATATGTATTTGAATCAATTGATGTTTTAATAATATAAAAAAATAAAAACATTAGTGATACCTATAAAGAGGCTTATTAGTAAATGATTTTTTAATATTTGGTAATAAATCTGATGTTGATAAAAAAATCAAATCTGAAATTTGAGGCGTAGTTAACAAACTACGATATTTATTTTTTACACAGGTTAAGGTAGAAAAAGCTTTTTCGCAAATATATGTTGAACTATAAATCTGCTTAAAATCTGCAAGGCAAGATCGCACGTTGCAGGGAAGTCTTCCTTTGGTACTAATTTCAAAAATTGTATTACATTTTCTTAAGTTCTGTGGTTGTGATGATACAGTTCGGTAAATATCTGCCTCAAGGAAAAATGGTTTTGAAATTCTGTGATTTCCAACTGAATAATGGATAAATATTTTAATATTTCAGTAACAGTGATTGAAATGGGTTCATAAAAAGCAAAATGCTTTTTTTGTCCTACTCGAAATCCTGAAATCTATTCTCGAAATACTGCAACAATAATGGAATTGTTTGGTATTTCGAGATGTCCATCGAAGTATTTTAGTTTTCCTATTATATCTACACGCGTAGGAAAATTATCGATATTGTTTCTAGCCAAATTCATTAGAAAAAAAGGATAGCTACGCTTTAAAATCGTGAACCAAATTGAACATTATTGACAACGAACAGTCCCCTTCCCTTATAGCTTTCGATCAAGTATGTTGAAGTTCTGTACAAATAATACCGATGAGCTCATGAAAAATAAACCCGTACCTAATAATAACTAAACACACACTTCTAAAACGAAATATAAAACAAAATACACTACACAACGAAATTTAAAGAAATTAAAATTAAAAATACAATAGAATGTTGGCGAGCAAATTCAAATGTGTTGACAGGCCTGGGTTTGGGCAGCCTTGTTATAAGTGATTAAAAAAAGAAACTTACCATTTTCCTTTATGTCCTTACAATTCGCGCCTAAACAATTAAATATGAATAAATCGTTTTGATAACATATATTGTGTTTTATGAATATTTCATACTATGTACTTTCTGTTAAAATAATATGATGGCATTAAAAATGTATTGGTACATTTATGTATAGATAAAGACTTAAAAATGATTTACAACCATCCGACTGTTTTCAAAGCGTTCTCACGGTTTATAGATTGTGTTAATAAAATAATATTAATTATTAAAATCAGCTCATTTCAGATGTTTTGTACATCGTTCAGTAAGAGCGTAGCTAGAAATTTCATCAGGGGGGCAACCAATAATCAATACATATTTAGTGTTATTTTTAAATATATTTTCAATTGCCACACAAAAGGCTAATATAAATATTTTTTAAAAACTACAGGTGTCTAAAATATAGGTTTAACCTAATAACAACGAACCAATGCCATTTTACAATCGGTAAAATTGAAAACAATAAATTTATTTTTTACACTGTAAAATTTATTTTTACGTCTCATTAAACACCAAAGGTCGTCTGAACTCTAATAGTCTAATCTAATTTAAGAGTTTAAATTAGGTATTGGTTTTACCCTCGAAAATAAGAGTAACAAGAAGTCGAGAAATAACATAAATATAAAATTGTAGAGCTGCTTGTTTCTTAAATATTCTATAAAACAAATTACAAAAAAGTTAATATATTCCGAAATAATGAATGTCTCACGATAGATTGATCATAGAATACAAGACACTATCATAAATGGCACCGTGAAAGGCCGGAAATGGCAGTAATGGATTGGTACTGGGCCATAAATAATAAAAATATCTACCTATATAAAATATAATAATAATACCAGACAAAAATGACTTAATCAAGTATATTAGACATGGGTTACCTAAATTATTTTTTACGTATTTCAAATATGAAACCATTTTAAGGGTCTAAAGTAGTAATAACGCACGTAAATTTTCTCCTTTTAATGTCTCTATGTGTGATGCTCACTATTTAAATAATAAGTGCGCCTTGAATGTTATAAAATTAGCTTAGAAGCTCCAGCACTCCTAAAAATTTTACTTTTATCATATTTTTGTATTATTGTTTGTGTTATTTTAATATTACTTTGTATATATACCTATATATAAATACCTATTATGTTATGTGCATTATACTACAAGGCTCGTAATTTAAAATGTATAACGAAAAAAAACATAAATTATAATTTAATGTTAACCATAGTTTATGGACCCAATGCTTATCTGAAATACTGAACTTAATGTTATAATGCTCTAATGAGTTTCAACTGTATTTTTCAAAAAGCTTAAAACATACATGTTATTAAAAATGATTATCGAGTTAACTGAGTTATACTTACCCCACTGAGAATTTATGGCTACATAATTTGCTATACCACTATCGGCATCTGCATCATTAAAAAATTAGGCACTTATATTTAAATCAATAACTGAGACATTTACGATTTTATCGGTTTTGGTTTCGGTTTCGGTTAATACCCGTTTTAAACTTATCTATTAGACTTTTGTTTCTTATTTTATTGTTTTAAGAATTATGTAGGTACTATATAAAAAAAATGTATGTAATAAAACATTCCTTTAAGGAAAACCATTTTTAGTAAAGCATCTTTCAGAATTATGGTTACATAATATAATATAAATTCGATTTTGCTAGCTATATACAACATATATCATAATAATCACTATAGAATAATATACTATTATCATTTATTAAATATACATAGATGGCCAACGGGTGTACGAAAAATTTAATAGCCGTAATTAGTATTAAGAGTTCTCAAGAGATGACATTAGCAATACCAATATTTAAGAAATAATTATAATCGTAATTAGATATGCAGTAAAATTATTAGAGGGCGGGTGACAATGATAAATGTCTAATCTCTTAATGGAAGTCCTGACTACAAAGCAAGAGCATCAAACAAGGAGAACCAGAGGATTGAATATGATAACAAGATGGTCCTAATGGCCGGGTAACCCCCAAGAAGAAGAAAAACATTTAGTTTTTATTTTGAAAATTAGTTTTAAAAGAAATGTACAAAAAAAAAAAGTTTTAAGTATAAAAATGAATTACTTACCAGTTGAATTGATCAAATGTAGCCTTTCTGTGCAAAAAAAAAAAAAATGTTATTTTTTAATGTATTTAAAAATTGTAAAATGTAGTATACAATAATAATTGATCATTGATAAATTTTCGAAAACAAACTCATTATGTCTCGTAACAAAATACATTACCTAACTTTTTTTGGAAATCTCTCGTGGAAAATTGTTAGATACACTGTTAGTGGCGGGTTTAAGGGGGGGGGGCTAAGGGGGCATAAGCATAACCCCACCTTAAACGTCAACGTCGACGGTCGATAGTAATATTATTATTACACATTGTGTTAAAATGTATAGCAGGTTTTGACGCCGACTATCGCCCATCGTACTATTATTGCGAATTGTACGCATAACAATTTAATAATAGAATTAGAAATACACTTTATTTCCATGTACCGTCGTATCGTGACACCGCGTACATGGTCGGTTTAATCATTTACCCCGTAATTGTTTTTCGAACGAACAACGACGCGTTTCAGAATTCCGATAACCATTAACCATGCAATTCTAATTAACGATACTTAAATCAATCTCACTTCACAAAATTTCCCGGGTTACCATATTCATCAATCAAATCTGGGTTATTCGGTAAATTTTGTGTACTTTTCCTTGTTAATAATAAGGAGGGTTGAGAAATACTGAACGTTTAAAAAAAATAGTCACTGTACCATTAAATACATTTGTAAACAGCTGGGAAAAGATGGTGATCTAGAATCCTATCAAAATAATTAATATCATAAAAATGCAGTTTTACAAGCTGAAGAGTTTTTGTACCGTTACGATCAGCCTGGAAAATTAGTTATTAATATGATAGATAGTGAAAGAAAACTTCAAATACTTAAAAATAGAGATAGAATTAGACCTATCATTTAATTAATAATTTTTTTGGCAAGACAAAACATTCCTCTAAGAGGGCATAGAGATGATGGGGATTTTTTAACTACGGCTAGTTTAAAAACATCTGTTATTAATGAAAGAAACTTCAGAGAACTTTTAAGATTTCGAATAAAATCTGACGATAAGATATTAGAAAATCATCTTAAGACAACTCATGCTAAAGCTACCTATATAAGTAATACAATTCAATAAGAAATAATAGAATGCTGCAAAGAAGAAATTATTTATAAAATATTAACAGATATTAATTGTTATAAGTTTTATAGTATTATATTTGATAAAACTACAGATGTATCACATTCATTTCAAATGACACTAATTTTAAGACATATTTTTGATGGAAAAATAAAAGAAGTTTTTGTTTCATTTATATACTGTCACACATACATACGCAAAAGTCAAACCAAGAGGAACAGATTAATTACAATAAAGAATGTATAGACAATAAAGAAAACACCATTGTTGAACCAAAACTCACAGGTGATATTCTTGGTAACTTAGTAATTAATATTCTAAAAAATTTGAATTTAAACTTGGAACACTGTGTTGGAATTGCTACTGATGGTTGCTCGGTTATGACATCCACAGTTCGTGGTGCTGTTAAATATATTCAATTAAATGCAAGATGTTGATATTAAGTTGCAAGATATATATAATATTGCAGAAATTGTTGATAAATAATACTAATTTATTCTCACAGAAAAACAACTGTTTTCCTCTAAACTTAAATTATGGAATGCAAAATAGGCCAGAGTTAAAAATGAAGGTAAATATAAAATCTATAATTTATTTTTTCAGTATTAATTATCTTAAATAGCTCAAAAAAAAATTGTTTGACAATTAAATTAAGGAACAAATATATCTGAAATTTTATATTACCATTATTTAATTTTTATGTTGAAATGTTTGATTTCTGTGGACCCATTCACGAGATATTTAATTTTTAAGTTTTGTTAATGGGAGAGTATTATGTGTCATGGTGCATGGCGTTTGAATAGTATTCCATTATTCACCCTTACCAAAACTTAAAAGTGCAATATTTCGTGAACGGGTAGACAGAAATCAAAAATTTCAACACCGAAATTTATTTGAATCAACACTCCATCCATACGGAACTTTTAATATAGGTTACCGCTTAAAAATCAAAAAATGATGGGTGTTTCACCATTAAAAATATGGTTGGAAAAAAATGACTATGTACAATTTTAAATCTGCTTGTTCCTTAAATTTTCAAAACATTACTTTTTAAAGCAAGTCAATACTTTGCGAAATAATGAGTGTTCAACGATAAAATGATCATTAAAATATTTCAGCCAAGTTAAAAAATAATTTTAAAAAACCTTGATTAGTTGAATACAAATTTAATCTGGCTTATAAATTGTCGGGTTACGTATTACGTATTACACAGAAAACGATTCTATGATGTATTCATGAATCATTATTATTATTTACTAGTTTACTATATGCCTATATCCCCTTCCATATAAAATGCCTAGTCAAGCCATTGGATATAAGTGCAGAATCTTACCAATGCAACCTATAGAATAAAAGAATAAATAAATTAGACACATTAAATTATTCAATACAGTTTACTACAAAGTGGGTCACGAGAATAAGGAAAAATCAGATATACACTTAAGGTATTTTAATTAGACGGTGTTTCGTAGATTCATTATCATTATAATGCAATAACAACAAATTATAACTTTATAACTTAGCACAATTTATGTTTAAAATGTTTATGATATTTAAAAAGAAAACTTTATATATTTTTTATAACTTATAATTTGATAACTTGATAATTGACTTAAAACTAATGTTCGTGATTTTTAAGTAAAATGCATTAATCGACGTTTTTTTTCTTGTATTATATTGTATACCCTTGTCGATTTTAACCGTGTCGTTTTTTCCTATATTCGGTATACTTACACCAAATCCGTGGCCCCACCAAGCTTCCATCAACTAAAATAATAAATATCATATATTATCATATCATGTTATTATTCTTTAGATTTAAATCCATCAATGTTGTTCATTTGTTCCATTTGTTCCTAATATTTGTTATCATTTTATATTATTTACATCTTTATAGTATACTAAATAGCAAATGCATACTATTTTCCACAGAGTCCAACAAATATTTGACGTATGCTTTGACTAATACTGAAAATAAAAAAAATAATGGAGTGTTCGTTTATTAACTATTTTTTTAAATATTGGTCGCCATTTCTGACAATTGATATTTTGGTATTTTATATTAAATCAGTAAATAGCGTCAATCGGAAGGAAAATTCGAAAAGCCATACGTATCCGTTGTAATATAACATTCGTAGTGCGTCAACCGGAGATGTCCGATTGCGGCCCGAATTCAGGTAAACCTTTTTAACCCAAAATAAAAATATCAGGATTATGTTCAAACACGTATTGGTTCACAAAATAGAATTCAATCATATAAAATATAAATACAGATACCTATACTTCGAAAATGGGTGTAGGTTAAAAGTTGGGAAGGTAAGATACAGAAAGGAATGTATAAAGATGTATATCTGTAAGTAACGATAAATCATTGCTAATGAAAAAACGATTCTGAGCGGAGATCATTTGATAGTGACGTTTTGTCAACAATATTTATGTCATATTATGGTAAAAAATAAATAAATTGGTATTATATATTTTCTTTAAAAATATCTGTTAAATATTGTAACGTCTACCGAATTTCTCGTTTTTCTTCCGTTTTTCTAGGTTTTTCACATTTGATGAAAAAACTCCTAAGAAAATCGAAAAATGACCTCCTTATATAGTATCGCCCCAAGAAAATTTTCTTTCAGAAAAAGGTCTATTAACTATATCGTATTCATCAAATAAGCTTTCTAGTGGAAAAATTGTTCACATAAAAAAAAAAATAAAATAAATATCTTTATAAAACTAATACATTCTTCGCTACACTTAGAATATAAAATAGGGAAAGTAAAAATGAAATGTCATAAATTTACTAATACATAATATTTACAATATAATTGTTTTACAATATTTACATTATAATTTAATTTATTTAAACATATCATAGACATATTTTTTTTTATTTTTTTTAATAGAAGTAAAGGTTTTAACAAAAATGGTAATTAGTCTACGTAAATTAAACAAATAAATATAACATGTAACAGTTAAGGTAGATAAAGTTTAAAAATCTGTACATAAGGTATTGATGTGTTACAATTTTTTAAATGTATTAATTTTACGAAAAAAGGGACAAATGGTGTTGTTTTCGTTGAGGACTTGATAAATTGAAGTAGGGTAACTGAGGATCAGGTAAAGAGTATATGTAATTATCGAGTTCAATTACTACCGCGAATCCAATACGCTGTATTATATTTACATGAAAATACGTTGGACGTAATCGGAATACTATTATTTAGTTTTAATAATCACGGAAAACGGTATTTCCTACCTACTTTGTATGGGCCGCAATCGGGATATGAAAAAAGAAAAAAAGGTAACTTTGAGCCACAGTCGCATGATTCCCATGTCAATACAAGAGTGTTGACTAAGAGTGTTGGAAGTGAAAGGTACTCAGGCTGCTGTTAGCTTTTAACGATGGATTGAATTGTACTAATATAATTGGCTTAAAATTATATGCGGTACCTATTGAAAGATGCGAAATTTTTACTTGGCGGTATTTTACTTGAAGCATTTTTTAAAATTGTCATTGGTAATTTATTAATAAGTATAATATTATGATGTAAAATGATAGTGCTACTTGTGTAATTTGATTCATTTGTGGGGAGGGGGAATATGTGTGAAGTAGCAATTTATTACATTGAACTCTTTCGTTTATGAACGATACATATTCTAATGCAGATTATTCTTTCTCTGTCTTTTGTTACGTATCATTATAATAAAATCAGTGAATTTTATGCAAATTATACTCTCTTTTGATAATAATACATATATTGTGATTTAACTTTATTTTATTCATTATTTATACTCATTAGTGAAGTTACAGTGTTTTTATATAACACATTACTTATCCTACAAGCATAATAATAATATATTTTATATAATTTAATAACCTTGTACCTAAATTAACCTATCACATTTGTTCGAGACATACCTAATTACATATAAAAAATAACATCCATATAAAATCATTAAACATAACTCACTGATTCTTTTGTGATTAACTGAAAAACAAAATTCTATAATAATTATTTCAAATTTCTGATCGTACATTCAAAATATGTAATAAAAATGTAATGATAGTTGATCGGCTGATATTGCAAATATTGGAATATCGGATATCAGGGATTTTTTTTTTAAGTCAATATCTGACTCAACATTTTTGAAGAAATAATTCCCCACGTTTTCTTATTTTTAAATTTTAACGGGAGAAAATCTGAAATAATGTGTATTCTTTTCTAATTAATGGAGGCGTGGTAGAGCCTGCACGCAGCGCCCCTGTATAGTTTTTATAATTGCAGGACCAGATAAGTAACTAATTTAACCAACACCAGTGCCAAATATGCCAATATCACCAAAACGGTATTTTTCAGGGCCTACCTCTGCTTTAACTATACTATAGCAAAATATTGAGGGCTCTCAATATATAAATGGGAGCTTCTAGTCACCCTATGCGCTGAGAATGACTGTAATATTTTTTGCGTACAAGAAACGCACCGGGATAAGGCCATGGTCAAAAATACCGGGAATAATATAGATTGAAGAGATACCTAGTGAAAAATACGGAAGTGCAATGTTTTCAAATCTGAATTGATCATAAAAAATGCAGAATAATTAAATAAAGAAAATATCGAAATAATTCCAATAAAAATTAAAGGCGAAAAGGTTATTTCAATACACAAACCATCGAATATAGATTTTGCTTATGAAAAACTAACAAATTTCAATAACAACCCTGTAAAAATAGTGATTGGAGACTTTAATAGCTACAGCTGCAGCTGGAGATAACTAGAAACGGACTTAAACGGTGAAAAACTTTGAAAAATGGACTGAGGTTTAGTTCTTATCATTAGTACATGACCCAAAATTATTTAAATCCTTTAATAGCGAGAGATTGTAAAAAAGGTATAAGGATTAGCGGGTGTTCAGATGTGTTATTTATTTTATTAGGAATTATTATGAATTTCCAACTGTTGTTTGGTTTTTAGTATGCTGCGTTACAAACACATTGTCGTTACCATCGATTTGGTAAATACCAAACAAAAATACAAAAAACACTCCATCAAACGTATGTGGGTAAGTTTATAATAGTGCCGCAACCCACGTGTCATACTGTCATAGTATTCTATAGACACAGATTTCCCATCTCCCCTCAAAGTTGGGTTGTTAATATTTTTTTCCGTCATTGAAACCTTAAACACCATGTTTTAAATTGCAAAACCATAGGTCGATTGGAAAAACCCTAAATTTATGATAATCAGCCAATCCGATAATGAGTACCAAAAATTATTATTTTTTGACAATTGTATCTTGGAAACTGTTTAACCTAGACGTATGAAATTTAGAGCACTGCTTATTTTTAGTAACCCTAACAAATTCCTTAAAAACCCTGAAAAAATTTAGACCCATAACATAACTAATCTCAGAGATATAGGATGTAAAAAAGGCTCAGAATGAACCATGTAAATATATACAATACACGCCGAACTATAGGCCTAGCACACTATCGTGCACTTAGATGTAGATATTTAATATGTATTTTGTATTTACTATTTTTTGATATAGCCAATGCAGCGTTTTCTAAACCACGATCAACTGAAAAAAATATAATTTCTATAATATATATGTCTTGAACCATAATTATTATTCAATTCACAAATTTCAGTTTTTTTTTCAATATTTTCTATGAAATATTAATATTAGTTATATATAATTTTAACTAAAAATAGTTATAGTAACTAGAAAAAAAAATATTATAAAATATTATGTTTACCCATAATATATTATAATAAAAAACTGAAACTTACACGTGAATCCAGCGTTATGTAATTCAGCTATTCATTTTTAACATATATATAAAAATACAAATTTAAAAGTAAGTAAATTAATATAACAATATTTATTTTAAAAATAGTTTTAATTGGATAAAAAACCCCACTAAACAAAAACGAAATTAATCGTTCGATCGTATTTCATTAATTAAATTATTCATAAATCAATTGCAATTTTTTTCATTATCTATACCGTATAAAATTATGTATTAAAACTAGATTATATTATGGTACACAATATAGATTTCATAAAAATTTACTTAAGGAAATTATGTATATTTTAGTTGATTTAGATCAAGTCCAGACAAAATTGTACCTATGCATTGTATTTGACGGAGTTTAAATTTGAAAACGGATTATGCTTTTATTGGTTATTTATTACAGTTTATTGAGAATATGATAAAAAATACGTCCTAGGATAATAGGGACGGGTGCAGCCATTATTATAGGTAATTTAATATATACCTATAAGTAACGATAAACCATTGCTTACGAAAAAACGATTCTGAATGGAGTTCAGTTGATAGTGATGCTTTGTCAACAATATACATGTCATATTATGGTAAAATAATTAAATAGGCTTTATATATTTTCTTTAATAATATTTGTTTAATGTTGTACTAATTTTCCCAGTTTTCCTTCGTTTTTCTCGTTTTTCCTCTGTTTTTATTAATGTACCTCTCGATACTCATAAAAGAAAAGTTTTCCTCAGAAAAAAAATAATAATAAAAAATAAATATCTTTGTAAAACCATAAGCTTCTTCGCTTCACTTAGAATCTTATACAATTATTTTATTGGAAATAATAAACAAATTGATTGTACCTTTGAATAATTGTCAAAAATTTACTTAAAGGGGAGAATTAAAATTTAAAAAAATTCTAAATTTGACAAAATTGGAGAACATTTGGAAAACCGTAACCAACATCTTTATTAATTATTGGATAAGTAAATTGTTTAGATACTTGTATAAATTCTGATGACTGTATGTCCTCTTACTTAAACAATCTAAAATTCAAAATAAACAAGTTTAAAATTTGAAATAAAAAATTATAATCACTTACTATATCTAGATGTATTAACTATATATTATGTTTTTATTTGTTGGGAAGATAGAGAGGAAATTTAATATATATCTCTACTCAAGGATTAATCAACGAAAAACGATTTTGAGCGGAGTTCGGTTACACATGTTTTGAAATCAAATATAATATTTACGGTTGGAAATATAACATTCCGTAAATTTATTCGTTTTCCCTACGTTTTTCCTGGTTTTTTTGCAGTTATTATGAAAACAGCTGAGAAAATCGAAAAAGGACTTCCCTAAAGTATCATTCCAGTCAGATTTCCTTTCAGAAACAGTGCTAGATATAAACAATGGAGCAAAATTGTTAGTAGAAAAGTTGTTCACACACTAAAAGAAAAAAAGAAACATAGTTGTAAAACCAAAGAAAAATGTATAACATTAAAACGGCGAAGCTTTACGGAATAAGCACTGAATAGGCTTTACGTTTTATACATGTGTCTAGTTAATTCTGTTCTGGCAATTTAAGTTATCTTTATTATCGAATATATAAAAATAATAATTATAATATACTATTATCGGTATTCAAAATAAGAACTCTCTTACGTGGTATGTATATGTATGTGCAGTGTTTGTGCACGTTTGCAATATATTTGATTTTGAACTAAGATAATTATAATAGGAAACAATTATCTGTTATCGAGATATTGGGTAAAAATATTATTGTCCATGTCCACAATAGAAAGAGTCCGTTATAGACAGGTCGAAATACTTTGACATGCCTATCTTTTGGAACCTTATTATTTTGTTCATCAAGAGAGGTGTCCGTAAAGAAAGGTTTCATCGTATATATATATATATAAATTTAAATCATTGTAAAGTGTTTATCTACATAATATTTTAATTTATTGTAACAACACAGATATGTCTAGATATAACCCACGTATTTTTAATATTAAAAAAACATTATTATTTTTAATTATTCGGTATTGTATTTCGAATATTTTTAAAAAGTATTTTATTCTTCTCGTTCACCTTCACTCTAACTATTTAAGGTTGGCTGTCCTGGTCTTAAACTTTTATTTGACCCCATCTCCCAACTCGCATATACCAGTTGTCCTCATATTATTTTCAATCACATCCACCCAGCTCTTTTTCGGTCTTCCTGTACCTTCTTTCCTTCAATATATTTTACATTATATTCTTACTTCTTGTCATTTCTCTCATGACATGTCCAAACCAACTCAGTCTATTTTCTCTCATTTTGTCTATTGAAGCCACGCTTAAAATACTTCTTTACCTTTCATATCTTTTCTCGTTACACCACTCCTCATCCACCTAAGATTTATTATCCCTGCTACAACAGAGTCGATCTGACTACACTTTTAGAACTTTCCTTTAAGTCTCAGTGAAATTCTCTTATCATATAAAACACCTGACGTTTTTGTCTACTATAAATAAACTTTATTTTTTTTTTTATATTCATTTATTTAACAAGCTAGATTCAAAGCGCAACATGGTATGTAATATTATAAACATGGAAATTATATTAACCACCTAAGAATACAAAGGAAAAACCTTATTTGATTATTTTTTTGTAATTATTCGGTTACTTTTTTAAATATTTATTTATAATTTTATAATAATATTGGTAATAGTTATTAATACTTAAAAAAAAATGATTTTTAATAATTAACATTATTACCCTCGTTGTCTGTAATAATTTTCTCTATTTTTTGATATATATAAAAAAATTAAATGACAATCTATTAATAAATAGTTCAATTATATTATTTATACATATAGTTATATTTCTGTTACGATTAAACACAATATGTTAATTGTTCAGAATCAATATGTTATTAATACAAATTATTATTATAATAAGTACTAAAGACTGGTTTAGAGAAATATAAAATTGAGAATATAATCCGTCTACGAAAAAATCAAAAAAATTCAAAATGAGTTTCTAATTTATTAAAAAAAAACCAAGCACAATAATAAAACATGATAGTCGGGTGTCATTTCAATTTCAATATACATAAAAAATAATAGATGGTGCATTACCAACATTATAATATTATTACTAGACATACATTAAACTAGTGAAGGAGGAAAAGAAGAGCTGAGCAAAGGCGACAGGGAGGCAGCAGTCATTTAGTTATTAATTTTTAATTAGTTAAAAAAATAGTAAGTTAGTTATCTTGAGAGTTTATGTATGTTTTTACACCAAATAAATATACCACATGAAATAAGTAAACTGGTCAATAATAATTATATACTATATGATTGATAAATACATTTTAGAATTTTTTTTATGTGTTATACCTAACTCGACAATGAGGAATTAAAAATATGATCTAAAAACAATAAATAAACAATTTGTTTTCCATAGATAATCCAAGTTTTTTTTCTTACTAAAATATAAAGGATTCCGTGTTCCACTGATGCTAATCTTTCAAAGAGATTTTGTGTGAAGGACAAATAAATTTAGTGAAAAATTAAATCTTTTTTTTCATCTATTAATTACTAGCAAAACAGAAAAGTTTTATTTGGTAGTTTTTCAAAAAGTTCAAATTAGTCACTTTGTAATAAATTTTATTTTAAATATTTAAATCTAACACATAAACATATTAGGTGAATAAATTTATATGAATAGTCATTTTAATTTCTAAAGAAGGGATATGGTGAAAATTATTTATAATGTATAATATACAATGTATATATTGTATATATTATATAATATTATTACCTCCATATTTTTCACACCATATGTCTGCATTTAATAATACTATAAAAAAAAAAAAAATCAAAAAGTTACATTTTTACCGAAAGTCTAGACCTTTTAAATAATTATAACCACAATGAAAGGTCAGTAAGTATTTAAAAAGAAATTCCAACGTACAGTTTGTATATTTATAACGGAATGATAGTAAATATTCAAAATTTAAAAACCTATACTTATATTTAATTTCAATAATGATATACATTAAGCAATTACTGATAGTATAAGACAATTTTTTCTGAAAAAGTATATCATTAAGTACTTGAAGGTAAGCCAAAATTTTCCGAAATTTTATTATCAAGTTTGATAAAAATCCGGAATTTAAACATCCGAAATGTAAAACCCCGGATGGCACTAGAGCAGAACTTAATGTTTCAGAATGTAAATTTACGAAACGCAAAAATAACGAACGCCTTCAATTATGCGCAGTGGGGGTGGATAAATGAAGCACTGAGGGCAAGACTAGTACCGCTGTACCTCGTTCGACTATTCCGGTTAGGAACCACACGCTGCTGATCTCTGGGCCAAGCGGTGATTTTTGAGTTATTTATGGGAATTTTATATTTTTGATTTTATTACCTAATTTTTATTTGATAGGTATTCCGTAAAAATTCCTACAAGAGTTTTGATATCATATTTTAAAGAAAATCATAAATATTACGGCCTCTCAAATTATATATAACTTCGCTCCAATTCATTTTTGTTATCAATGGTTTATTGTTGCTTAAACATATAAATTAAATAATTTTATGCATCTTACTTTTGTTTCTTTTTTTTTTTATATTGTATATTTGTATAAAATATTATATTATATTATAACATATATTAATCTAAAATGATAACTAATAGATATTTATCTCTATTTTATTTTTGATTTTTAATAATTATTTTTAAACATACCAAGTGATCCTGGGAAGAAAAATGTTTGAATATACAAACAGTAACACTTTCCGTCAACTATAAATAGTTTCAAAATTATATTGACTACATTTTTTAATAACACTCAGTGATACATCACATAAGTTTTGCTTCATCAAAGAAAACAAATAACTAAAATAGCCTAACTATCATTCATAATCACACTAGGAATTTATTAGACACACATAAACGGTACTTATAGGTAACTTACCACTCCAGGTTTTTGTAGAACATGGATTTTTTTCTACAAAATTAAAAATAGAGTCGTTAGAAACATCTGACATTTCATTTTTATAAAATCGTTATTTAGCAATCCTTTAAATCGTTATAGAGCTACCTGATATAACAATGCGACTATTCATCAATCTATTGTTTTTAGTTATTTCTTAAATATACTTTATCAACACATAGTTTATAAAAAAAAAATAACAGAAGTATAATGACAAAAAAATAAAATAAAATGTGTATACGTATATATATATTATATACAATAACAAATATATAATTATTTATGTAACGCAGACTCGTATGATAGAAAGAACCAAAATACCAAACTATTACATCATGAAAAATAAATTTTAACATTTAATAAAAATAAATAGTTAAACAACTCCATTGCATTAAATTAAATATGTTTAAATGCATTTTTTTTTTTTTAATCCAAATAATCTAAAATATTTTCTTCTTACCAGGATCTTGAAAATTTTTAATATAATCCTCCTGACCATGTTCTTTTACTAAATTATACACAGGAAAATCATTAAGTTATAAACAATGAATTAATGATTTTTTATTAATAAACAAAATACAAGCATATAGGAATTTTGTTGAAAAACGTACAATTATATATATATATATATTTCAAAAAACTCTATAAAGCTAATTATAAACGTTTTTGTACAATATTATTTAAATTAATGAATTCAATGATTATTGCGTTGATTTTACTTACTGAATTCAGAGAATAATATAACATAGCTGTCGAATGCACTTTTATCTAAAAAAAAATAATTGTATATTTTGTATGTTATAGGTACATATTTTGTAGATAATTTTAGTATTCTGCGATTTATAACAATTTAATTGTATATTTTACTAATAATTGTTATCATTGAAATACAATATATTATGTTGTCTTTGCACGATAAGAATAATCAAACCTGGGACACCTATCATAATTACATAAATATTAATTGTTTCATTAAATAAAAACAAATCGTCGCTTTTGATGAAAGATGTAAATTTATCAATAATATCATTNGATTTATAACAATTTAATTGTATATTTTACTAATAATTGTTATCATTGAAATACAATATATTATGTTGTCTTTGCACGATAAGAATAATCAAACCTGGGCTATCACGGGACACCTATCATAATTACATAAATATTAATTGTTCCATTAAATAAAAACAAATCGTCGCTTTTGATGAAAGATGTAAATTTATCAATAATATCATTAGTATTAAGTTGATTAAGATTGAATTATTTAATTTCTTAAATGTCACATGCGAGTCTAATAATTTATTTTTGACTCGATTTAAACAAGAAAAGGTCGCATCCAACTGAGAACACAAGAACTGTGATTGCAATTGTACGCAGTGTATAATATTTATATCTTTGAAAAACCTATTTAGTATTTATTTAAAAAAATACTTTTCTATATTTTATTTATCTCACATATATATTTTATCAAGAATGAAAGCACTTTTTTCACACGTGGTATTTATTTTAGATAATACAATAAGTACTAAATACTTTTATATACCAGTATACATTTTTAATATTTTAAAATATTACTTAAAATATTAAATATACAAAAATATAGACAGACGGTACAACAAATGAGCCAAAGGTTTTCAAAGCTTGGCCATGACTCATGTAGGCCTCCCTTGGGGCCACCACTGGAACCCAGAGGTTGAACTATATTTTGTTTTTGTTCATTATAGTGTCTTTGGAAACGTGATAGAAATCCGCAGAAAGTGATTTGCTGGTGTAAAAATTAGTGTAACACTGATAACGAAACTACAGACATTGTCATCTCATGAGAATCGGAGTCAACCATAAATATATATAATCTGTATTATAATATAAATACATGTGGAGCCAATCGGAGAACAGGATTGGCACAGAATTCCCTAACAATGTAAACTGTGCTTATAATTTATCGGCCCAATACAATAATTTTGCTATTAGTTGTGCTAACATAGAAAAAAAAAGACGGACATACTTCGCATGTGGGTGCAGCAATTGTTGTAGGTGGGAAGTTGAGAAGATAAGATACAGAATAAAAATTTAATGTTTATCAATAAGCAATGATAAACCATTGCTAACGAAAAAACGATTCTAAGCGGAGTTCAGTTGATATTGATGCTTTGTCAACAATATCTTTCAATGTTTTTCAGAAAAGTGTCTACATCGTATACATCAGAGTAAGCTTGCTGGTATAAAAAAGTTCACATAAAAAAATATGTATAATAAACATACATATAAAACCAATATATTGTTTACTACACTCAGAATCTAAAATTAGTTTATTATTTATAATTATCATTAAATTATTCGAGTGGAACAAGGTAAGCTATCAATTTATTTGTTTAAAAACAAGTTATCACCGATAACCGCCAACCAGAAGAAATTACCAACGGTTTTTAACAAGTATAACCATAAAATCATTGATATCTATAATTAACCAGTTACCAGTACCCATCTACCCATAATCCATCATATCATAAATTAACGGTAAGCAGTTACCGGTTTTCAAAAATACCTATATTTTTGGTAGCGATTTAAGCCTTTATTTTTTTTATTTTTCATACTTTTAAGTTAAGTTATCTATCGGGTACATCATTTATATTACATCTACTATCTACATTAATATTATTTTAGATTCTGAGTAGAGCAAAGAAGCTCATGATTTTACAAAATTTTTTTTTTTTTTAGAACAATTTCTAAAAGAAAATCTGAATGGGGAGGTACTTTAAAGAGGACATTTTTCGATTTTTCCAGATTTCTCAACAAATGTGAAAAGCCGGGAAAAACATGGGAAAACCATGAAAAATATAAAAAAAACTGGAAAATCGGAGCAATATTATTTAGGGAAATATATAATGCTTATTTAATTATTTTACCATAATATGACATATATATATATATATATATATATATACTAGCCGACCCGTCACGGCTTCACCCGTGATTGGTNTCTCGGTTAGCGCGGTCGTAGAAAACCCCTTACAATTTTATATAATAGTATAGATTGTTTACAAAGCATCACTATCAACTGAACTCCGCTTAAAATCATTTTTTCTTTCTTTTAAATTCCCTTTTGTATCCTACATTCCTGCCTCCCCAACTTCCCACCTACAACACCCGTTGTAAGCACCCGTCCCTATTATTCTAGGAGAACTTTTTTTTAATAAATTCAATTTAAATTATACTTACATTTGAATTGATCGTTATCTAGATTCACTGTTAACGCATACATGTATAGTATATAATACTATATTATGGGTAAAATAGGATTATTTATCTTATATTAATTAAATATTGTTTATTAAAAGAGTACCTGGGTACTTATACAGTCGAATGTTAATATTGTGTTATTGACACGTAAACTGTTTTTAAATATCATAATAAAGTGTAAGATCCATTTTACACGTACCCGGCGACCGTTCGAACGGCACCCAGTTTCATAAACACACATACCCGGTAATGCAGTTTCACACCCATCAGCTACTTTTATTTTTTTAGTCGTTGTCGGTGAATATAACCAGTTTAGCGTTAAGTGAACCCAAAAATTGTTTATCTGTTATCTATTTCGGTACCGGCTACATGGACCCGGCAGCCGGCCAGAATAGTAGGAATACCCGGTCGCCGGTTACCGACTACCTAGCCAGTTTCAGCAGGAGCGTATGAAAGCTCTTATTCTACTATAACATCAACGACCGGGTAACCGGTGCCGTTTAAACGGTCGCCGTGTACGTGCGAAATAGGCCTTAGGTTATGTTATGCCGTGTAACCAAATTATTCTTTCACTCTGCCTCTATTCCATGTATAAGTATTGGGTGACTTACTCAGTACTCTTAAAATAATATTATCGTCCTCCACATTTCCCAATTCATCACAATTAATTTAACTATCTGTTAAAATATCAACTGACACCATCGAATGATTAAGAAGCCTAGACTTTCAACTTTAATTTTAGATTGTGATGCAATCAGTTACTGATTTTAGTAAAGTTTATTTAATTGAATTGAATTTAGTTATAGTTACCATGTTACTATATTATTATTACTATATTAGTCACACAATATAATACTAATAACTACCTGTTTCACGGTGAATTGTGTAAAATTATACTTAAGCAGTCTAATAAATAATTATATTTTATAGATGAATAAATTTAAGTAGGTATAGGATAAACTCTTACCCTCACAACCTAAAAAAAAATACATACATGTATCTGACATCACAATAGGTACATTTAATAAATCTCTTAGGTAATTTAAAAACTTTGATTTACTAAATTTAATAATTTTTAAAGCGCTAGATGGTGGAAATTTATTATCATAATTATATAATGTTATCACCATTTAGCTATTTTGTTTTTTTTCGTTTTACAATAATTGTTTATGTTCATTGTTTAGTGTTGGTTTATTTAATTCTTTCGTTTCAAAAGTAATAACAAATTAACACTGTTTTAATTAATTTTTTGATTGTTGTTTTTGATGTAATTTATTATAATAAATTTAATAAAACGTTATGGGCAATTTAGTTTTTTTTTTTAATAATACCTATAAGGTAGTACCTAGTAGGTAATAGTACCTACCACATATTTTTGTTGTGTATCTTAAACTTTTCAACTTTTGAAAGTAATATTTTTTATTTTACAGCTATTCTATTGTGCTATAACCCACCTTAAATAATTAAACTAGAAATGTACAAATTGTTTTTATTAAATTGAAATTGGAAGTAAAAAATGTTTGTCAACAAATTTTAATTTTGCTTTAATAATGCTTTAATCAAAAAATGCCTAAATTTTTTTTTGTTTCGTTTTGAATCAAGTTGCTCACAGATAAGTTTTTATAATACTTGGAAAAACCAAGAAAACAGGAAAAACGAAAAGTGACAAATTTATGGTGTACGATTTCATTATTTAAAATTTTTACGTACGATGTTTTCCACCAGAAATATTACTCCAATGGAAAACAAAAAAAATCTTTTTTGTTGCATTTTTAATTTCATTGGTAGGCAAGAAAATGGTTTTTGATTTTCTCTTTTGTTTTGTTTATAATAATTGAGCAAAAACGAAAATAAACGGGAAAATGTACGAAAATAATGGTTTTATTATTTTAAATTTTGTTTTAGATTCTGAATGGGACTAGGAATTTATTGCAGGTTTTACAATGATTTTTTTTTTTATCTGAAACAACTATTTTCAATTATGTCCCTTTTTAAATAATAATAACTGACTGGGTTAGTACTTTAGAGCGGTCATTTTTTTGATTTGTTCAGTCGTTTTCATAATAAATGGGAAAAACCGCAAAAGACGTAGGAATATTATAAACAAATATTATTAAAGAAAATATGTAATCCATTTATCATTATTTTACCTTAATATGAGTATATGGCATATATATTGTTGACAAAGCAACACTAACCTAACCTAACTACTTTATTTTTGCACTATGTTACATTTTATTTTTGATCAACACTAATAATAATGTTACTCTTACCGATTTTTGGATCATTCATAAATGCAGAACCTATATAATTAAATATTTTCATTATATTATTGTGTATCAACGAATTTAATTTATAAGATTTATTGGTGGGTAGCGACTATATCATTATTATATGTACATACGTATTTATTGATTGTATTAATCAGTGGCGTATTTGAGGAAAGACCGATAGGGGCCACAGAGGCACTTAAAATTGTATACTACTCATTAGTACAGTCTTATTTTGACTATGCTGCCTTAATTTGGCACACTAATAATGTAACACAAAATCAAAGTTTATCCTCAATCCAAAATAACTTCCAAATATATTTATCGTATAAATGTCATATAAAAAGAGGTCCTCGTTCAGGATATGATATTACTTGTAGTTTTTTTTTAGGATAATGTCTTTAGATAAAAGAATACTTTTGTTGAACTGTACATTTCTTCATAAATTATTACATATTATTAACTCTCCTGAACTTCTTGAACGTTTAAATTTTAGAAACATGTTCGAGAAATAAATCGTTATTTTATCCTTTAACAATTAATAAAAAATACATGTTATATACCCCAGCAAATGTTCTTATGATTACGGGTAATTCAATTCATAATTTAGATATATTTAACACCACTTTACTCAATTTTTCAAATATTTTATCCAATTAATAATATTTACTATCTTGCATTATTTCATTATGTCATTATGTTAATTTATTAATAATAGTTTAGTTTAATGTATATATATATATAACCATATATAACCATTAGAAAATTTGAGCCATTTTTGAGCTATTATAGACATTTTAATTTTGCGACTTTTTACGTAATATTTATCTGGTAGGTATTATGTGGATAAAATTGTTAGATTAAACAGAAAAATGCTTGATAATTTAACAGGGGTTTCATTATAAGTTACACTTAGTGGTAAAACAATATTCAGTTGTTTAATGTAGTATATTAATATCAAATTTTATTCTCAAAATAATTGAGCGATGATAGTGATTAATAATTTTACAGGTAAATAATAATTTAAAAAAATAAATTATATTAACTATAAAGAATCAAATACAATTTTGTTTTACATAACTTAATATTGTAATATTTATACCTACTCGAATAATATTATAAATTAAGTATATAATTACCATCATGTGTGAAATTTGAAAAAATTATAACTGCTACTACAGTGGTAATAAATTTAAAATTACTTTTAAACAAAATCATGTTGATTATTGTAAGTTAAATATAACTGAGAAAAAATTATATTGTAGGTACTCGTACCTAAAAAATCAATAATGGAAAATAATGCTATACAATGATTAAACCAAGTAGGTACATATATTATATTGTTTATATACATACACATTCCCATATACTGTGTGCCTTAGTTTAAAAGAAAAAAAACCACCTATTACACATGTTCTTTAATCATCTGATTAAATAAAGCTAACTAAATTTCAATTTTAGAAGCATTAACAAGTATGGTTTTTATCTAAGTACAATATGTACAAAATTTCAAATACTGGGTGATTCGTTTTACCATGATGAATAAGCGATTATTCCTACGAATAATTCTTTTATTATTTTCAATTTTGTTTTTGTGTTGTAATTCAGTTGAAAATATTTGTAAAAACTTGAAATTTTGACAAAAACTTATAATTACTTTTTCTAGTTGTAGTAAAATTTTCATTACGTCTTTTCAATACATGTATAACGGAATTTCGCTCCGAATCATTTTTCATTAATGGTTTATTGTTGCTTACAGGTATAAATTAAATAACCTTATGTATCCTACCCTCCCGAATTCCAACATACAACAGTGGAACACTCATCCCAAGAATCAGCTTTTTTTAAAAATTTTTTATTAATGGAGAAAAAAAATTCTAAGGCATTTTTAATAAAAATTTAAAGTAACAGCAAAATGATTCGTAACATTGACAGTTATGACATATTATTTCAAAGATTGTGAAAAAGAACAGATTTAAGGTATTTTTATTATCGATGTTTAATTCATAGACCTATAAATTGTTAAATAAATATACTAATTTAGTCCTTCAAAGAAAATATAAAATAACGCCTTTAAAGTAGGTACTATATTTACAATACAGTCTTTAAAAAAAAAAGATACAGACATACTTTGCATGATAGGTGAGCCACTGTTGTAGGTGAAAAATTGGAAAGGTAAATGGGAAATTTAATATACATCTGTACAAAACAATTAAGCATTGCTAACAATATAACAATATGTTATATTATGGTAAAATAATTATATATACATGAGTTATTTTCTTTAATAATATTTGTTTAATATTCGGTACTATATAATCGGTAGTTTTCCCATGGTTTTTTTTTCGGTTTTTCTCATCAACGACAATGGATGCTCTCATTATACAATGTAAGTCCATCTTTTTTATTATTCACAATGAATTTTATAACAAAATTAGTGTTTTACCAATTTTATTGATTGCAAATTAGAATTTCTAATTAACATGGTTATTAGACAAAAAAAAAAATGTTAGAAAATAAAAAACTCTTTCTACTACTTCTTCATCACTACTACTGCTTTTACTTAAATAAGCTATCTCTAAAATTAAGTCAAGTTGGTTTTATGTAATGTGACAAAATCAAATAGGTAGGTTATAAAACAAGTATATAATTCAAACCCTATTTCCGTCTTCCCTTTTTCACACATTTCTATGACTAGGAATTTCATTAGGGAATCTTCATTACATCACTATTCACAGCTTGCTTTATTTTAAATTAAACAATTATTTTTTATTAGGTTTGTTAATGAAATCTAAAAAAATTATTATAACTTATAATTAATAAATGTAAAATTAATGAGATTTATTTTTCGAATGAGTTAGCAAATGTGACTTTATATGAGATTTTTTTCGAAATAATTTCTTACACACATCACATTGATAAGGCTTTTCTCCAGTGTGAATTAAATTATGAATAAATAAATTGCCTTGTTGATTAAATGATTTTTTACAAACATTGCAATTATAGGGTTTTTCTCCAGTATGAATCCTACTATGTATTTTCAAAGTTTTTATACTGCGAAATAATTTCATGCATACATTGCATTTAACATTTTTACCATTTGTATGAACATTCATATGACTCTGTAAATTGTGAGGTACATTGAATTTTTTTTTACATATATCACATGAGTAAGGCTTGTATCCAGTATGAATTCTTTTATGGATATTCAAATGTCCTGACTGAGAAAATTTCTTCTTACAGACATCACATTGGTAAGGTCGTTCCCCATCATGAGTTCTTTTATGTTTGTTTAAATTGGATACTCGAGAAAATACCTTATTACATATAATACATTTAAATGGTTTTTCTTCATTATGAGTTAACATATGACTCTTTAAATTGCCTAATTCATTAAATGATTTTTCACAAACATCACATTTAAAGGATTTCTGACTGGTATGAGTCCTTAAGTGTGCAGTTAAATCATATTTTTGTCCAAATGTTTTTTCACACATGGTACAATTGAAAGGTTTTATATGCATAAATAATTTATATTTTGTTGAAAACTGTTTATTACATTTCTTGCATTTCAAATCTTCCTGTGGATTGTGAGTTTTTAAATGATTATTAAGAAAACCAGCATTAGTAAAGGCTCTATTACAAACTTGACATTTATAATGAAGTTCTCTACCATGAACTTTTATACTATGGTTTTTTAAAACAGTTAAGGTATAAAATGATTTGTTACATTCTTTGCATGGGTATAACTTTTTGTCTTCAGTGTGAGTTTCCATATGAGATTTGAATGTGCATGCACGATTAAATGATTTATTACATTTATTACATTTATAGCATTTGTGCGGCTTTTTTTGGTTTTCCTCAACATTTTTTATTATAGATGGTGTGAAGCTTGATTCTGAAGTAGGTGAACTATTATACTTTTCTACAAATTCTAATTTTTCATATAAAAATTTGGAATCATTTTCAATAGTAATTTCGCTTTGAAAAATACAATCATCAATTATATCAATTTCTTTTTTTATGTAGATATTTAATTGTTCTATTTCTTCAGTGTGCCTAAAAAAAAAAAGTATCATTAATTTTAATAACATTAACTAACTTACACAACACAATAAAATAAAATATATGTATTAAAAATAGTGCGAATATTAGTAATATAGGTAACAAAAATCATATTCAATACTGGCGGGTATATATAGAAAAAAAGCATATAATTTAGTTTCTCTACTGAAAGTAACAATAAATCAAACAACAAATAAAACAAAATCAAAAAAAACTTACATTACCAATTCTATATATAAACATACCTGTAAATTTAGTTTTTTCTTTTAATTTAAATGTGATAATTTGTTTATATTTATAATTTATTTTGTTTCTTTTCAAATACCTATTTGTAAACTATTCTACAATGTTTTATCAGTAAACTGATGATGGTACAAAATGAAACTAATAATAATTAATATTTTTTAGTAATTTACATTTTTATTTAGTTTATATTGTTTAAACAATTTATTTTACTATTATGTATTATACAAGAAGTGTTACATAATCTTGAATTTACAAATACAGTCAACTTATGATGTAACGAAAATCTCAATATAGCATATAATACTATCATTCCCTAGAAAATCTTGAGATATAAAAAAAAATTGAATGTATTTTTGTTCCCTCTATATAACGAAGATTTTTTGGCCAAAGCTCTCACAATGTAACTAAGTTTTGCAGTTTTGAAGCTTGATATTACGAATATTACAAGTTTGTTTTTTAGCATTTTGAATTTGGACAACACTATTGACCAGGTAAACGCAAGTGGCTACACACAAAAAATAAATATGTATGTAAAAAAATTAATTTTAATTAATTAATAAATAATAACTCATATACTTATATATGTATTTAATAAAATTGTAATAATATCTAATATGTATGTAATTATAATAACCTAAAACAAATTTTGAATTTTTTTTTAAATCTTGTTTAAACGAATTTTGTTGATTTATGATTTTGATATAACAAAATTTCGATATATCAATCTTTTTGCTCAGTCCCTTGACATTTGTAATATCGTGAGTTGACTGTATTAGAATACAATATAATATTTACCTTAATATAATGTGCAATATATTTAATATAGTACATAATTAGTGATGCATTCACCCATTTCACACCCTGTGGTAATAATTAACGTGGTATTATTTAAATAATTAACCTAAAAAATTGGTTTCCATTTCTATAAATATATCTAATTCATATAATATTAATTTTTTTTTTTTACAAAAAACAAATAAGGTAATAAATTTAAAATAATTCTTATAATTCTGAAAAAATCTAATAATTAATGAAATTTTTAAAAAATAAAATTATAATATTATAATGCCTATAAATTATATATTATTATATATATTATATAATAATAATAATAATAATAATAGTAATAATATATAAAACTCTAACACTGTGTCTCTTTTTTGTTGTAAAATGTTTTTATTTTTACTGTTCTCGTTATATTGTTATTATAATTAATTTGTTAAAATGTAACTTGTCAAGTTTACTATACTTACTATGTAACTACCGGACTGGCGTTAATTAGCTAAATTAATAAATAAATAAAATAAAATTTAGAAAGGCGGAATAATAATTCAATTAATATCTGTAACAATTATAAATCATTGTTGATAAAATACAATTCTGAGTGAAACTTGGATAAATATAGTTTGATTTTTATGATTTTCATCGAAATTTGACATAAAAGGATGTTGTGACCGAGGTAATCCTTAAATTTTAAGATAGGTATTAATATAATTTTTTTAATGAAATCTGCTTGTATTACAACATGAAAGTATATTGGATTTTTGTTATAATATTTAATGTAAAATAGTTTTTCTACCAGTAAAGTATTGTATTGTAATGTCTGGGTCGGCGTGACCCAACAACTTATAAAGTAAAGGAAAAAAATAGCAATTTTTCACGGTAGAGTAAAAAGACTTTATTACTCACAAAACATTATATTTTAATGAAAAAGAAGAAACATGTGTGAAATGTGCCACAGAATATATAATATAATAAATCTTAAAACATAACAAATGCATGGAATATTTATAATATTGTTGGCTAGGTTATGTCAAAGACATTACATGTATGTAAATCTCGATATAAATAATTTAGTTGTTAGTTGATTTTACCAAATAGAAAAATTATTATTACTGTTTGTTTTGACTGAAAAAAATCTGTATAGGTTTAATATTAATTAGTTTTCTTATTGAAATATAGAATACTTGGCATACATTTAAAAATAATAATCTCATTAACTAACCAAAAGTTAAAAATAATTATGATAAAAATTGTATTAAAAAAAAAAAAATTAATAAATAAATAGTAAGACAGTATAAAATAGTTTTAACATATTTAGAAATATTGAGAAACAATCACAGGGATTCGCCTCAACGTACCAAACAGAAAAGACCTATCATGAGGCCGAAGATCATTTGCATTACACGTGTGTACATAAAAAGCTTTTTGCCATCCACAAGTATAGGGAGGTAGCATGAAATATACGGTATAACAGAGGTTATTAACATTAATGATTAATAATAAAAATCACAATAATTAATACATTAATTACTCACTTTGATTTCATTGAATGATTAGGAATACTTCTGTTATGTTCCATGCTGGATACGATTATCTTTATACTTAATAGTTGAATATTATGAACGTTAACAATTATTAAAAAAAAATATAAACAATTTATAAAAATTATTGTTTAGTTTCCGATAGTTACGACGTGAGGACGCTCCGACAATATCATCGTTTTCTCAAATTACTATTTACGTAGATATCACTCAATACTTTATTTAAATCGTTCCGCTAGCAATATTTGATAAGAAAACCCAGTGATTCCTAACTTTGAATATAATGTTGCCTATTGTGAACTTTTGAAATTGTACTACTAATGGTTTAATAAGTCGCCTACCCAGCACGTAAAACCAACCTAATCTAACAATAGATCTATGTCAAAAATCCACGGATATAAATGCTATAACCATGCTGAAAACGAAATCTTTAACCCATTTTCGAAATTCCTTTGTTAATCTTCAATTCCCGTACCAATATTGCCTACCCAGCTCCTAAAATTGTATTATTTTTCAATTTGTCCGTTTGTTATCCATCTAAATTCGAAATTTGATCTTATGTCAAAGATTAATTTATTAAAAATATTGCTATTTTCAATTCCGAGTTTTAACACAATTTTGCATAATTAACTTTACAATTATATGTCCCTTTCATTCGAAGCTTGTTTTAATAATAACAATTATACATTGTAAAAGTCACAAGTCACACACGGAGAGCGTCCTCTATCAATGACCGTTCTACGTGTACAAATGACCAGTCTATCGAGACTGGCCTTTATATAATATGTATACCGGTAAATCGAATTGTTTTATACCGGTATTTCAAGGAATTCGTTGACTCGTAATTGGTACAAAATATGATCACCGCTATAGTTCATTCTTATTTTTTATTACATCGTACTTATACCTTCGATATAATATATTCACTTGAATCTTCCAACTTTGTTCTTCATAAATCAACATTTCAAAAATGTAAATGTGAAGAAAAAATATTATAGAAAATAATTCAATCGAAAAATTTTATGATAATTTGATAAGAATATCAAACAAGGGAATGATGGCGATGGTAAAATTAGGAAAGGTGGGGATTATACCGGTATACAATATTTGATCTACGTTGCGAGGCGGGTCAGAAAAACTATACCGACATAACAAAAATGTCGAACCGGTATCATTAACGAATTTCTTTATATTATATCGGTATTATTTTAAAATAAAATGCAAATTCAACAAGCTACAGATTATGGTTGTTTGTATATTATCGCCGCAGTGCTTTATAAATTATACTTTATTACTTTAAGTAATATAATTAAATAGGGTTAGTAGGTAAATTTATCACAACAATGATAAGAATGTAACATATACAATATACATAATGTATTCCAGGGTGGAATATTTACTGATGCAAAAATGTCATGAAGACATTATTTAAATTGATTTTTTCCTGATCAATTGTCAGAGAACCGTATACTAATAGACTGGCCTTGTCTATGGTGTAGCTGAGGTAGTAATCGATCAGACATACTACAGTGGTATACAGTATAATCACATCAATGTTGTCATTATATGTGTAGTACAATGTACAATAACACCACATAAAAGTCACAAGTCACACGTGAAGAGCGCTCTCTATCTGTGACCGTTCTTCGTGTACAAAAGGCTCGTCTATTAGTATAAGGTCTACGCGCAGAACTAGAGAGGCTAGATGATAATCTTATTATCTAGGCTCTCTACGGAAAACACTCCGAAACCCGAATTATCACGTTATAATTTGATATGGATAAAATATTTATACTGATGGCTGAGCAAGTGGTTATAATCATAGATAACAAATACAAATAATGAAATACTTTAATTATGCAATACAATCTATTCTAATATTATAATTTCACAGAACCGATATATATTATGGAAACAACAGTTTACAGACAATATTTCATGCAACTCGGCATAATTATCATAGATCTTTATTATCTATGTGGATTGTGGAGTTTATATAGTGGCTTATCAATTTTTTACCATCTATGGATATCTAAGAAATCTAGTGTTGGTAACACTGACTATGTTATCAAACTATTTTGCCCAATTATCTATGAATATTATGATATCATAAAAATACAAATATTGTTCAATCAAATATCATAGTATACCTACTGAAAACCTTATGATACACTTTAACAGTTAAAAAAAAAAAAGAGAGAATTTAGAGAGCTATGAATTGTTTCTAGCCACTAGTAGTGATAACGATTAATAACTCGAAAATATTTTTATAGTCTATTGTTAAATATTTTTATAGTCTATTGTTAAATATTTCTAGCGCCAACTGGTGGTTATTAATACTTGAGTGAATAATACTTATGATTTGCAAGATGCCAGTTGCAGAGGAAACAACATCAATAACTGATGTAATAGTTCAACTACAGGACTACAGTCCAACTGTAAGAAACAAATCTCAAATAGTCGTAGAAGAATGTTTAATTCTTGAATATTTTAATTACAAGTGATTTATTGTTACAGATACCTGATTCTATAACAACTGCTATATGTTCAGAAGCTGGATTTGAAACTAGTGACCCTCGAATGTAAGTATATAAATACAAAAATATTAAGTAATAATTATAAAATAATAAAGATATAATGAAAATCAATTAAAATATTCTCATTAATGTAGATAATTGATTAATACATACATATACAATACCAAATAAAATAAAACAGAATTGCTTACCAAATGTGTGATTTTAGACCTGTATTAATTGTGTAATCAAAATATGTAGGTTTAAATTATTTGAAATTAATTTAACGACACCTGCCCTACGTTTAATATTATATATCTATGCTTTTGTAATTTTTCCTTTTTACTATAGTTTTATAATTTGCATTATTAAATTTTGGAAGTTTTATTTATAATTTATTATTTATATTAATATAATTTTTTTTTTTTTTTTTAATTGGAAATAATCACACAAATTAAGTTTTTCAATCCAATTTATTATACACACAGATATTATTTTATTTCTAATTCATATTTCTATTATGATCATGGCAGTATTTTATATTTTTTATTAATACAAATAAAAAATTTGAATTTAAAATTCATCTATGAGTTAATCTTTCTAATTTATACTGTAATAGGTGCTACTGTGTAAACTTGCACTAGACTAAATATAATACAAATGACATGGGACATAAGTCCTTAATAATCCATTTTAACAAATAATACAATATTATTCTATTTAATGATAATTAGAGACCGGATTTATATTCTCTTATAATTCTCTGAAAGGTGCTTCAAAACATCAAAAAATCTCTGAAAAAAAGCATTTACAAACATTTAAAAAGCAAACATGATGGAGGAGTTATTCCCCATTAATAACTCTAAGTTATTAAATTAAATATCCTAACACTACAAAATTGATTCATACAAAATAATTTCTTTTAAATAAAATTGTATGTATTATAAAAAAAAATTATTTTTTATTTCTCATTTTTGTGGTGTTAGAAAATTGTATTTATAAATTAAATCCATTAGTAGAGTGACTATTAAACTTTTCTATTATTTTTAAAGGATTTTTTTCAAAACTGAAGTTTTCAAGTGATTTTTTGTGGACTTTAAGAACATATGAATCCGGTCTCTAGTGATAACTATTAAAATTACAAATTTTTATCTTAATAAAAATATGTTTTATTGTTTATATGTAGGTATAAACTAATTGTTTATTTTAATAGTTTTAGTTATTTATTATAACAAAATATGTAAAAGTAAAAAATAACTATTAATTTGTTTCAGAATACGATTGATATCAATTGCTTCTCAGAAATTTATTTCTGATATAGCTAATGATGCACTGCAACATTGTAGAGTACGTTTAGCAACTATGCCTACTAAATCTGGAAAAGTTCCTAAAGACCGCAAGTTCACATTAACTATGGAAGATTTAACACCAGCACTCAATGATTATGGAATTGTTATTCGAAAACCTCCATATTTTGTATAAATTTGGGACACAATTTGTAATACTTTATTCAAATTATTATTCGGATTCATTATATTTCAATATTTATAAAAGTGATTATTTTTAATGTTCCCTACTCTCATTATTAGTAAACACTTAACTCAACCTAAGTATATTATATTTTTTTTATATTTTTAAACATAAAGGATGGTTATTAAATACTATAACCAGTGATAATAGCAAATTACTACAATTGAAACTGGTTTCTGATTTTTGGGGAAATTCATATTGGTTTCTCACAACGAATTGTGTGTACATTAATTGTAAATCATTTTTTTAAATATTTTAGAATTGTATTGTCCACAAATCAATTATTACTCACCACACTATTGTTTACACCCACAGTATATTATCAACAAGATCAGCTTTATTCAGACAGTATAATTAAATCGAGTCAAATTAAAGACCAACCAAATATTACAATTTGTTAATTTTTATTTTTGGTTTTACCTTTCTTTAGATTTCAAGTAAGTAAACAAATAATTTATCCTATACAGTAAGTAAATTGTTCTTTTATTATTTTCATATTAAAAAATGTAGAATCGATAAATACTGAAAAACAATGATTTGTGATTGAACGCGTTTATGGCTTATCACATAAAATAAAACGTGTTCTTTCCAAACACTGCTATTATAATATAGGGAAATTGCAATACTTCTTAGTTTTATTCTCCATGTAGGCTGTTAATGATGCACTATACAGGGTGATTCACTAAGTGTGCTCTAAGCTATTTTTTTGGTCAAATTTTATATATTGTTACCATCATGCAAAAAGTGACCAAGTTCGATAGTATGGCTATAAATATTATTTATAATAATAAAGACACTATAGACTATAGAGACTTTAGTCTCTGAAAAAAAAACAACCTAGTGAAAATTCCAAAAATATACAAAGATAAAAGTTGTTGTATTAAGAATTTTGACCAAGTGTTAAAATTATTTTTTCTACGTGGAAAAGCTGTAAGTTATTCAGTCAGTTTTTACACACATTTAGTATAACATTCAATTATAGCCAAATGGACTTGGTTAGTTTTGTTACAATGTTACAATACTGATGAAATAGTGTTATAGGTACTGTAAGTACTAAATACTGTTTTACAAAAAAGATTCTTTGACAATATTATTATTATTATAAAATTAATATAGTATAAAAATGTTTTTTATTATATTTTGAGCGGAGCGAGGAATGTATTGGTTTTACAATTATGTTTATAATATATTTTTTTTTATGTTAACACTTTCTGCCAGAAAGACTACTCCAAGTATAGCACCTTTTCTGAAAAGAATTAATGTTCTCTGAGTAGTACTTTTAGGGATCATTTTTTGAAATTCTCATTAATATTTGAGATAACGAGGAAATCCCGGTTCTTTAGGTTAAAAAAGATTGAAAGATTAAAAATAATGTACAGTACACTGTACAGGTCGTCATATGGTTGTGCATATCCCATGGCTCCCACCACATGGAACACTATAACAAACCTTGACGATATGTTAACCATTATTATAGTTTGTTATATGTGATTTATAGAATGTTAACATTGTCGTTTTTATTCTTACGTTTTATGTGTATAATTTTTTTTTTTGAAATTTAATTGTGTAAAATGAATAGTAATATTATTTAATAATCTATAAAATAAAAAGAAGTGAAGGTTTTTAGTAACGCGTGATCTTGTAAACTACAGCATGGCCGATTGTTTTGAAATTTGGCATAGATGTTCAGTTTGACCTCAAAAGTGTCAATGTTAACATGAAAATCACTCTGAAGACTTTTCACGATCACCAGGAGGTTGAAAGTCCAGAAAATTTAATTATTGTGAATTATAATTTTTGAAAAAACAATGAAATTAAATAAAAAGACGATATATGGTGGTGATGAGTACATATTTATTGAAATAGAAAGATCAAAAAAAAAAAATAATAAAGATCATTTGGTCTATTTGTTGATATGATACATATTATAATTATTTTGACCACTTATTTTTTTCTTGGTACAATATTTACAATTAAATATTTAATCCAATAATATTAATTGACTTTTATGACATTCAACATCAGGGAAAATTATATTTGAAATAAATCGAATAAAAAGATTAACCAAAAAAACTGACCATATTTGTAAATTAAATTCACATAAATAATTTATCTATTTTTCATGGATGTTATTTTTACTATTGTATAAAAAAGTGGTTATCAACAAATTATGTTTTTTCTTTTTTTATTAACTAAGAATTTGAAGGAAGTATATTTTTTCAGACAAATTAATTATTTTCTGTTTTACCAAAATAAGTATGCATTCAATACAATTAAAAAGTTTAATATCTTCTACTATTTAATGATTAATAAATATTATATATTCAATTTTAAAATTGGTTGGTTTGGTCTAGTCTAAATACCTAGATCTAATTTTAATATTTTTATATCACTAGACTATACATATTTTTACCTGACTGGATTCTTTCTCTGCACTATCAAAATTAATACAACTTGGATTGTTTTCATCTTCTTCATCAGAATTTTCGTTAACCTCACTTGAGGACTGAATTTGATTTTTAACAGGCTTTAAGCTTTACTGTGTTAAATATACTAAACATCGTTAAAAATTATAGAAATTTAAAAAATAATTTTTAATCCTAAATTTCAATGCACTTTTAGTACTAAAACAATTGTGATCAGAACGCGCTGAAAACTTATTTTGCCATATACGTAGTTCGGTATCATAATGTACTTATTTATTTTAAACTGTTATAGTGTTTAGTCGTTTAGTGTACACAAGTCTGATCGATTCTACGGGTCCATGAAGTTAACGGACGAACATTGAGCATTAATTTTTTTTCCAGTACCAATATTTAGTGCTGAATCATTGCTGGCGAATGATACAATTTTCAAAATTAGTGTACAATTTTCCAACGAGATATTGGCTTTGCTGTAACTTTTCACGGCAGACGCACTACCAGCATTAAAATCTCTTTTAATATTAAACGATACTATTTGCAAAATTAGTTTTCTGTCTAGATAAAAGTTATGCGGGGACTTATCTTCCGTCCGCTACGTGAAGTTAGCGGACGCGATAAAAGCTCTAAAATTCGCTGTAGTATCAAAGTTAATTCTCAGTTTTCCAACGAGACATTGAATTTTCCGAAATTTTCCACACATGCAGTGCGTTTTTAAAACTAGTGAACATATGTTGTCGCCTGGTTGATTGCATTTTTAAAGACAAGGCGACACACAATAATAAATTGTCATATAGTTATATTTACACTGTATGCACTTTTTCGTGAGTTATAGCGTCTTAAAGCAGCACAAGTTGAACGAAAAAGCTTGCAACAGCGCATGCCTCTTCGAGTTAAACGACTACATTTTCGTGACGCACGCTACAACGCAAGGTCTCCCGCGCTCGATGAGAATCTGTTCGTCACGCCGTACATTTTTTTGATTCCATTTTGCATTTTTAATTATTTGTTTAAAAATGGCTGAAACCGAAGACCAAAATAACTTAAAGTATCTAAAAATTAAATAAATAAATAAAAAAAAAAAATCTTTATCTAATTGTAAATCATCTATAATTCCGTAATTTTTAGTTTTTAAATAGTTTTCAATCCACAAAGAATGCTTTTTTCTACGTTTTTTATTTGCGCTCGCAATAATTAAGTATGCCGCACTGACACTAAGAAGTATATTATGTGAAAACGACATATTTTTTGTTAACAAGCTAGAAGACGACTGTTTTTGGCGTCGCTGATGTGAACGGAAAAAAGCATGAGTCTAAATCATTCAATAAAGGCATGCACTTGGAGAAAGTGAAATTGAATGTTGAAAGGCAAGTTGAATTGAAGATTGAAGTGAAAAGCGCACGAGTGTAAACATATCTTAAGAAGAATTTATAAATTAAGTAGAACAATAATCAAATAATAAATGATAAATAAATGTGTACTATATTGTCATATTGTCGATAACTATTCGATATTACATATATAGCTGGGAAAAAAATAACCTCCCTAAAGTACTACCCCAGTCAGATTTCATTTCAGAAAAATTGCTGATAGAAAAGTTGTTTATAAAAAAAAAAAAATATCATTGTAAAACCAATATATTCCTCGCTCTGCTCAGAATATAAAATAAGCATAATAAATAAAAAAAAAGTAGTAGTCGCTAATAGAACATTTTAGGTTTCTTGAATGATTAAAAAAAACAAATTTTGAAAAAAAAGTTTATGTTTTCCGAGATAATGAGTCTTAGATTATATTGTATATCACCTTATATTTGGAGAATTACATTCAATATAACAATACATGTACAATAACTTTACTCAGGATTGTTTGAACGAAAATTGTTTGAATGGACATAAGTNTGAACGAAAATTGTTTAAATGGACATAAGTATAAATGCATCTTGGAAATACCTACAGTGTTTAAAGATATAACCATTATAGTAATGGAAAAAATTAATAGAACTCAAAACCTAATATTTAAAGAAATAACTAATTAATAAAAATTGTGGAATAATATTATAATGAATAAGAAAAAAATTTAAAAAAAAACTTTCTAGCTAGAAAAGGCTATGTAAGGCATACTATTAATTATTAAACATTTATATTTACCTTTTGAACCCATACTTTCAGTATACCTAGGACTGAACCCAAATATGATCATGGTTCATCAAAGAACCTACTACAAGCGGATTATCTTAATCGTGTAGGTTACTAAAAACATCATACAAATTACAATAGTATTTTTATATGACGTGCACATAAGTGTCATACTTTGAATATTTACTTAAATTTAATACTTAGAGTAAAATAAATTTAAAGATACTTACTATTTATTATAAAGACTTATAAATCAAAGTTAAACAAAATTAAAAACTTAACAAGCAGATACCAAAAATTCAAATAGCTGAAACTTGAGACTAAAATCTCTAAAAGTTCAAAATAAAACAATCGTTCACGTACAGCGGCCAAGAACTATAATATTTTTTATATAGTTGGATTTTGGAATAGAGTGTAAAAATAAAAATATAAATAAGCATATTATAAACAAATAATTTTTAGTGGTTTTAAAAATAATATGTATAATAAGACATAAATCGTTTTTTATTAGCGATTTTTCGTTGTGTAAAAACTAAAATTAACAGTGGTGCAACCAAGATTTATTTTCAAAGGAGGGGGGTTTATGAATTAAAAAAAATTCAATTCCGGATGGTGTTTGGTGGGGTGTAGAGGGTAAGGTTAAGTTAGGTTTATGA